CCCCAGATGCTTCTTGAGGCAACAGACTTCTCATGACCAGGCATTTGGCTTCTGAGGCCGTGGGAGCACCAGGTCTTGCTCAGCCTTCCCCTCACTGGGGAAAGGCCTGTGCTGGCTGTGCTGGGCTGGTGTGCACCAGAGGCACAGCCACTTGTAGAGCCAAATCCATTGGAAGCTGATGGAGCAGTCAACAGAGGGTGGTTCTACTTCTGCTGTGGTAATGGCTTCTGCCTCACAGTTATTTTTGTCCTGTCCCTGTCTGGGACTGCTCAGCCCAGGACGTTGTAGAAGCAACGTCCTATTTCTCCATGCACCGTATTCCATCTGCTCAGCCTCTGTTTAACATCCCTTCCCCTCCACTGACATCATGCTCTGCTGCTGCCAAAGACCCATAGCTGGCTGAGCAGCAGCAGCCTGCACAGCACAGTGCATGGAAAAGGCCCTGCCTCCAACTGGAACGTGGTCCAGCAGTGACTCTGCTGCTGCCTCCACCCTCCACGGCCCATTCCCCAAGCAAAGTTTCCACATCTGTTTCTGCTGCACTTTGGATTCAACAAATCCTACTAAAATTATTTTGTTTGGTTCGTTTCAGTGTGTTTGTTGACACAAGTTCTTGTCCTTTGGCAGCTGGGCTTTGCACACCCCTTGCCCTGGCACGGGCAGCTGTGGGAAGCTGGGATCGCTGGCCAGAGGGGTGGGAAGAGGAATGCCACAGGCAAAATACTGGACGGGAGTAGGGAGGGGAGAAAAATGAAAAGTGTTTCAAAGTATAGAAGAGAGAAAGCAGGTACAAGTAAAATTTGGAAAGCCTAGAGCAGTCACTGGGGTCAGTCCTGAACAATAAAGCCTCCCAAACTCACATTACTCGGGATACAACAGACACAAACCATACTGACAAATTTTCAGATTCTCTCTGAGGAACATCCATCCACTTTTCATATGGAATCCATCTGAATTTTCCAAATGCATCCTTCACCATTCCTTACTGCCCCAGATGTCCCAGGTTTCCCTCATTGCAGCTGGGTTCCACTGAACGTGTGGTGAGCAAGCCCTGGGCTGAGCTGCAGTAGAACATCCTCTGTAGGATGCTCTACGCTTCCAAGGCTGAGCAGCACATCCAGCTCCTGGTTTTCCCAGATTTGTGATGTACCCAGGGTGCCAGTTTTGTCCAGTGCCTACCAGAAGTTCTGTGTGTGTTGCTGGCACTCCTGGAGCAGAAAGGAAGAACACCATGTTATTTCCAGGGTGCTGAGAGGTAAATGGTGTCCCAGCCCAACAGAACCACTGCCCACTCGCTGCTTTATGAGGCAGTGCCTGATCTCAGGTACAGAAATCAAGATCTGCCCAAAAAGTCAAGTGTAAAGCAAGGCTGACATTGAATGGGCAAGTTGGGATTGAGCAGGAAGGTTTGCAGGACAGCCAGGGGTGCATCTAACTCCAGGGCTTGCTTAAGAGTGACCATTTATCAGCTGATCCTGTAACTGTGTCCTGAAGTAACTCAAGTCTTTTCTGCCACGTGGTCTGACATTGCATAATTCTGACCTGTTTATCAAGCAGCAGCAATGGAACTTGCTGTTCATTTTTTTTCACTGTGTTTTGGGATCAAGGTAGTCTGCCAAGAAGATCAACATGTCAGCTTTTTCTTGTTCACAGGCCAAACAGAACTTAGTTGGGTGCTGAACATATAAAAATGTCCTCCCAAGCCCTACCCGTGGTTTCTGGTTTTCTTCCTTTCCATTTGCTGCTTGCACAGTCTGAGCTATTCTACATCTTGTTAGTAAATATTTAAATGTATTTTTGAGTTTTGGGGTTGAAGGGTTCAATTCAAAGGAGTGTAATTTCAACCTCTTTTTGCTCACTAGCTGCTGAGGTCCTACCTGTAGAGTGGTTCTGATGGGCACGTTCAAAGTATTCTTGTCTTCAAAAGGAGCTGTAGTGAGAAAAGTCTTAGGAGTTGAGGTTCTACTTTGACCTCTGCCATGGGCAAAGTGGCCACATCCTTTCTGTTCTCTGCCTGTCTCCCCTCTTTAAAATGATTTTGTGCTTTTGAAGAGAGGATGGGGAAGGGAAAGGAGGGAAGGAGAGAACTGTGTTAACTGGATCCTGGAACCCCTCTGACTCGCTTGATTTCAGTCTACAGAATAGACAATAAAGGGGAAAATGCTAGGATTAACTTGCAGAGGGCTAGGGGGACAGTGCAGAGAACAACTACAGCCTGCTTCCCTTCTCCATGGGGTGCCTTCATCTCCACTCTCACAAGCAGCAATGTAAATCCAGAAAATATTTAGATGATGATGGTCAGAAAAGCAGGGAATAGCTAAATAAGCCAGGAGTCATACACCTGGAAAAGGGATGATTATGGGGGATTTTGTGGAGTCTGTATAATGATACATGTTCTGGAGAGATGGAATCCCCACTTTGCCATCTTCTCCAGTGCAAGAACCACGGGGTATCCAGTACAAGCACTAGAAAGCCCATTTTCATGCTGTTTGAAGTTCACACTGTCAAACTCCTTGTTACAGGATACAGTGGATGGTATGAGTGTTTACATGAATGAAGGATTGAACAATCTAATGGAAACAAAACTTTCAGGAGTATTGAGTGAACAGCTCTGCTGGGCTTTGCAAAGGAAGGGGTTGTTGAGTCACTGGAGGCACGAACAGTGTCGTAAGAGTCACAAAAAGTGTCGTGGGAGTCTCAGAAGGGGTTGCAATATCCCAGACCCATTACTAGGTGGCGATAGCAAATTGTTAATGATGCAGCAAAGGCCCAAGTTTTCAGCAAGTGTTTTGTGTTTTGGAGTGAAGTCGGAGAGGCTGTTTTCAAAATACATGTGGTGAGTTACTCCCCGTTCTGCTGCTAATCCAAGATAATGCCAAACACTTCCGACAGGGATACGCTGTTTAAATCAGCAGGCCCAGATAACTTCGACCTAGAAGTACTGGAAGTGCTGATTGTTATTTTTAAGTCAGGTTATTAGGAAATTTCAGAAGATTGGCTGAATGACCTGTACGCCACTGCCCTCGTGTTTATTCTGGGCTGAATTTTAGAAATAGGGATCCATGGTTTGATTAATAAATAACTTAATGATAGGCATATAATTAATGCCACTCAGCTTACGTTTACAGGGAGTACAGTAAGTTCTCTCAAACAGCTCTGGCTTGTTTTTTCAAGATGACCATGGTGATTTGATGAGCCTGACAGTCAGGATTTAAATCCTGAGGGTTATGTCCAGGTTCAGTGCTCCACAACATTTGAGTTGAAAACAGTGAACTTGATATATCCTTAGCAAAGTGCTGGGTGAGTGGATTACCTTAACTAAGACTCAAAACAAGTTTTTTCCAGGCAGTTTTGCAGTATATACCGCATTTGTCACTGTCCTCAAGGCTTTTATTCAGTCTTTTCTCACTGGAGTTCATCACCACCTTTGGTGCTGCAGCAAGAACCAGCAGGAACAGTTCAATAGGAACACTTGTGATCTGTAGGGAATTAATCCTTTTTTCCCCCTTACACTACAGACCTAGTAGTGTCTGCGTTGGCACAAGTATTTTGTGATTGTCCTCACAGTTGGACACCCTTGTCATGTTCCTCACAGGAGCCTTACCCAGCACATGATGTGTAAGCACTTCACTGCTTGGATGCAACTGATGACAAGTTCTTGTTAAATGCTTTGTGATGCCAGGAATGTTTTGTATGCAGGAAGAGCTGGAAGTCTGTGTTTGGATTGTATTATAAGTAGCTTAGCAGATTAATTGATTTATCATCTGAATTTACCAACAGCTTCATTAGAGAAGTTCTGAATTGGCCCTCATGTAACAGGTCTGGTTTTGGGGAGACTGAAATGATCTATTCGGTGCTGGCAGTGGGGAAAACAAGAGGGATAGTGGAAAGGAGCCAGAGTGTTAAAAACTCAGTATTTCAATGATATTTTTGCTGGCTGGAAATCTTAGCAGTGCAAGTTTGACAACAGACTCCAGAGCCCCCATCTCTCCCTCCTTTGTTTTGGCAAGTGGATTTGGCGTGGGGTTCGTGCTTGCTGAGGGTGCTGGCAGTGCTGTTGTCCCTGCCTCTCATGAAAACACGAAACAGGACTGGTGCTACTGTCAACAGCTCGTTTGGAGCTGGTCCGAGGGAAGACAGAGCTGACTCTTGTGACATCCCAGTCTGTTCCTGTGGATGTGTGAGATTTACTGGAGGAAATTATTCATTATTTCTGGACTAGGAGTCCTTCACGCCTTTCGCTCCCAAACTTCGCTCTGAGGTGCCAAATCTTGGACCGTGGGTTGTTTCAGTCTTGCTCTGTTCCCTGACTTTCCCACTGGGGTTCATTTGGAGTGGTGCAATAAAGTGGGGGGGGGCCTTGGGCATGCACTGAATGTTTTGGGCTTTTCTGAGAAACCCTGAGCGTGTGGCTGCTCCAGCATTTGAAGGCATTTGTGTTTGAAGCTGTCTGCAGAGTGGGAAATATTCTTGCCCAGAGGGAACACAGCAATCCTTATCGACTGTTAGAAGGGAAATATGGCTTTGAGAATGCCAAAATTGCCTCCATGCATTTGTTATGCCTGTGATAGCACTTAGAGACAAAGCTGCAATAGGTTGGGAATATTTTGATACACTTTTGCTGGAAGATTGTGCTTTTGGGAACCACAAATGTTTTACAAGAAGGAGTTTTGTTTCACTTGGGGCAAGATAAAAGAGAAACATGGGTTTAATGATATTTAAACCAAAAGAGTATCTGTCAGGGTGACTTCTGACACTATTATTTTTATGATTTCTCATAAGGCATAAATGAGTTTGAAACCCAAATAAGGCTGTATGATTAAAAACCATTAATTCCTTTTCAGTTACTGGTATGTGAAGATCAACATTGGGATGAATCAGGAACGGGACTCAAAGCTTGAATCTCCCACAGAAAGCTGTGCCCTGAGAGCTGTGGCTGCACATCACTGTGCTCAGCTGGCTTCACTGCTGCCCTGCTCTTTTTGTCTTGTCTTTTGCAGGATGGGATAAACATTCTTATGGGTACCACGGGGACGATGGGCACTCCTTCTGTTCCTCGGGGACGGGGCAGCCCTACGGCCCCACCTTCACCACTGGGGACGTGATCGGCTGCTGCGTCAACCTCATCAACAACACCTGCTTCTACACGAAAAATGGCCACAGTTTAGGTAAGTCAGGGAAGGTGTTTTCAGGGAGAGGGGTGCTCCAGCCCTGCCCTCGCTGCTGTTTAGCACGTTCCTGTGTTGTAACTCTTGGCCCGTGCCTGTGGGTAAGGTTTAAGAAATGGAAGAGAAGAGAGCGCTCAGCAGCAGTCAGGAGTTGGGAATTGGCTCCAAGACAGAAACAATTCCAGCAGGTAAAGAGGTGTCTGTGCTGCTCCATTTGTTCAGGTAGATAAGGATTGCCTGGCTGGGCAACAGGGAAATAAAGAAGTGGGAAGTTAAATTCCTGGTGTCTTCATTTTTAAAGGGACTTGTCATTCCCCTGAGCATTCCCAAAGCTAAACGTGGATTCAGCATAAGAAGTCTTATTTAAGCACTGGCCATTAGTTTGGTTCATTCCACAGTTGTTTCAGTTATTGTCCTAAACTTAAAGGACTTCAAAATTTTGCCCAAATGAATATCTCACAGATGTTTTCCAGGCATCTGTCATATCTGATTTCTTTAAGATAGAAACTTTTGGCCATTTTCCCCTAAAATACCTTTCGCTTGGATGACACGTTCTCTACCCCAGATAAATTCTTGTCTTTTTTTTTTTTTTTTGGTCACATAGGAGATGCAGAAAGTTTTTATAAGTTCATCTCACTTTTTTGTGCTGGGATTCATTTGGTTTGGCAGGGAGGGACAAGCTCTCCTTTCCTTTGCTTCTCCTTGCTGCGTCAATTCAGGATGAAGAGGCTGGTAGAGGAACACCCTGCTCAAAACACTTAACAGAGCAAAGTAGCTTTGAGTTGCTGGCTGGGCTGATGGAGGGAGTGGGATTGGAGTGCAGGGTGTGCCTGGAGAGGGCGTAAATATCTGGTGAGCTCCTGGGAAAAGGACTGAGCTCCCTGGGATTAGAGAGAGATGGATGTACTGGAGGGAGTCCAGCAAAGGGCTGCCCAGATGATGAAGGGATTAGAGCATCTGTCCTGGGAGGAAAGGCTGAGAGAGCTGGGGCTGTTCAGGCTGCCCCTGTCAGTTCAGTACTGGTAAGACAAATAGAGGCTTGAGAGCAGCAGCTGATGGTGTAGAGCATGAGCTGCTGCTTAGGAATGAGATAAGTTCATACAGCAGCAACTGAGGTGATGAAATAGTTCAAAATATTTCAGAAAAATCTCTCCATTTAGTTGCTGTCCTTGATTTTTAGCACATATTTACACAGAAGGCCTGTAGTGGTTTGTGCTGTGGCCCTGTGGGTGTTTTGTGGTGTTGGAGTGGGTGGTTTTCCAGCTTCACTGTTTTTCAGCCTGACAATGCTGTTGCTTTTCACCACAATGGAAGTGTAAGAGTCAGGAGCAGGCCAGACCTTCTGTTTAATGAGTATGAATTTGTTAATTTGAAGTTTAATTTATTTGTAATGATCAGGAATCTGCACAGCGTAAGCTGTGGCGGTTGAAAAGTTGTCGCTTGCTCCGTCAGGACCATGTTGTGCCTGAGTGTCTGAGCAGATGGAGCCAAACAAAGAGCCCAGTTCAGTAATTCTGTGTTGCCTTTCGTCATTGCCACCCTCTGATTCTTTGCCTCGTGTCCTGCTCTGAGATCTGGTTTGTTTGGGACATTCAAAGTGATCTGGTCTTCCCTTCTTAAATTTTAGTGCCCCTTTTCCTTCAAAGATGGGGCTTTTTTGGATGGGAATCTTGTGGGTTTTTTCTAATCTGTTCCTTGGGGAGCAGCCCAGCCCAGCAGTGAACAATGCCAGTGGGAAGAAAGAGGAGAGGCAGTGTGCTTAGAGAACAGCATTAAATATCAGCACTGCTGTGCCCTGGGTGTCCTTGGGCTCTTCAGACACACAGAGCAAGACATGAGCTGTGTGAGAAAATGGCAGGTAGAAGACTGAGCTGAGCATTCACAGCTGGCTGCTGTGTGTACCAGCTCCTCTTTGAGCTGTGGTAGCACAGTGGTTGTACTGAGAGAGGAGGGACAGTGTGGTTAGAGGAAACAGGGATGGAGGTGCCACAGAGCAGCAGAGCTCAATCCTTGCTGGGTGACCCCACAAAAGCTGCAGGAACGTTTGACCCACCTTTTTTACAAAAGCAGGATGAAAACCTCACCCTGGAAGACAATTGTTAAGGGCCAATGGTGTCTGTTTGTGTCACTGAATAAGAAACACGTGGTCCAAGAGAAGTGTTTCCTGTGGATGGCTGAGGAGAGGAACCCTTGGCCACAGATTGCAGCCACCTGGCTGTTACTCAGCTCCTCGTGGGCTCAGGAGGACACACGTGAGGGAGGTGCCAGCAGAGGAACCAGGACCAAATGGAGGCAGAGGCAGTTTTATCTGGAAGTCAGGATGCTTTCTTCGCTGGTGGAAGCATCTCCTTGAAGATCTTGACCTTTTCGTGATGTTTTGTGCTAACTTGAGAGTTTCATTTCTATGCTGTGGAAACCCAAGGTTTACCAGGAAAGGGGTTGAATGTGTTTTTTCCTGATGTTCCCTGACATAAAGCCCCTGTAGCTGTCCTGCATCTCCTCTTAGGGGATGAGGTCATTGTGTAATCCTGCTGAAGATACTAAAAATATGCATGAGACTAATCAGCCCCTTTGTGAGGCCAGTTAGCTCGAGAGTAGGGTGTCAGAGTTTGAATTTGTCTTGCTTTTAATAGAATTACTGTAGCTCTGTCTTTCCATTTCTCTCTTCACCATTTCAGTCCTCTCCTTTCCATCTGTTAATTAGACACCCCCCCTTTTGTTTTCCTTGCAGTTTCTTCTGTTGCTTAACTTTTATCTTCCATTGTCTCCATACTTTTTCATTTAATCAGATCCATCAGGAGCACTGTATAAAGAACTGTTTTCTTGGCCATCACAAATTCTGGATGTTCTGGTTGGAGCTAAGTCTTGAACTTTGTTTGGAGACGTCACATGAAAACTGTTTGACATCGTATGTAGTCTTAATTCTCTGTTCTGGAAAATGTCTTGAATGTCTCTTCTGGCTGCTGATGAAACGCTTTTGACAAGTCCTGAGCAGAGTCCTGGCGGTAAAAAACATAATGAGATGTGGCTGGAAGTGTGGTAAGGGTGAGTTAGGAGAGAAGGAAGGAGAAATGTTGGGGCTGCAGCCATTAAGAGGAAAGTCTTGGACTAGGATGTGAGGAGAGAATGTGACTGCTCCAGGTCTCTACAAGGTTTGAGTGGATGAGTTTGCTCAGGGAGTAATGTAGGAGTGTCTCAGAGCTCAGACTTTGACAGCAGACCAAGGTAAATGGAGCAGCAGGGCTATAAAAAGAGCACACAACCCTCTGAAGTCTTGGCACAGAAAACTTCCTGTAGCTTGAGTTCTAGTGCAGGCTCTTGGAAAGACCAAGTGAACCTGTAAAGTCAAATATCCATTCTGCAGCCAGTTTAGGGACTAAGGGAAACATTAGGGATAATGAAGAAATCTGTTGTCATAGAGATCCACAGGTGTCAGTCCCAGGTTTAATAGGTTTGTCCCCAAAACTTCAAATGAAGTTTGCAGAGAGCCAAGAGCATTGGGTTGTTTAAAACAACACTTCAGGTTAATCAAGTTTAAAATCACAGAATCCTGCAGTGGTTTGGGTTGGAAGAGACCTTAAAGATCATCTCCTTCCAACTACTCTGCTATGGGCAGGGACATCAGCACTGCTCGAGGATTCTCTGGATCACAGTTACCTAAACAGATGCTGGGGGAGTGTCCTGACATGCACGTTGTGTGCACAGGGAGGTGCATAAGTGTGTTTTAGTCATGGAGAGCTGGAAATCCTTTGATTAGATGGCAGGTGAAGGTGTTGATCTCATTTAATGCCTTTATGACACTGCCTTGATGATCATGTTAATGTTGTGGACTTGAGAGAGGCTCTTCACACCTTTGCTCTCTCCTCCTGACCCCTCGAGTTGTCCAGTTCTTATGTCCTTAAATTTATGAGGGCTGTTGTTTTCAACTGGATCCAGGGTTTGTGGATGCTGCAGGGAGAGGATGCAGTTTGACATTCAGCTGCCCAGTTGGAGCTGTGATTGTTTCACTCTGTGCTGTTGAGTTTGCAGGGTGCAGATTCAGGATGAACTCAAAGCAGACGTGTTTGTGGAACAGATTGTGTCCTGTGCCATAAAGCATTCCATTAGTCTTAGTTGTTGGAACAAAAGGTGCAAAACATACATTTGTCTTATTGTAAGGGCAATGTAATAAGTTTATTTATAGAATCACGGAGTAATTTTCGCTGGGAGGGATCCCTGGGGGTCATGTATCCAACACTGTGCTGAAAGCAGGCCCAGCTACATCATGCTACTCAGAAACTCCTCGAGCTTTTACTGTCTTCAAGAATGGAGATCACCCAGGAGTTTTTTTTCTGGTCCCCTAATTCATTGTTTGACCACATTCATACTGAATTTTTCTAATCTGAATTCCCCACGTTGCAGCTTGTCTCTGTTGCCTCCTGTCTCCTGCCACCAAGCATCTCTGAGAAGTCTTTTCTATGAGGTAGCCTCCCATAGAGGTAGTTGTAGGCAGCAATAAGCAAAAAAATGGTGTTTTTAAGACTGAAGAGTGGCTTTTCCCTTAGCCTTGCTTTGTCTTCCTGGCCTCTGCCAGACTCACTGCAGTCTCAGTGTGTCTTGTGTTGAAGAGCCCAAAAGTGGACATCAGACCCCAGTGTAAACTCACAAGTGTTGGAAGAGAAGGGGAAAAATCCCTTCCTTTAACCTTTACTTTTACTAATGCAGCCCAGCTCTACTCTAATACAGCTCAGGGTGTGGTGTGTGGTTGATCCCCCTCACTGCAGAGACCCAGCACTGCTCTCCTTGTTGCCCAGCAGGACCCTGAATCCTTCTCTGCTTTCCCTCCAGTCAGCCCCAGCCTGTCGTGTTTTCTGGGAATATTACAGCCTGGTGGCAGGGCTCTTCAGTTGCTTTTGTTGAGCTCTGGGGGGTTTGTGCTGGATCATTTCTCCAGCACTGTGCCCTGCAGGCTGCTGTCCACTCTGCTGGTTGTTGTGAGCCTGCTGGGAGCGCGCTCCGTCCCCTCATCGGGGTCACTGGGAAAGAAAATCACACTGTATTGGCCCTGCCATCGATCCCTGGGGGACAACTCTCGGACTTTGAGCTGCTGATCACAACCCTTCGATCCTGACAGTCCAGCCAATTTTCCACCCACCTTGTAGTCCACTCAAAACCCACATCCTTGTCCATGTGCTGGAAGCAGCCACACGAGCCAGGCCACCTTTGGCTGCGAGCGGTGCTGGGGGCACAGGAGGACTCCAGGACATCAGGCTCCAGGAGATTGACCTCATTCTACCATAAGGGTACAAACAAGCTTCCATCCAGCTGAGCAAAACAACTGCAAAGTGGAATGAAAAAAGAAAAAAGGTCTGAGTGAGGAACGATACTTGGGTGAAGTGAGGAGGTGAGAGAAGTGCTCACTGAACGCTGTCCTCAGGTGTTCAACATCACCTGCATACACAGCTTCTGGTTGGGTATAGAGAGGGTGCTCAACACACAAGGTCCAAACTGCCAGGATGTTCCTTAAACCATATTGGCTATCTGCCAGGATGTTAATTTAACTTTATTGGGTGTTTATTTAGTGAAATATTTAGGATTTCCTTCTGAGCCCTTGATTTCGGATCTGTGCCGGTTTGAATAGTAATTATTTGTTACCTGTGTTGACTCCTAAAACTGCTTTAAATTCCCATTTCAGGCTGGTGGGTTGCAGAGCTGTGCCTGTTATAGCCTAAAGCAAAGCAATGTTATATACAAAAATTCTGTTTCTAAAGAGCCAAAGTCCTTTGTAGTAACAGAGGGAGAAGCAAAGGAAAGAGGAGCTGCCTTTAGAAAACCAAATTTTTGGGAGAGATGTCAGAAACCCTGAACCTTCCTTCAGATGCAAAACTTTGCAGAAGAGGGGACTGGGGAGGGAAGTTTACTTCTAAATATGACAGGGTCAAAGCTGGGATTTGTTGAAATACAGTTTTGTATCGTGTCAAGGATGTAGGCAAGCAGGGGAAAAAAAAATCCTTTGTCTTTTTAATTCTAATATTTTTTTCCCCCCACAGGTATAGCCTTTACAGACCTCCCTGTAAGTACACCTATTTTCAGTATTTTAACTAAGGATGCAAACAGAATGGGAGGGGGAAGAGTGTGGGGATGTGATTTTTTTTTCTGTTTGATATCCTGTTCAAAAAAAAAAAAAATCAAACCAACATGGTAACACACATTACTGAATGATGAGGATGCTCCTTTTTCTTTCACACACAACTTGTCCTGAAGGTTGCAGCCCTTTGTAGTAAATAACCCCAAATGAATTTCCTCTGAGGAATTCCTAATTTCCCTAACTACTTCAGGCCTCCAAAATGAGCAGTTTTCTTGGCTGACCTCCCTGTTGTGTGGAAGGAGACTTGCTTTGCTTTGTTCTATACTTCCTGCAAAAAAAAAAAAAAAAAAAAGATTTTATTCCTCTGATTTTCATATTGAGAGAAATAATGGCTAGCACTTACAGTTCACCTTCCCAGTGGGATTTAGGGCTTTACAGATCTCTCCCATATCCCAACCACTGCCTGCACTGAAGGACATCCCAGTTATTTGATTTGCCCTTTTCCCTTCAGCTGTCAATACAGCTCTTTTTTGTTTGTTTATTTGTTTGTCTCTAGGCTCTTTGGACTTGGTAATATTGTAGTGTGTTCTAAACCAGAAACCCTTTATGTGGCTTTTTTCACAGCAGTTTATTCACTTGGTCCAAGTACAGTTCGTTGAAGGAAAAGAATATTTTGCCTGCCCATGAAGATTAAACTTTTGGAGCGAGGTCTTGTGACAGCCTTGCATCCATAGCAAGAAGAAGCTTCTGTGATATGACCCTTAGTTTTTGGTGCTCTTTTGTTTTCCCTCTGGCTGTAGATTACATTAGGAATCACAGGATACTCCTGATTTTTTCACCACTTTGTCTTCTCGTTTGGCTGGGCTGCTTCTCCTGTCAATCAGCAATAGCTGTCCAGCACACGTGCCACTGCTGTGTCATTTACAGCTCAAGAGTTGCTGGGGAGCTTCCCAGCACGGACTTCTCAGGCTGGAATTCCCTGTCCTGCTTAGCTTAGCTTGCATCCCATGACTGCAGGAGTGCAGGGGAAGCTGCACGCGCCTTTAATGTGCATTTACACACCTTTAATGTGCATTTACAAGCTGTTCCCCCGGTGTTGAGTCTCTGTTAGGAACAGGGGATGAGCCATCGGGGAAGCAGAGAGACAGAAAGGATTCTGCAGCAGGGAGGTCTCACAGTGCTGCTGAGATTGAATTCAAAGCCCTTCTGAGCCCAGGGCATGTCCCTGTTCCTGCTGTTCCTTGATCTGGCCAGATCATCCTTACAGGATTTTGGGCTCATTCATCTCCTGTGCCGAGGAGATGTTTTAGTGTGAAACTGGGAGAAGACCTGGTCAGGTGGGGTTTTGGGGTCAGCTACTCAGATGCCTTTTAGTGGAGTCTCCAGTGGTTAATTGGTGTCTCTGTGCCTTTTACCAGCCAGTTTGCTGAGCTGTTTCCCATGGAAATCCCCTTCTGGCTTTTACAGCAGCAGTTAATCCATAACACTGCTTTTCTGGGCCAGGAAGGAGAACAGCTGATGCCCTGTAGGCCTCTTGCTATTGAGAATTATCCTTCATGAGATAATTCCCCTTTAAAAAGAGGATGAGAGGAGCCTGTGTGGGTCATGCCACCCCTGAACTGTGGATGTGAGGAAGGATGGGAGACTTCTGCCTCCGTGTGGATTTTGGATGTTCCTCTCCATATGCTAAATGGCTCTGCTGCTGTGCTGGCAGCTTCATCCTAGGGATGTCTGCACCCATCTTCATCTGTCTCTGTTCTAGTATCCTTCTCTTGGATTACTGCCTTCTTCCTTCACCCTTGCAGATCCTGGTGTATTCCATGTCCTCTTTTTGCTCCCTTTTTGGTCCATGGATTCTTGGTTGTTCCAAACAGTTGAGGTTACCACCTTTCCCAAAGAAGAGGGTGCCAAGCCCAAGACAGATTTTTGTTTTGTTTTCAGTATAAGGACTATTGTCAGAGATTGCAGAAGCCTTGAGGTAAGAGGGCATTTGAAGTCACTGTAATTTGCAGGTGGGATTTTTCATTTACTGCAGCACTGTGATCTGGGCTCGAACACAATATCCAGTCATTGGAAGGTAAAGAGGAGAATGCATCCATCAGAGGAAAGAGGTGGAATGTAATCTGTGTTCTTCACCTTCTAAAGCTGCAGTCTAAAAATTTAACTGCAGACAGGAGTGGGAACAGAAAACCTGCCTGAGTGACCCTTGAAGTGCTTCTAGGGTTTGCATGTCAGTGAGACTGCACGAGGAATTAAATTGACCCTCCAAAGCAACACCAGTTTAGAAATCGTTTCCTTGAAGTGCTTGTTCCCAGATTCCCCTTTCAGAGGTAACTGGTGAAGACAATGTTTTGCAATATTTGCAGTATTAGGAAGCTGAAGTGGATCCTGTAAGTTGAAAACCAGCCTCAGACCCAGAGAAACGTGTTTTGGTTCATCTTGTTTCGGTTTCCTCTAAAGGCTGTTTGCATTTGGACAAAAATACAGTAGTGAGAAAAAACACATTTTGGCTTAGCACAGGCTGGAGTTAATACCAAAATAACTGCTTAGTGAGTTCCCACAGAGGGAGCTTCCCCTTTTTTTACCACTTTAAGCCAATGCTTAGGCCTAACTCTTATTTATACAAGCCTGGATCAGGTCTATCCTGCCTGGAGGTTTGCCAAAACAATAGGAAATGAAAAAAAAAAGCAGAATGTGGAAGAGCCCAGGGTGGGATTGCAGGAGTGGAAAGGGGACAAGGGGGTCAAAAACCAGATCAAGATCAGCAAGGGGGTTGTGAGCAACTGGCCACCAACATCAGGGGCAAGGAGTGGTCCAGATGTCACGGGGAAGGTGCACCTGAAGAACTTGGCAGGTCAGTGGGCTCTGGGATAATCTCTGCCTGCATCTGGCAGGGTGCTGGAGATATGTGTAGTTCCCAACAGTTGCTAAACAGAGAGGACACATCCCACGTGTGAGAAATGGAATTTTAACTCTGAGATGATTTTAGAGAAGTGGAGGGGAAGCAGCTTCCCCTCAAAAATTAACATACCCAGAAGTGGCTGAAAAATAACATGGCATCTTGTAAACTGGGGTTTTTTCCTTCTAACTTCCAGGTGTTTTGAGTGTCTGATTCCTGGCTTTGGAAGTTCTTGGGTTTATAATACTAAAGAGTTAATAAAAAGTCTTAAGTATGTTCTGTGAAAAAGATCTGATCCCTCATTAGAGATACTTCCTTGTCAGCCACTTCTGAAAGGATAGAGATACTGGCTTTAAATACAACATTTATCTCTGGTAGCTCTTCTGTATCGTGCTGTGTTTTCTTTGCACACCTCTAACCCAGTGACTTCCTAGATGTGAGAACACCTCTGGCATGAATTCAGAGAACTTCTAGATAGACTTTGGCCACCTATTTTCAATGAGGTCATCTTTAGAAGCTGAATTATTGGCTGAATTTTAGAGGTATTTTCATGGTGGTAACCTTTTTATTTTCCCCATGCCCTGGTGGTGAGTCAAAGCTTCCATTTGGATCCATAGGCTTGTTCCTAATGTGAAATTCATCTGCCACATATCCAGATAAAATAGCTCAGTTGAAACATCAGAGAACAAATACATCTGTTGAGATGATGCACTTTTCATTGATCCTTCTTATTATTGTTCTTATTTTATTATTATTATATTAAATACCATGTTAGTTATTATTATATTAATTATTATCTACTGAATCTTGAACTTTGGTGGAAATTGCAGAAAACTAAGCCATCCACAGAGGCAGTCACAGCTCAGTCACTGGGGGATTGAACCTGCTGTTCTGGTTTTATGCCATAACTTTCATAACTGAACAATAAGTCAGTTCCTTGAGAAGCACCTCAAGGGCTGTTACCTCTTCCTATTCCATGATATTTATTTCAATTTAAAGAGCGGCTCTTTTGTCTTAACAAACCACATAACCAGAACCAGAAAGAGAAAGCTGCATTTAACACAAGTTTTGTTTTTTTCCCTCCCTTCCCAGTCAAATCTCTACCCCACAGTGGGTCTCCAGACTCCGGGGGAGATCGTGGATGCCAACTTTGGGCAGCAGCCCTTCGTGTTCGACATTGAGGACTACATGAGGGAGTGGCGGGCGAAGATCCAGAGCACCATTAAGCGGTTTCCCATCGGAGACAGGCTGGGCGAGTGGCAGGCCATGCTGCAGAAGTGAGTCACTACTACCCTGGGCTTCCCCTTCTTCTGTTTTCTTAGGCTTTAAATGCTGATTTTCGCTCTCTTATTGCAGCAAAAATCGCCCCTCGGTGCATTTTGCTCAAATTGCTTTCCCCTCTTTTTTTGGTGTTGGAGTTTGTTGTTCAATCATCTTCCCTGTGGGGATTGCTGCTGTTTCAAATAGATATGGGGGAGGTTTTCAGCCAAAGACTGCATGAAAGATTGTAGGGATGGAGGAATGTACATTTTGAGGTGGTGCACTGGGGGAAGGGGAGGGGAGAGGACACCATGAAAATTCTAACACAGGAGAAAAGCCAGCATGGAAATCAGCTGAACCTAGAAATGAAAGAGGAACAAAGAGCCTAAACCAAAGGCTTCCAAAAAACTGAAAGCACAGTTATGACACTTCATAAATCTATGAATTGGCATTGGAACAGGCTGCCCAGAGAAATGGTAGAGTCACCATCCCTGGAAGTGTTCAAGAAACCCTTAGTGCTGTGGCTCAGCTGACATGATGGTGTTTGGTCAAAGGTTGGACTTGTTGATGTTAGAGATCCTTTCCAACCTCAATGATTCTATGATCCTATGATCTTTGAACATAAAAACACCTGCATTGGGTGAGTGCACTGATCTGTCAGCCTTAATTTTATGATTATGTTTGTGGGTTCCTGCAGCACTGGAGTGGGTTTTTTTCCTTTCCCTGATAAAACAGACCATTTTTTGCCCCTCTGTTATTTAACTGAATATTTAACCATGTTGGACCTTTCCTTTTAACACATCATCACACTATTTCTTTGAGAGGCTTTGCTGAAAGACTCTGTGGAATACAACTAAGTGCACTGCAAAAGCATCCCTTTTTTGCCTGCTTCCAACTCCTTGCCAAAAATGGGTCAAAATTAGAAAGCTGTGACCTCCCTTTAGAAGAGCTGTTGATTCTGCTGCAGTAGGACCATTTACCCCTCAATTTGTTCCTTGTGTTCTCCAGAATTGTTTTGTCTGACAGGCATGGTAGAGGTGTCAGGGTCACCTCCCTGGAGTTCCTCACAGGTAACGTTACAGGGGCCAAAAAAAATTAAAAAAACTTAAAAAACCTTTAAAAATTACACACCTGCATACAATGTTACACCTAAAAATTATTGCTGGCTCATAAAATACTTTTTTCTTGTGCTGAGAGTGGCCAAGTTGAACGTGTGCTTTGAGCTGTGACTCAATCAGATCAATGCCAGCTTCACCATGGGAAGCCTGTTTTGAGATTCATCACCACCAGCTCTGAAATCCTGTGCTGGTTCTTTAGATTCTGTTAAAATCCAGTGAACATTAATATTTACTCACCATGTCCTGGGAAGGCACAAGTGTGTTAGGAACGGTCTGTTCAGAAAGATGGTGTTGTTTGTGTTTGTTTTCTGATGGTGATGCCTCCTCCTTCCCCCACAGCGTTCTTTGGAAATGCGGCTTCAAAGTGTGTTTATGTTTTTAAAATCGCTGCTGACAGTCATCAGATCAAATTATCTGTGAATGTGTAGAATTCATAAGGAGATTCAACTACTAAAGATATAATTCTTGGCAAAAACGAGTGATGGAAGAAATTCAGCACCAGAATATTGTTTTCTTTTTTAGATCTACTCAAAAGCTGTGAACTTCTCTGAGATTCAGCTTTGTATCTGTATAGGGTGTCCCTGGCAGTAACACAGTACTGAGAGCTTACAAGTGACCCTTGGACAGCAGTCACCAAATAAATAAATACTGTATGTGCATTAAGAGTCTTAATATTTTAATTTTTTTTTCCCTCTGTAAGGTGAATTTAGAGCCTCCCTCCTGTTTGCAGAGGATGTGGTGCCTGTCCTGTAAATTTACACTGTTTGGACCCAGAAGTAGGAGCCTGGTTATGTCCTGAGCAAGCTGAGTTTGTCACTGAAATTGCAACTTCTGTTGTGTTGATTTTTTTTTCTCCAGTGTGATGACCCTGTTTCACCACCTCATCTCTTTGTAATTTTTTTTTTTCTAGTATGGTTTCATCATATTTGGTTCATCATGGGTACTGTTCAACAGCAACTGCCTTTGCCAGAGTCACAGACACCACAATCCAGGAAGAACAGACCTCAATAAAGAACAGACAAAGTAAGTCTCTCAGGTGGCCATTCCCACACTGGCCATGTGTTCCCTTCAGGACTCTGCAGAGGACTGAAGAGTGACATTATAAAGCTCTCCACACTGCTGTGGGTCAGTAGAGCTTGGGAACCTCTGCTGGGAGCACTTTCCCCATCATCACTGTCCCCTCCACCTTCCGCCACCTTTGCCTGGAGAACTGCCCTGTTCTTGCTGTGCTTGGCCCTTCACTGAGCTCAGGCAGGTCACAGAGATGCTTTGATTGGAGTCCTTTGCTGAGGCTGTTGCAGCAGGGGCAGTCCCACAATGACAGGGACCCAACACATCCCTCTGGTCTGACTGCAGCTCCCAGAGCTCAGCACTCTCCCAGTCCCTCTGCACGTTTCGATTTCAGGTAACAATTTTCACATACTGAGGGTTTTTCATATTCACAGCCAAGGTGTTTAGCTCACACTGGGTGAAGAATTCATATTGGATCTGTTTTGGTTACTGCTGTTTCCTGCCACGTGGCTCATCCCTCAGCTTGTAAGGCAGAATTCCTGCAGAGTAAGGCCCGCAGCTTTCCCCTGCTGTACCTTTATTTTAAGCTCTCCCATTCACGGGCTCGGACTGCAGAGTGGCAGAACATTGGTGTGCTTTCTGCATTCTCCTGGCTGTGGAATCCCACCCTGTGCATTGCCCTTCCCTTTGTGAACTGCTCCTCCTGTGACTGTTACGGGTCAGGAGCATTGTGCTCTCCATACATCGGCGTGTGCTTAGCCAGCATTCGGGTTCATCTGGGGACTCTGCTTTTTAAATAACTTGTAGTTGCTGCCTGTTAGTGCTGATGGGGCTTTGTGCTTTCCAGGTCATGCATTATGCAACCCTGACCCTGGCCAGAGTGGGTTTAACTGGTGGAGCCTCACGGAGGCACCAGAGACGGTGCAGCTGCCTGTGCCTGAGGGCAGGGGACAAGGCAGGCAGAGGGAGGGAACACACAGAGCTCCGATGCTGGGGCTTAAATAAAAGGTGTGAGGAAAACACAGATGGGAAAACAAAAAGAAGGGGAGATGTGAAAGGGAATGGCACCTGTGAGAGCTGTCAAAAGCAGCCAGACTTAAAAAACGGCCGTGCAAGGAAGAAGCAGAGGGAAGTGAGAGCTCTTGTGTTGGTCTGAGAGCCACGGCTTTGGTTCCAGCTTTCAGCTTCCATAACAAGCTAATAGACACTGAGAACTGGGAGCCAAGTCATTGCAGTTTATTACTGGGGATTGATAATGAGGATTTACCAGGCTGGGCTTCCAACTGCTTGTGGTTAGCAAAAGCCACAGCCTTACTATCAGAACCTCTGCTTGCAAAGCACCTCACAGGCCATTCAGAAACTTCCCTCTTTTTTACAAGGAGTGCTGGAAAAACAATGCAGTTTTAGTTTTAAGTCCTTTTGGTTTTATCTTTTCTCTTTTTTTTTTGCTGCTAACAAATCCTCCCTCATTTTCACATGATTTTCCTCACCCTCTCCGTAATAAAATGCGGTCCCCAGTTCTCCCAAGCCCTTGTGCCAGGTGGGGAGCTGCGTGGCAAATACGAGACAGCCCTTCTGGCTGTTCCTGTGGGCTGGTCCTGTGTGTCACCAGGTGTCCCTTTGCTTTCAGGAATACAGAAGCTAGTATTAGCAGGCAGAGTGGGAGAGGCTATAGAAGCCACCCAGCAGCTCTATCCTGGCCTCCTAGAACATAACCCCAACCTGCTCTTCATGTTAAAGTAAGTATGAATGGCTTTATACTCCCTCCTCCTGAAATGTGTAGGTGCAGGAGAGAAGAGGCTGCCCAGACATCCAGGCCAGCTGCACACACTGCTCTGAATTCCAGCTGAGATCCATTTGGGAGTCCTTTGCGTAGTGCTTGTAGCCCTTTTGTTGCTGCTCAGACCCACTATGGCTTTGCCTCATGAGGTCAGGCAGAGTTGGGTGAATTTTAGCCCTGCTGACTGCCAGAAACTCCCTGACAAGTGGTCTTCATTTGACCTGTGGAGAACTTGCATTGCTGGAGCAGTGGCAGTCACTGTGAAGGTTCCTAGAAAGGCTGTGTGGGGTAAAGTGTTCCAGTTCTCCATCTGTACAGAGCAGCTCTCCTCAGCCTTCTGAGACATGAGGACGGTTCCCAGTAAAGCTAAATGAGGAACTGTCCTCACTGTCACTGAATTTTTTACTCTTTCTTCTCTATTTTCCTTTGGCCACCAGTGTTTTTAGGTTGATAAAGTAGAGAAGGACAGATTTGGTATCTTCCCTCTGAAAAAAAAACCGTTCCACTGTTGAATTTTGGAGTACCTGCAGAGGAGCTGGAGGTGAAAGCTGCAAAGGATCAGTTTCTTCTTAGCACAGTGGAATTAAACTTGCTTTTTGGGAATTTCTCAACATTTATTATCATCAGAGTTGCAGTTTCTGAACTCCTCCTTCCTGTAGCTTTATCAGGGTACAGTACCCACTGCCCTCACAGTATACAAAGGCGTCAGGAGTCTGAAATGTCCTCTTGAAAGCCAGGGAGTTGAACCCCTTGCAGTTTCTAGGAGTTCCCTGCTCAGGAGCTGGGGAGGGCTCAGTGCAGAGCATCCTGGCTGTCACGCAGCCCTTCCCCTTGTCCCCTCCTATGAATGCAGGTGCCGGCAGTTCGTGGAGATGGTGAACGGCACGGACAGCGAGGTGCGTTGTTTCAGTGCCCGCAGCCCCCGGTCCCAGGACAGTTACCCCGGCTCCCCCAGCCTCAGTCCTAGACACGGATCAAGCAACTCCCACGTTCACAGCACCGGTAAGTGCGTTCTCCTCATCTGCCAGAGAGGAGAGCGGGTGTCCAAGGTGGATGTTACTCCGTGAATTGCTCCTTTCCCAGCTGAGATGATGCAGTGTTAGCGTGTGTGTCCATTGTTGAGCTCACAACAGAGTGGTATTGTCAGTCTGGTCTCATTTGTCTTCTCTTCTTGGCTTTCAGGAGCAGATAGTCCAACCTGTAGCAATGGAGTCATGTCCACAAAAAGCAAACAGAGTCACAGTAAATACCCAGCACTGAGTTCATCATCTTCATCTTCCTCCTCCTCTTCCCCCTCATCTGTGAACTACTCTGAGTCCAATTCTACAGATTCTACCAAATCTCAGCAGCACAGTAGTACGAGTAATCAAGAAACCAGGTATTTTTTTCCCTCTGGAGATACCTGAGTGAGGGTGGGATGGTGGGAAAGGGTTCAGTCTGCTTTCTGAAGAGCTGGAAGGTCATCTCTCCTGCCCCTTTGAGCACTATTAGTATCTACAAGGCCACTACGAGTCCCAGCAGCCACAGACCTGTTCCAGTTTCCCCTTCTGTGGCTCAGGCTTGGAGTTTTATCTCATTAGGAATATTATGATGCTCCTGTTTCAGACACCAAGCTGCCCCATTACACTGCTGCCTTGGGAGCCCAACGTGATAGTTTGTCTAGACACTCTAATCAGTAGTTATTCAGCAGTCTCAGTCACTCTGCTGTCTTGAACATTTGAGTGTTCTGTATTGCACTCTTTGCAAGGACTGAGGGCTTAGCCAAGATTCCCCTCCTGTGCAGTCTGTCAGTGTGTTATCTGTTGTCTGGCTGCTGTTTGCTGTCCCAGGGATGAACACCTCCTGAGGGGAAAATGCAAAGCACTCTGCACCTGGAATTATGACAGGCACTTTCAGAGCAGAAACCTGCACCAATTTTTGCTGCACTGACTTAGACCATCTGACTCCCTGCAGTCCAGCTGGCACCTTTCCTGGTCTGCTGGCTGTTGCTGGGCACCATTTGGCACCTGAGCTCTTAATTTCTTCCCTTTCTAATTTAGACATCTAACCTTTCTTCCCTCTTTTCACCTCAGTGACAGCGAGATGGAAATGGAGGCTGAGCATTATCCCAACGGAGTCCTGGAAAACTCATCCACCAGGATAATGAATGGCACCTACAAGCATGAAGAGATCCTGCAGACAGATGAGTCCAGCATGGGTAGGGCCTCAGGGGCAGGAGGGGGAAAGGGAAATAGAGCTTGGTATCCAGAGTTAAAACTGTGATTGGATAGTGGGGAGTGGAACATGAACTTTGGGCTTCTTTCCCCACCCAGTGAATGAAGTTCTCAAGGTGCCTGTTTCATGGGGAAAATTAATCTGTCCTGGAACTAAAACTAGGTGTGGCTTTTCATTAATTAATGGCAATGTTGTGGAGCAGGGAGAGCAGTAGGAGTCAAAGGTTTGTTCAGTGCTGGTCATGAAATCCAGCTCAGAGCAGAAGTGCCAGCTGGGGAGTTGAGCTGGGTTGTGCCTCAGCACAGCTGGTCCTGTTTGTGGGTGCTTGAGCCAGGAGGGAGAGGATGAATCAGCCACACTTCCCTTGAAACTGGGGATTCCTCCAGTTATAATGGGTCTTGTGGTCAATACTAGGAAGCTGGTGGTGTTGGCATGTCTGCCTGAAAGTTTTCTGAGTGCAGGATTTGTTGAACCAAGGGATTGCTGTGTTGTGTGTGTTGTATCACACACATGAAAGGGTAACACAGCTGCAGGTGCAAGTTCCTGGGATTTCATCAGGAGACCTGATTTCTAGGTAGTCCTCAGGCACTAAACTGAGCTCAAATCTTTCCTGTGCTTATCAGGCACTGTGGAAAGCCCACTGCTGGCTGCTGTAGTGCAGGAATCACAGAAAGCTTCCACTGGCATAAACTTAGAGCAGCCACCTGCTCCAGAAGGGGAAGGAGTTTGTGGGTGTCATGACACAGAGTGGGCATTGTTGAGGAAATAAAGATGACTGTTCCTTCTCCACTGCCTTTCCTCCAGAAGACAGCTGTCCCCAGAGGCAGCTCTGTGGAGGGAACCACGCTGCCACCGAGAGGATGATCCAGTTTGGACGGGAGCTGCAGATCCTGAGCGAGCAGCTCTGCAGAGAGTATGGGAAGAACACCGTGCACAAAAAGATGCTTCAGGTAAGCCTGGGCCTTTGTGCTGCACTGCAGCAGTTCTCTGGGCCAGGACTGGGGGTGTGGGTTCCCTTGCAGACCCTGGGTAGCCCCCACTTCTGCACCTGCTGAGGAAGAGGGGGCCTGCGTGGGGATCGGAGGTCAAAACATGAACGTAGAGCATCTACACCCGATTCTCAGCACAGGAGAGAAGAACTACAGCTCCTGCATGCTCTTCTTCTCTCCAGGTGACACTCTGCCTGCCTTCCTGTGCTGGCTCCCCTGCCAGGTGGAGGGGGCACCCTCTTTAATCCACTCTCTTGATGGCCCAGGGTGGTCCTTTGCTGCCAAGAAGAAAAGGGCCATTTCTTTTCAGGAGGTAGGCGCCTGTCACCGTGGTGATGGCAGGAGGTGCCCCAGCTGATGGACTTGGCTGTTCTGCTGTGTGTTTGCAGCCTTGCAGGACCTCACTGTGCCTCTCTGTTCTCTCCCACAGGACGCCTTTAGCTTGTTGGCTTACTCAGACCCTTGGAACTGCCCCGTTGGCCAACAGCTGGACCCCATCCAGAGGGAACCCGTGTGTGCTGCTCTCAATAGTGCTATATTGGGTAAGATGTGGTTCCTGAGGGAGCTGTTCCCCCTGGATACACATGCTCTTGAGAACTGTCCTGTGGTGGGCAAGCCTGTGAGTGTTGGGGAAAGTTCCAATATTCTTGTGTTCAGCTTCAGCCTCTCTTTCTGTTACTGGGGACTGTCAGGGCAGTGATGCAGGAAGGGGGGTGGAAGGGAAGCCTGCAGAGAATGAATCCCCCTGAGAAACTCTTCTTTTGGATCCCTTCTTTGCATCTTCCTCAATGCTCCTTCCAGGGATGCTCTTTAGGATTTTCCTCCCCTGCTTCCAGAAGAAGCCAAGATCTCTTTGATGTTCTGAACCCACCGGAATCATTTTGCAGGCGTTACCAGAGCTCTTTCCCATGCTGTGTGGGTTGGCAGAGTTCAGTCCTGGCATCATCCTGCTTTCTGGGAGGGGATGCAGTTGCTCTGTTGCAGCACCTTGGGAGTGAAGCCGTTTCCCGTAGTGTTGGCTCTGAAGCAGAGGGGAGCCATAATTCCAATTACCTTTGAGTTCATGCTGGATATGCAGGGTTAAATGCAGACAGGGTTTACCTTCCCTTCAAGCACTGCCTCTGTGTGTTCCCATCCTCTGCTATGGCTGCCAGATCCCAGAGAGCCTGGTTCCCTGCAGGCCAACACTGGAACTGGGCAAGCCCTGTTGCTCTTTCCCTTACGGTCTTAACTGCACTGAGAGGACCCTGCTCTGTGCAGAGATCTGGTTATGGGTTGGTTTTCTTCAGCTGTCAAGGCAGCTCCTCTTTTTCTGATCAGCTTTGCTCTTTGTGTCAGCAGGATGGTTGGATCCAGGTATGAACAGTCTGTTGCCCTCCTCTGTGTCCTCAGAGCTGAACATTTATGCCTGTGCTCCCATTTTCCTTAGACAGGCATGTTTCATGGCCCCACAGCTTGTTGTCATTTGCCCCCCTGTCTTGAGCTTGGTGTAGTAAATGCAGTGGCCTGCCATGATGGAAGTCTTTGCTGCCATCAGTGTCTTGCTGTGCTTTTACTGATCCTCCTGGCATCTTCAGCTACAGAAAAACCCATGGTGGAGAAATAATGAGGTTATGGCCTGCCACCAGTCTGCAAGAAAGGGATTGATTCGTTCTAGGCAGGACCAGATCATGCCCATGCTGTGTCAGTGCCCGGGTAACTTTGCAGGACACTCCCCAGTGTAGGTTAGCTCAGCCCATCCACAGCACCAAACACTGTCACTGGACAGGTTCTCTGTCTTGGAAACCCGTGCTGGGCTTCTGTGCACAGTCTGGCTCACTGTGCCCAAGAGGATTTCCTGGGGGGTCTGTGCATCTCACACTGAGTGTGCCAGAAGGAGATTTAGAGATTGTCTTCTGGGGGAAGGAACAGCTGTTCTGACTGACTAGAGGAATTACATGTTTTGGGAGGGAGAGTCCCTTCCCCTGGCAGTCAGCAGTTGTTTGTCAGTGCTTGGGGAGCATGGACAAGTCATTGAGAGCTGTCACCAGGGAGACATGAGAGATGGTGTCTGGACATGCTTCATCACACAGGTCACAAGGCACCTTGTCCAGCTCAGCTGAGGGTTCCCTCGTGCTTGCACAGCGAACACGCCGGTGTAAAGATGAGGGATGAGTGAGTGAGTTTGTGCAGGGCTTGGGCTGCTGTGTAGTGTGAGAGGTGGAGAGCTTGCCTCTCACTTGGTGCCAGTTTCTCCTGCCTTTCCTTATTCTTCCGTGCTCCGACTCCTCGTGCTTGGAGGGTTTTCTGGCAGACACCATCAGCAGGAGCTTCACTGCCTTGTTGTTGCTCTGGCCACCACAGCAGCACTGTCTCGAAGGCCCTGCTGAGCTGTGGGACGTGTCATGGGTGGTGGGGTCCGTGCAGGAGCAGCAGCAGCACAGAGCCAGCAGAACTCCAGGAGCAGCTTCCTTCCAGAGCCAGCACCTCCTGCCAGGGATGCTGGGCGGGGACTGAGAGGGACCCGAGTGCAGGTGAGCCAGGACAGCCCTTCTAAACGGATTTCTTTCTTTGCCCCCACAGAATCTCAGAACCTGCCAAAGCAGCCCCCGCTGATGCTTGCCCTGGGCCAGGCCTCGGAGTGTTTGCGGCTCATGGCTCGCGTGGGCCTGGGCTCCTGCTCCTTTGCCAGAGTAGACGACTATTTGCACTAACACAGAGCAGGATGGAGCCGACATCGCCGAGTGCTGCCCTTCACCCTCCGTTGCTGCCACTCTGCACCACCAACCTCGTCCGATAGCCCGACCTCCCTGCCACCGACACCACCCCCTCTAGCACACACAAACACTGCCTGTCAAAGGACTGAGTGAGTCCCTCACTGTGTGGCTATTCCTGACCCCGGGAACGACTGGCAGATCTCACCTGTGTCCCTGCCGTGGCTGCGGCTCCAGCAGCGCTCAGTATTTCGCTGGTTATTCTAATGTAGCGCCTTCTGACGTAGGGGTTTCTCTTTGTTTTGATTTTGAGTTGTTTCTCATGGTTCCACCAATATTTTATCTGGAGAGTTTTTGCCTGAGCTGGTTTATGCTGATTTACTGAGGAAGCTGATCAAGTTGGTGACAGCTTGTTCTTTTCTTCCCTTCTCCCTCCATCGTGCACATACAGCATCATCTTCTGTGTTAGTTATCTGAACTCTTCTCACAGTGGCAGTTCAGAGGGATTTATTTTTTTTTTTATTTTATTTTATTTGAATCATGTTTATTAAAAAGGTCTCTTCCACCTCCACAAAGTCATTGATGTATTTATTGCCCACAGACTCGGTCCCAGACATAACACGTCGTACAACCCCGCAGGAGACCTGGTGAGGTAGGTCCTGTCACTCACTAAAATGGGAGTTGGAGGAGCCTGGTCCTTCATGGTGCCTCTCTTAAGAGCCCAAGGCTCTCGAATTTGGCTCTGTGAGCAGGAAGAGTGGAAGACTTTGCCATTGCCTTGTGTTAGTGGTTGTGCTGTAGAAGTGTCTCACAACCCTGAGAAGTAGTTAAATGCAGCTCTCCTGGCAGCTGGAGGGACAGGACTGGTGAATATGAAGTCATCTGCCACTGCAGGTCGTGTGAGGCTGCCAGAAACATCCACGGGTGCTGCCCCGTTGGGCCAAGAGTTTTTTGTTAAATTAACAAATCCCCCTTTTTCTCCGTGTAGGAGGGCCCTGTCACTAAGACTCAGTAATCACAGGATTTCCTGCCCCCACATCCCCATAACACTGATCTAAATGAGCACTGCTGAATTTTGGAAGCATCTGGAGAAGCCTGGGCTGAGCTGTGCTCACCCTCTCAGGTGGGATGTGCCAACATCAGCTGGTGGGTTGGGGTCAGTACCAGCTTTGCCAGGCCTGAGCCACTCAGGAGAGAGCAGCAATGTTTCTTTAGGGATTACTAAGATAATTATTGAAGTTTCAGGCCCAAAAGAGACCAGCAGAGTTCCTGAGTGTGCACTGTTACCTGGAGAGGCTGTGGCAGCACCATGTGCTTTGCCTGCTCTGCTGTGCCATGAAGAGGTGGCAGGTTCAGCCTGGCTGCATGGCAGGAGTTGCAGTTCTGCACCAAATGAATCTGAGGTCAGTAGCTCTGGGGAGGACCCAGGGGAGCTCAAACTGAACGTGACTTTTCACTGCTGTTCACAAATTTCTTTTTTTTTTTTTTTTTTTGAAGGTTTAGTGTGCCACTGAGAAGGGAGAGTGGTGTGTGACCTCTGAGCTAGGCTGGATTTGCAGCTGGCACATGAGGTCTGAAATCCAGGCAGGACAGGGGTCAGGAGTCTCCTGCACTGCAGAAGATGACTGTGGCAGGGAACGTGCAGATGGTGTTGGAGGTGGTTGGGAACGCTATCCCTACGTTTTGGTGAAGGTGTACAGCGTGCAGAGGCAGTGCTAGAGCCGTGGTGGCCTAAGAAAACACTCAGCTGGAGGTTTGGAGATGGAGGAGATATTTCTGTCAGGAATAGCAGAGGAAGAAAGCAGAGAGAGCTCTGCCTACCACAGCCTTTTTCTAGGGAGACAGAGGCAGAGGGCTGCCCTGAACAGAAGAATTTAACTTGGACATCTGGGGCTTCCTGACAATTCTGGGAGACACCTGATGTGCCTGAAAGCTCACCTGTTGATTTTCAGCTCTGCCCATTGGCCTGCAGGTGGATATTGCCCCAGCCTGCAGTCCTTGCCTGGCTGCAGGTGCAGAGGTAACTCAGTGGACAGGTTTCAGTACCTGGCTTTGCCTTTCACGTTTGGCAACGTGCTCTGCTGTTGGTCACTGTTTAGCTGGCAGCAGTCTGGCTGCAATCAGACCTCTCATCTTTGTAGCAACACTATCTTTATTTCTTTCTGAGGTTTTTGGGTTCCTTCTCTTTGTGGTTTCTTTAAGCCAAGTCTTTTCATCTTGTGTCACAGTAATGCCCCGCTTGGTTTCCCCGCAAAGCTGTGCTGGCTGTCCTAGGGCATCTTTTTTTATTTTGGTTTCCCTTTCACTACAAAAAGAAACCACCAAAACAAGAGGTGTTCCTAGATTTTTGGTCGTTCTTGTGCCAAGAAATGCCTGATGAATGTTCCTTGGGGTTTTTTTCATTTATTTCAAGTGGTCTGGTGGTTTCACTACTGGTTTCTGCTTGTTTTGCTCAGATTCTGACTAACGTGGCCATGACTCAGTAAGGAGAAGATAAAGCATTCTTTGCAGTGTGTGGTGGGGTGTAAGGCCTGCACCTACCCCTGATTCCTAGATGGGATTTCTGACTTGCTTTTCCCAGGTTGTATTTCAAAGCCTGTTGCCTTTGAATCCCCCTGGCCTGCTCTTTGATGGTTCACGTTGGCTGAAACTTGGCTTGCATTGTTGCAGTAATTTTAAAAAAGCAGAACTAAAGTGAATTGGGGTCTTCAGCTTTGAATGTGGCTGTGCACCTAAACAGAGGCTATACCTGCAGTTCAGGAGATTACTTCTGTGAAAGCTGGAATTTGTTATTCCAAGCACCTTGAGCAGCCTGGTCACCGCTCCCAGGAGAAACCTCTTCCAGCTCTGCTGGGGCTGCAGCTCTGGGCAGCAGCCACTCCACCTGCCTTCCTCAAACTCACCACTGCAGTGAGGGCCTCTCAGAAGGGTGACCTTTCACAGGGACCTGGTGGAAACCTGTTTTTGAGGGTGGTGAACAGCAGCCCTGCCCATCCTGGGCGTCGGGTTTGAGCCCAGTGCCCTGACTTGTTAAGTGGCCTTCTGAGAACAACATTTTGGGAGCTCCAGAGCTGGAGCCTTGGGTAAAGTGTCCTTCAGGGGTTCTGTGGAGAGATCTTGATGGAGCTGGATTGCATCTCCAGGCTTTTCTCCCTGTGGAGGAGGGTTCATGCTGTTCCCCCAAAGCACTGAGTGAGAGCATCAGGAATTCACTGGGAGAACTTTGGAGTGAGGTGCACTGGAGTGTCAGGGATAAAGGATTCTGGGAGGTGTGTCCACCTTGTACACATGCTAGTCCAGCCTGTGACCCTTTTAGTGGCCTTGGATGGATGCATTCCAGTTTGTAGACATCTCTCCTCTACAGGGGGAGCCAAATCTTATTCCTCTTGGTTCCTGTTCCTCTTGGAACCATCTTGTTCCAGGTGATTCTTCTGGATGCTCCATGAGCCTATCCTAGCAGGTGTTTAACAAAAGCTAACTCAGGACTCAGAGGGTTGAAGGAGGTGTCAGATGAGCCCTCCCATGAGCAGGGAGGTCTGTTTTCCGTGCATCTTTCAGTGTGCTCTCAGAGCCAGTTTGTTTTGGGAAAACTTCTTGCTGCTGGGAGATGCAGCTGTGACTGGTGGGGAAGATGGGCCCCTCCAGGAGTACCATTCCTCGTGGTCACCTTCACCTGGATCTTCCCATATGCTTCCTTATTCCTCCTGGTTTCTTACAGTGACATCTCAACCTGTCCTCAAGCTGTGCCCTTGTTTTTCACATATTATTAAGGCATCTCTACCATTCTTTAAATAGCTTTGTTCTTGAGTCTCCCTTGAACAACTGGAGCAGCCAGAGCTGCTGGAACTCGTTCTGGGGATTGAGTGTGTAATTTTCCACCTTGGGCATCAGGGATGATGAACCATCCCCTGCTTCAGCAAAGCAAAGCAGGTTGGATCGCTGCTGTGCTTTGGTACCTGTCTGTGTTAATGCATAGCTTAGATGCAAGTTTCAGAGTTTCTTCTGCCCTGGTGGGGTTGATTGAGGAGGTGAATCATGGCAGTCAGGCTGTGGAGCAGCCTGTAAATGCTGTGAGGCTGCGTGGGGCACCACACGGGATCGGGAAGCTCTTCCCACAAAGAAGCAGAGTGCAGACTTGAGCTACCCCACAGGCAGCAGGTGGAGAGAGGGGTCCATCATGCTTCAGTCTCGAGAGAAGGAACACCTTGAGAAAGCCCTGGTCCACCCAGGAGTCCCCTTTGCAGAAGGAGCAGCTTCCCAACCCTGCCAGTGTGAGAGCATCCTGAGCGGTGGGCTGGGGAGGCAGGAGGTCTGTGGTAGAGAGCTGGTGTTGGGTCTCCAGCTGTACATGTCTGTCCCAAGGTGTTTCTGCAGAAAGACTTGGGAAGGACATGCCAGGGGACATGCTGGGTGCTGCTGGAACCATCAGAGGAATGAGTGATGGAGGGAACTGCAGTCCAGCAGTTCTTACTGGAGAGACAGAGGTGGCTGTGAGCCTTGTCCCGTCGGCTGTGGAGGGCAGAGAGCTGGAGGAAGCGCTGCCAGGGAGCTGGGAGGAGCTACAGCAGATTTGAGAGGAGAGGGGAGCAGTTGAGAACCTGGAGGCCTCTTTCCTGGGCAGCACTGGCTGCTCTCCACCATCCTTTCCTGCAACAAGAGGTGGCAGGTGATGGATGGCTCATCAAGGCATGTCTGTCCCTCTCCCCACGTCCCACAGAGCTCAGAGCCTGCAGCTTGAGCTGTAGGCTTGCCTGACAAGCCAGGGCATCATCCAGACTTGAGGAGCACATGTCCTGCCAGCTGTTTTCCTTCCAAGAGGGAGGCTTAACTCTCTCCTGCTTGCAGGAAGCCCACGAGTCCCGTGAGGGATTTACACTCACATCAACGTCACTGCAGAAGGATTCCTGGAGGCCATGCAAACCTCTGCTCCTTGCTCAATATCTCCTGGCCAGGCAGACATATTTTCTTTGGTCACTCCATTTGGGTCATGGCACTTGTTCAGACCTTTTTTTGCTCGGGAGGACTTGAGCTGCACCCTTCCTCCAGAGGAGGGGAGCACAGAGCCATTTGCCAGGCTGGGTTTCCACACAGGCTCGGGCTTGGAGAAAGGAGAAACAGCAGCAGCTCTGGGGATTACTCCAGATTTTAAAGAAAATTCGAAAAACACAAGTGTGGTGAAATCCAGACCAAGGACTCTGCACAGGGGTTGGATTGGGATCGTGTGGGTCCCGCCTGTGCGCGCCCTTCACGGCTCTGCAGCCGGGGGAGGCAGGAGGAGGCTGAGGCAGGAGGAGGCTGCTGGCACCTGAAGCTCTGGCAGGCAGCAGGGCAAGCCCCAGGACCCGCCCAGCACGCAGTGACCTCCTCTCCTGCTGGTTGCTCAAAACTCAGGTATGAAACGCTCGGCTGGAGCGTTGGGGTGCGAGGTCTCTGCAGGTTTCCCACCAGCCCTGGAGGAGCGGCCCGGGCTGATCTCCCTGTGCCCCTCCAGGCCTCTCACTGCCCTCAGAAAGGGAGTTCCTCCTCTTTGGTACAACGTTGGCTAAGTGGACATTACACAAACTGTGCACATTGGTTCAGTCTAAGCTTAGTATTTGTGAATTAAGTTATCTGACGCTTCGCATGAAAAACTTCAAAAAGGGGATTGGGGGGGGTGGTGGATTTTAACTGAGAAAAAAAACCTATGAAAATATACTGGAAATATGGTAAAAATCGACATTCTGCTGTATATTGACAGAATTATTTTTATTAAAATACACATCCATGTGCAAGAGCCGGTGTGGAGCCGTGTGCTTTGTCAGGCTGAGCTCAGAGCTGGCTGCTCGTGTCCCCTCTGACAGGGGATGTGCAATGTTGGACCAGCAGCCTGGTGTGAGGGTCTGGTGCTCCCACCCCTCCCCAGCCCTGTGAGGGGACAGGCAGCCAGGACACCTCTCTGCCCATCTCAAGGGGGTTGTGTCCTCCCTCTCCTGGCACTGTGGATATTGTTTCTCATCTCCCTCAGATATTTTGCAGTGGCCACCAGCACTTTTGGAAGCCGACAAGGCATTAAGGGTTTGGTGGATCAGGATCTTCTCCTGGAGCCCTCCACTGCTGACTCCTTAAATCTGGAGCACCTGCAAAGCCTGTGGGGCTGTGAGTGTGCTCTGAGGATGTGTGGCCTTACCTGGGGGCAAGGGTAACCTCACCTCCGTGTCCTTGACCTGTGGGCCAAGACCTGGCTCCACTATCCCCTTCCCAATGAAGCTCTCAGGAACCAGGCACAGTTTGCTCCCAGCCTGGAGAAACACGTGCTGGTGGCAGAGTTTTTTTTCAGGTCACACCATGCCCTGGGCTTGTAGGATCTGCTCCTTGGGGGCTGGAAGAATCAGGAAAAATTCAGACAGCAACTTATGGCAATGAGTCTTTATTATAAATATTTGCTCCAGTGGCACAGCCCAGCAGGGCAGGGACAGCAGGAGGAGCTTGGTTGGTTGGTTGGCTGGTCTGTGATGCTGTGAGAGCTGATCCTGCCAGGGTACAGGGCTGGCTCCAGCTGCAGTGATGGTGCCACTGCCACGGCAGCCTTTGGGGAAGTGCTGTGAGCACCATCAGCACCCAGCAGAGACAGGAGGGCTGGATGGGCGAGTGGGATGGCAGATGGATGGAGTTCATCTTTCCTTTTGAGGCGTTTCCATGGCTTTCTTCACCCAGCGCTTGTTGGGGTCAGCACAGATCTTGGCACCGCTGGCAGCCACGATCCTGCGAGGAGAAGGTGAGGAAAAAGGAGTGAAAATGTGAACTGTGAGCCATTCCCTTCCCGTTCTCCCCTCCCTTTGTGCAGCCCCATCCTGAGTGTAGGCTTGGAACCATCTCCAGCAGCCCATGCCCTCCTTTGCCCACCCCACTGAGCTACTTTCCTGCCACAGCCCCTTGCAGGCACAGGGACCGAGCCATCTGCAGGGTGGGATGGGATGGGATGGGATGGGATGGGATGGGATGGGATGGGATGGGATGGGATGGGATGGGATGGGATGGGATGGGATGGGATGGGATGGGATGGGATGGGATGGGATGGGATGGGATGGGATGGGATGGAGGAGCTGCTCCAGCTCCCCCCTGTGCAGGGTGGGAGGCAATCCCGGGGTACTCACACAACTGCAGGCTTAGGGCAGTCTATGGGGGTCTCGTAGTAGCTCTGCACGTGTCGGACGGGCTTCTTTGCATACTCGAAGCAGCATTCGATGGGTCTGATGTGGGCTGGGAAGGGAAGGGAGGAATGTTTTAAACGCCCTTGGCAGCATTTTGCAACTGATTGCATCGCCAGACAACGACACCGCAGGATGTGGAGCTGTGGAGCTTCTCAGCAGCTCCTGCAGGATCCCACAGCAGGAATTTGCATCCCTTCGTGGCAGCAAGCACGGGACTGGGATGTGGGCAGTGGTGGGGAGGGGAACAGCACAGGACCCGGCACCCCACAGCCCCTACTGCTGCAGCCACCAGAGCGCACGGTAAGGTCGGGCTGCTCGCTCTGGGGGTGAGTTTTTGGGGGTTTCCAAAGCAGGGGCACAACTTACAGGGTTGAACGTGCTCCCCAGCCCTCCAACCACTTGCTCATCCAGCTGAGTCCTGGGGAACGGCTGCCAGAGTCTCCCCCAGGCTCCTGCAGCATCTCCCCAGGGCTGGCTACACTGAAATCACCCCACACCTTCTCCATCCATCCCTGCATCCCTGATGTGCTGCCCAGGTGGTTGCTGCTCCCGCCAGCATCACCATTCCCACTCCCTGCTGGGCTTTCCTGCCCGACCTCCCCAAGGAAACATCCCCAGTGGGGACCCCGAGCCCGGCCCTGCAGCAGCGGCCCACGAGGTGCCTCACCTGTGGCGTGGTGCAGGGAGAAGGTGAGGAGCAGGGTGAGCAGCAGGACTGTCCTTGCAGTGGCCATGGTGGCTGTGTGAGGGCTGCTCCTCCGTCCTCTGTGCCGCCCTGCCCGGTGTCCGTGGCTTCGGCTCCCGCTGTGCTGTAATTTATCCTCCCCATCCCGCCCACTCTTCCACAAACTTCAGACGTGTTCTAAGAAGACCCTTCCCAGCGACAAGTGGGGGGATTTCTGTCGTTTATTTTTGGGACACATCCAGTGGCGGGTGGAAAAGGTTGAGGAGGAGGAAGAGGAGGAGGAGGAGGGCGGCTGCTTCTGCTTTCTGCGGAAGAACCGTGACGCCGTGAGGGGCTTCCAGGAGGCTGGGGGGGAACTGAAATTTACTCAGGAAAGCAGATTAAACCATATTCCCATGAAGGCAGAGAGTGTCAGGTGCAGTGCTCATCTGTTTTGTTTCTGACAGGAGAGACAACCCGGAGTCTGAGCAGGAACGAGTCACAGGTGGGTTGAGTCGGTCTGGCCACATTGTCAAACTCAAGTGACCGATGAGTCCCCTCCACACCGGCCTCCCCAGCCACCCTGGCCACACAGAGGGTGTTGGGGTGGTCAGTGAAGTGCTCTGGGATGGGATGTCAGGCAGGGTGTGGCAGAGATGCTTTTGGTGGGTTCAGGAGAATTTATCAAAGGGGAAAAAAAAAATGTGGCAGTGGCAGTGGGGGTGTCTGAGGAGAGTCTTGGTCTGCACGAGCAGAGCACGTGAGCTCTGGGATCGACATGAGAGGGTCAGAGGGATGCAGGCCCGTGGCCATCAGTGCAGGCAGGTCATTTGTGCAGGCTGTGGCGTGGGGATGAGGCCAAGCCAGGGCTTCCCAGAGGAGAATAAAGGTGGAAATGGAACTTCCTTGAAGATTGTCTCATGTTTGCACGACTTCTCTGTAAGAAGAAAGGAGAAGAAAACAAATCAAATGTGCTGGAAAATATTCTGATTTAGAAGAAATCGTCTCCACGACACGGGGTCTGGTGGCCTGGCAGGGGGCAGGGTGGCCATGCAGAGGGCTGGGCACAGCACCACTGGCTTCTAGTGCTACTTTGCCCAGGAAAGGGCTCTCCAGAGAGAAAACACCTTGCACACAGCAGCTCCTCAGACCTCTTCTATGGACTCTGCATCCCCCCAGGTTCTCCTGCCCTCATTTTTGCAGCTCCTGCCACAACCCTGATGTACAGACCCTCGAGCCCAGCAGGCACCAGGGCCACACCACCTCCCAGGCATGGGTTACAAGCAAAGGGCTGTAATTAAGGGACAACTGAGCAAGTGGCTTTTTCAACCATCTCCTGGCACAGAAAACCTTTTGTGCCAAGCCCTGAGCCCCCTTTTCAGGCTTATCTGAGGCACCTCCTTTCCCTGAGCTAATTATTCCTGTCCCCACTCCTACAGGAAGCATTAACAGATGCCTCCACTATTTGCCCTTCATAAAGCAAATCAGTGCATGTTGGGCCTGGAGAGGCTCCACAAAGCTCTGGAGGATTGGGGTTCCCTCTGTGTCCCTGTCCCATCAGTGAACCTTTGGGTTTGGCTTTAGTCCTCTCCAGGCTCTTCAAACCTGCAGTGCCCAGAGTGTTCCCAGCAAGCTCCCTGGCCATTCCCCCTGGAGGCACAGCCCCTTCTCCAGGTGCTCCTGGTTAGGAAAATGTAAAGGCAAGCAGTGGGGGGGTGACAGGCTGTGCACAGGATTTTATGGGTGTCCAAACCACCTGCAACCTCACTGATAATTAATAATTGAACACAAATTTTTTGACCGAGGAAAAAACCCTACTTTAGAAATTAAAATGGGTAGGCACGGATGAAAAAAAAACCCAGAGTAACATAGAGATGGGGAAATGCTCTCTGACTCACACAGCCTTTTGGGGTTTGAGTGGGTAATGGTGAAAGTGTAAGAGTTTAACAGGGTACATGTGCATGTGATAAATGCAGGTGTGGTGCTGAGGTCTGTGCTGCATCCGTGCCTCAGCTGACAGGAGGGGGCACCAAGCCCGAGCAAACAGGGTGACTCCACAGGCTGAAAGCTCAGGGAGGGTAAAGGCAGCAGTTTAAGAGGTTTCCTCAGGCTGAAGCATCTGTGGCTGCACCCACAGATCTCCACCTGCCCCTTGGTGCCCACGAGACCTCCAGTTGCCAGGCCTGCAGAGCGCCAGGGGCAACCTCCCTGAGGGTGGGAAGGGGTGAATGAGTCCCTCAGTTTGCTTTTGCTTGATTTATTAAACTGCCTTTATCTCAACCCGTGACTTTCCTCACCCTTGCCCTTGCAGTTCCCCTCCCCATCCCAAAACCCTGGCAGGGATCACTGCTGAGCTCCCAGGGGGTGAATCCCTTGTCTGCTTCAGCATCCCCCAAGCAGGGAGGCCTGCAGAGAAACCCTTCCTCTGCAGCACAGCTCAGAGACACCACAGCCCTGGGGCAGATGTGGCAGCCAGGCTGTGCTCCTGCTCAGGGCAGCACAAGGGACAAGCTCAAACCTCCAAGCCCCCAAACCGATGTTTGCACCTAAAAGCCCTCTCAGGTGAGTCTCCAGCAGCACAGCCCTGGGGCTGGGAGAAGAAAGGACACCACTCCCCAATCTCACATGAAGTAAACTTTATTTTGTGGCTGTGATCAGCAGGCAGGTGCTGGCAGGGCCAGCAGCATTCCAGGGCTGGTGCCCGGCCAGTGGACAAGGCTCAGGGCTCTGGGGAGTCAGTGCCCCCCCTCCAACAGCCAGAACCTCCACATTCCCTTCCAGCAGGGTGGTTCCAGACCTTCCTTCCCTCCAGGATGTTGGGTAGACTGAACCAGGGCACCCACTCTGCATCACGGGGCACGAAGTCCTTTCCTCTTTTGAAGCTTCCCAACTGCTCTCTGCACCCAGGGCTCCTCTGGGTTAGCACAGATCTTGGTCCCGTTCTTGGTCTTAAACCTGCCGAGGTTGAGGGTGAAGCTTTGTGAGAAATGACGGCTGTAATCCCACTCACTCCCTCCCCTGAGCTTTCCCCACTCCCTTTGGCCCTGCACTCTGCCCTTGCTGTCCCACAATCAGCTCATGCTGCAGCCCAGCACCCCCAGAGCCTTGAGGAGCTGCAGTGGACTCGTGTCCTCAACTCTGCCCTGTAAAGTGCCCAGACAGTCCTGCCCTCCCCTCTTCGTGCTGGAAAACCGTGGAGGCTGCACAGACCTGGCCCTGTGCTGTCCCCAGATGAATTGAACCTGTGGTGGCCCAGGAGGCAGCCCAGCAGTGGGGAAATGCCCAGGACTTACACAATTGCTGGTAAAAAACACTCCCTGGAAGTTGAGTAGAAATCCTTCAGGTGTGCCAGCCGGAGAGCAGCCCTTACGTAATGGAAGCAGCACTCGGATGGAGAGTAAGGGGCTGGAGGAGACAGAGAGAGGCTGTGACCATTGGCTGTGGAGGGCAGTTTGTCCCCAGGACCCTCCCCCATGACAAGGCTGATGCACACAGCATCCCCCAAACTCTGCAAATGCTGCCACAGGTGCCCTCCTCCTTCATTCCCTGGGTGGGATTGGAGGATGCTCCAGGTGATCATCCAGCACCAAAAGCCCTGCAGCATCTCTGCCAAAACCACCCAGCTCCCTCCAGGAGCAGTTTCCTTCCTCCCCTGCCCCCTGGGATGTGCAGCTCTGCCCTGGCCAGGGGGTTGCTCCTCCTGCCAGCAGCACCATCACAACAACCAGAAACACTGGGGGGTTCTTGCCTGGCCACCCCAGTGGGATGACCCTGAGTCCCCACCAGAAGTGGTGGCCCAGGAGGTGATTTACCTGCACTGGAGCATGGGGAGAGGGTGAGGAGCACCACGAGCAGCAGGACTGTCCTTGCAGGGAACATGGTGGCTGTGGGAAGGCTCTTCCTCACCAGGTACTGCTCTGCCTCTTCGGAGGAGCTCAGCTCTGAGCTCAGGCAAGGAGCAGCTGCAATTTATCCTCTCCACCCCTCTCCACATTCGCCCTTTTCCCAATGCTCTGTAACGATTCAAGGAAAAGGTCTACCCTTTGCTCATCCCTGGGGATTTCCATGTCACATGGGATCATCTGGGTTACGGTCTGAGATGATACCTGGAAAGCTCTGTCAACTTCTGTGTTCACCCAGACAGGGACAGCAATGAGGGAAGTGAAATCTCTGAACTCCAGAGCTCCCAAGCTGTCAGAGAGGGGTTTCATGGCAATGGAACAAAGCTCAGGGTTCCATGCAAAGTCCCTCTCCAGCCTCAGAGCCAGCACAAATGTGCTCCAAGCCATGGAGGCTGCCCCCCACTGCTCTGGGTGAGGAGAACCCCGTGAAGCTTCTGCAGAGCTGTGCTTGCTCTTCTGGCAGAAGATCTGGTCTAGGATGCTCTGCTTCCCCTTTTCTCGGGTTTTTCTTGTGTTTGTGGAAGCCAAATGATTCACAGCTCCCTGGAGAGCTTTCGATGTTTCTTCTTTTGGAAAGGGCAGGACTGATGTGCAGACATGTGTGATTAGCTGGTGAGTGCTGGAAAGCCCCCACTGCTGGCCCAAGTTTCCCTTTCGTTTGAATGGACTCTGAACAATTCTCTTGTTTACACAAAAAATAAACAGCATCCTTTTTGTTCTGCAAGGGGAGGAGCAGGAGCAGGAGGAGGGAAGCTGAGGGGACAGCTCAGGTGCAGCCTTTCCCAGCAGTGATGCCAGTGAGGGGAAGAAGGAGCTGGGCACAACAAGCCCCACGCTGGGAAATGGGGTCCCAGCGGGTGACTGAGCACACCCAGCCGTGCTGGGAAACACAACCACACAACCATCATGCACTCAGGAAGGCACAGGCTCTGCTCTGCAACAGCAGGAAAGGTGGTTTAGCATCACCTGGGCATCACCCAATGCCTGGCACTGCCTCCCAGGAGGCAGTTGGAGGGGTTTAAATTTTCTCAGTCTTTTTCTGTTCTACCCAGTGTACTTCGAGTCTTTTCCATTCACAAAGTGAAACGTAGGAAGCCCTCACCACCAGGGCCAAGCAGAGGCAGAGGTGGATGGATGCACGTGAGCCAGAAAGCGGCAGCGAACTCCACCTCGCTAAGGGAGATTAAAAAGAAGGAGCTGACGCCAATTTTCTCAAACGCTCTGAAAAGGAAACATTTTTCCTTTTTTTTTTTTTCCCAGTGAGGTTGATCAGCTGCCTCGGGGTTAAAGTGAGGGGTGCCAGGGAGACTCCAAGCTGGAGATGGGGGGTTAACAGGGGAAATGATGCTTGGTGAGGACTCGACTTCCTTTCTTCAACCCTTTTTGAGCTCCTAGAGTTTAAACCAGCAATAGAGAGGTGCTTCAGCTTTTAAAGCAAAGTTGTGATAACAGAAAAAAATTAGGGCTGGAAGCAATTGCAGCCTAATTTTCAGTGATTTAAACCTGAACGGGGTTAGCTGTGATAATTCCACAGAGCCTGAGCACGGGGGTGGGAGCAGAGCCAGAGGCTGGTCAGAGGCTCCATCAGCGGAGGTGCATCCCTCCCGCACCAAATTCTGCACCTGAGGCAGCCCGCGGCCCTCCAGGAGAGGCACGGGAAGGTGCGTGGAGGGACACCCCTGGCACAGGGTCTTTCCCTGCCCTGTCACAGGGACACCAGCGAAGCCAGCGAGCGTGTGGCACCCCCAGCGCAGGGACCGGGCACCCCGAGGTGCTGCGGAGCCTCAGCCCCGAGCGGCCGCTCTGCCGTCGGAAATGATTCATCGCCGCCTTGTTTTGCACAGCCCCCTCCTTCCTCGTCCGCCCTCCCCCACAGCGGGGAAGAGAAAAGAGAATGGGGGAAAAAGTGCTTTCGTTTTCACAGAGTTTCGTATCCTACAAATGACCTTTCCGGCCCGCTGACTCATCGGCGGGGCTGCGGCACGGTACGAGGGAGATGCTCGTCCCTGTCCCTCTTGTCCTCTTCAGCTCTCCACTCCGGGCAAACCCCAGGGCACGAACTCTTTCATGGATTTGCCTTTCCCACCTCTCCTCCCCAGCACCAGAGAGGGGTGGGAGAGGTCGTAGCTCAGCTCTCTTGCCCTGTTACAGAACAGACTTGGAGGGTAATGTTTGTTGCCTGTTGGTTGCTGTTTGGCCACAGCTTTGATTAAACAAAGCCAAAAAAAACCACCCCGGATTTGTTTGTTTTCTTTACTGCCTCAGAAGGATGGGAACTACAAATCCCTGTGAGGAAATGCATTTCCTGTAAACTTTCAGCAAGACTGAAACCCTTAAAGAGCGAGGAGGTGGAACAGCAGCCTGGCCACAGCCATCTCTGCTGGCTTGGCTGTCTCTTGGTGATGGTGGAACGCCCTCCATGGGGCACAATGATATGTGAAGCAGCTGAGGGGCCTGGAGAGCGATCCATCTCCCATGGACATGCACGAGCCATCTAAGACCAGCACCAAAATAGACAAGGCACAGCCTTTTCCAGCATTCCCAGAAAGGTCTCAGCTCCAGGCAGCGCAGGCAGGACATCACACACATTCAAAAGGCTACAAAACTTTACTACAAAAATACCATTTCTAGTGTTTTATATAAAAATAATGCCACGTACAGCGCGTCACAAATCCCGACTGCGCGCAGGTGGGGGCCGTCAGTGCCACCTCTCCCCATCCACCCTCCAGGAAAATCCTTGCCAGCCACTGTTCCGCTGCTGGGCTGCCCAAGGAAGGGTTTCACCCCAAATGAAGTTCATCTCATTGCATCCCACACTTGCAAAAGCCCAGATGGATCCCTGGCTCCCCTCCCTCAGGTCAGCGAAACACAGAAAGCAGGGCTTGTAGGATGGCAGAAAACAAACACAGTTTCAGTCTGTCCTCTCCACCCCCAGGGCTAAATGGATGCTGTGAAGGTGTGATCTGATGGATTTAACAGGCTGCCTCCCTCAGGCTCTGCTTTACAGCTGGCCCCTCGTGTTTGCTTTGATGATCTTGCTTATTATGTGCTTTTGCTTCCTTTTTTTCTAGGTGTATATTCATACTTTGGGATCTGATCCACTGAGGTTGGTTAGAGCAGGATCTGACCCTTGATATGTTGATACTCCCAAAGCATCACATCATGAAGACCTTTGCACACTCCAGCAAAACTCATACTGGGGTCAAAGTTTAATAAGGGCTTTCAGGGGCTGACCACAGATAAAACATAAAGCTCACCACATGCAGCAGTGTCTGGATGTGGAAAAATCAAAATCAAACTTGGGTTTTAAAAAAAGCCTGTTACTGTTGTGATGCTTTCATAGCCTGGTGACCAGTGCTATCCAATATGGAAAAACTAAACTGCAGATGAAGAGTAGAACTATGAACAGGCATTTTGTTTGTGTTTTTTCCTCTTTTTTTTTTTTTTTTAAATTTTTATTTGTTTGTTTGTTTGGTGCAGCAGCAAATGTGCTTATTTCTGGAGAGGATATGGGAGCAGAAGGATGTTACATCTGCTGGGGTGGAGTAATTCCTACATGGCTAAATCCAGAATTGCCTTTAGCTCCTCCAAGAGACAATTTCCTGGGTTTTTTTTTGCTTGCAGAGAACAGCAAAAGTGTTCCAATGTTATCACAGGACTAGCAAAATTATTGGGTGACTTCTTGTTTTCTCCCATTTGCAAAGAGTCCTTTGCATTATCCTGCCTTGGTGTTGGATGCAGCTGGACATCAGGTGGCAGGAGGGTTTCATTGCACTGATTTGCCAAGAAGCAGGTCTCAGACCACATCTCCAAGAAGAAATGCTGCTGAGAGGAAGGGCCTGATCTCTGCCAGACCAGAGAAACTGAAGCACAAAGAAGCAGCAGAGTTTAAGTGCAAATCGTGTGGGTTTGGTGCTAAAAGGTTGCTCAGGGTGGCTGAGCCTGAGCCCAGCAGTGTGGGTGAGGGAGTGGCTTCTTGGCTTAGCCACGGTGAACCACAGGAAAATTCCCAACAGCAATTTGGGAATCCACCTCTGGCCACCCCCTGGCAAAGAGCAGCCACAGCCTGTGTGTGTAACAGTGCCAGAAGGAAAGAAGTGTCCCAACGACTTCCAAAGCGCTGTCATTGGTCAGCGACAAAACAGATGCGTTGTTGGACGTTCTGCTCTGCGAGAATCCTGCTTTCCTCTGGTATTTTTATTCCCTGGCTTGCTTCCTACCCGTGGTCACCTGTTCAGCACGAACAGCTTTTCTGCCGTAACACACGCGTGGTTCAGGCCAAAAACGTTCAGGCCAAAAACGTCCAGACCAAAAACGTCCAGGCCATGAAGAACTCAGATGACTTCCATTGGATAGGCGTTGTTCTGGTGTCCTGCCCTCTGGTAGAGCAAGCCCTGCACCATTTCTCTCGACGAGTCTTCTGGTCTGATTCCGAACTTCAGGTAGAGCCACACCAGAGCGACGCTGCAGATCGTCACCGCGCTCACCACGGACACGGGGATGACAAACTGTGTTTGAGAGAAGAAGCTGGGCAGGGGCTGATGCTCTGGCCTCTCTGTGATCGTCTGCACCCTGGCTTGGCCTGAGAATGCCTGGCCAGCAAAAACTGCTGTATCAGAAGGCTCTTGCTCTGCTGCAGGTGAGGAATAATCAGATGTTCTGGTACCAGACCCATCTGCAGAGGAGCCAACAACCCTGTTGCTGTGGACAGAAGCCCCTTTGTCTGTGGCAATGGTGGAGTTCAGAGTAGAAACTGAACTAGTGCCTGGTGGAATTGGTGTGTCTGGGGGGGTTGTAATGTCCACACTGTCCAGGATGGAGGGGAGATCAGATCTGGAAGTGCTGGAAGCAGTGTCTGGTGCATTGGCCCTGGCACCTGTAGAGTCCAGAGATTCACCTGTAGAAAGCAGAGGTTTGTCTGATCCTTTAGTAGTTGCCACTGGGTCTGAATCTGAGTTAGGAGAAGTTGTGTCTTGAGCATCAGCCATAGCATTTGCAGTGAGTCCTGCACGTTCCTCTGCAGATCTCATGGTGCTGTAAAAGCCATGCACGAGAGCTGTGGGATGTGGGGTGGGCTGGCTGGAGTCCACACCTGCTGCAACAGTTGCTGAAGGTGCAGGAGGATTTGAGGAGTCTCTGCTTGCTTCTGGAGCGACCTCAGGGCGCACAGCATATCCCTGAGTCACTGGGGGTGATCCTGCAGGGAGCTGGGTGCTGTCCTGCCTGCCTGGTGGGGACTTGCTGGACACCTCTGTCCTTGCAGCAGGAGAATGTATTCCCTCCCAGACTGCTGTGCCAGTCCCTTGGAAGAAACCAGCTGGAGCAGTGGCTTGAGATGGAGCCCTTACTGGAGGACCAACCTGTTTCTGGACATCACCAGGCTCTTCTGGTGAGGTGGCATCACGAGCAAGAGGGGAGGCTGTGGCCTCCTTCTGGTCCAGTTTCTCTACAATCTTCTTCACCCACTCAGCCTTTGGATCTGCACAAAACTCCTTAGACTTCAGAGTAGTTAATCTGAAAAATGAGAAGGCATCACTTAGTGGGGTTACAGAAGATGCTGGTTTAGGTGATCAGGGCCATGGGGAAGGTGTGCAGACAGATGCAAACAGCAACACTGCCTCTCCCATAGCAAACACCACTGGTGGGCTGGATGATTTATTTCAGGAAGGGCAGGTGCCTCTGAAATCTGACTGAGTGAAGAGCAGCTGAATGTGACTCATGGGTGAAGCGTTTTCCCCTAGGAAGCTTTTTCACTTTCAAAAGCATTGTCCTGATTTTTGGACATGGTGTTTTCCTCCTGCACTCAGGACAAGAAGCTCTGAAGGCACCAGCTGCTCAGGGGCAAGCAAGCATGAAGGCAAACCCTCTGAGTTTTGGCTGACTGGGTGATGTGAGACTTTCCAAGGTCAGCCCAGCAGGTTCACTTTGGAGCCACTCCCTGGGCTGCAATAAAATGGTGTCAGCGGTGCCTCAACTTCAGGGTAAGATGAAAACAACACTTATCCCTGGGAAAAAAAATTGAACTTTTCTCAAGTCCAGACAAGCTCACAAAGTCTGAATCTGTCTCCAGAGAAAACATCTGCTTTCACAGAAACCCTTGAGCTCTCTCCCTGAGTGCTTCCACCACCCTGTCGTGCCAAGTTACCTCCCTCACTCCCTTTCCCCATCCGTTCAGCCCTGGAAGCTGCTGGTCTTTAAACAGGGGGAAAAAAATACAACACCACCCTTCAAACAAACACACCAGTGTTTGCTCTGTGTTCCAGGCTGTCCCTTGCTCCAGACCAAGGCAGGGCCCTCGTGGGGCAGGACTTACATGATGGCTTTTTTCGTGCATCCGGGCTCGGTCCGGCGGTAGCTCCTTATCCTCTTCTCCGCTATCATGGATGTGAAGCCATAGCACTCCTTTGAACACTTCAGGGGTGCTTTGGGTTGCCCTGAAATAAAGTTTGCAGCTTATTAAATGCTGGTTTTCCATCAGAGACCACAAAAACTGGCACCATTTATTTTCTCTGGGGCGGAGGAGTCCAAAGCTTGCCGCGGGAGCTTCCAATCCCTGCTAAACTGAGATGGAGGCAAATCCCAACGAGGACAAACCCCAGATTGTTTGTAACACCTGTAGATGTGACGAGATACCCAGAAAACCGAGGGGAAAAAAGGCACTGTGAAAACTGTGGGACATTTTGTCTTGTAGGATGTGCAAGCACGGGCTGTGGGTCCTTTGTGCAAGCCCCTGGACCTGCAGGTCCCCTCCCTTTCGGGTCACAGGAAGACCCAGCCCAGTGACACATTTTGTCACCCCCAAAAGACCTACTGCAACCTTCACCAGAGGGCTCTCGTTGCAGGACGTGCAGACCAGAGAGCAGGATGCTTGTCCTCTCCCTATCTGGGTAAGTCTTATCCCTTCCTCCTGCAGGAGTTCCCCTCCAGGTGATCATCCCACCCTGCCCCTCCGTTTGCTGGTGCATGGTCTCTGAACTGCCACCTGGGCTCAGAGAAAGGGAGCAGAGTCACTCCCACGGGTATCCCAGCAGCCCAGCTTCCCCAACACGACTTTTCACTCCCCACTGGAAAACACAGGTTTTATTTTGCAAAGCGTAAAAATAAAACTCCACTTTTCAAGGGGCAGAGCCAGTCACACCACGGGGGACCCTTCATGCCTCACATCAACCTCCAGCCTCCCACAGCAGGCACTTGCCCAGTGAAAGAAGGTTGCACAGTGCATCCTGCCAACTTGTTCCTGACAGCCCTGGGGGCAAGACTTAAAAAAAAAACAAGCCCTGACTTATCTGAGGCCCCTGTGAAGAAAGGAGCTGGCATCTGGTTTCAATCAGGCTGTCTCCACAAAACTCAGATTTCCAAAGGAGTTGGGTGAACGTTATGCAGTTCAGTTGGGAATGATCCAGACACTGGGTGCAAGAATGAGCAACCCGATGGCAGCACCCTCAGCTCTTTCAATCTATTTACTGGGGAATGCCATGGTTGCAAAGAAATCCCAAGCAAACGCTCCAGTGGCTCCTGTACAAAAGCCTGCTTTGGTTTCTAGGTGCCTGTAAAGTTAAAGCAAAGCTCTTTGTTCACACACTGATGTTTTCTGTGGCGCTTCAGGGTCAAGAATTCCCTGCTCATGGCAACCAACTTCCCAAAAAACTCTCATCAGCCAGAGGACGTTCTGATGGGATCCTCCACTTCCAGGAACACAGTTCAGCAAAACAAGCCCAGTGACAATAGCACCAGACCGTCCCTGTGAGCCACTGGGGATGTGCACGATGGGCCTGCTCCTCTGATAACCCTGAACTGATTTTCCCGTTGTTGGCACCAATGCAAACTGTCTGCGATGAGCTGAACTCCTGGTGGGTTTTTCCCAGAGCGGAGGAGCTTGGAAAGCACCTTGCAAGGACAGGGAGGTGCCACAAGGGAGCACCGGGCAAAGTCCAGCCTTGCCCGCAGCGCTGAGAGCCCGGCACCCACCCTGCCGAACTGCAGCGATCTCTGCCCTGAGCCCCGGGCGGCTGGCACCGAGCCCAGCCCCGGCAGAGGGGATCCTGTCACCTCCCGGTGCTGTGACCCCGCTCAGCACCCAGATCTTCATGCAGGGAGCAGGATAACGTTTCCCACCTGTACACACACACACCCACTGCACGCCCACCGCAGGTGACAGCCCCCACCCTGCCTCCCAGGGATGGGAGCACCGGCACCCTCAGGACCTGTGTGCACAGACACCCGTCCTTGCCCGGGCTGCAGTGTCACCTCCACGTCCCCAGGGGACACGAGGAAAAAGGGAAAAGAAGGGCATGATGCTTTTTTTCTGATACGGATTATCAGGAGTCTCCCTGACGCGCTCCCCACCGGCCCGCAGGAGTGGCCAAAGCCACCAGGGATGTCCCCGCTGCCAGGATTGCTGCCATAGGCTTTCCCCTTATCCCTTCCCAAAACCCAGCCCGATCCTGCCGGGAGATCTCCTGCAACCCATAGCGATCCCCGGGCATCCATACCCTGATCCAGTGCCACCTTCCCGCGGCCCCATCACCATCCCCCCCTGTTCCCCGGCTGTTCCCGGGGGAGGGGACAAGCGGAGCTGGGGCTCACCTCCAGCCAGGGTGACCAGGCACAAGGCCCTCAGCACGAGCAGGATCTGGATAGACACAGCCTTCATGTTCCCGTGGTCGGCAGGAGGAAGGGCACGCAGAGAAGGATTACTGGCAATATTCCCCACTCCCGACTGCTTATTGCATCCTCCGGAGCAACACAGCTGCTGCCGCTCATTCCGGGATTATAAAGCCCTGAGATTGGGGTTTCAGATGGTATTCAGCTTCCCTCACACGTGGCTCGGGATGACGACAGGAGGCGGAGGGAAGAGAGGGACAGGGGAGGGAATACCGGCTACTCTGGAGCTGGATGGCCGCTGGAATTCCCCAGATGCAGAGCAGCTCCAGCCCACTTGGCAAATTATTCGTGCGGGGGTTTTCAGGGACCGGCTGCTCCATCCTCCTCTCCCACCAATGTGAGTGTTGGCCAAACAGCCTGTGCCAAGGCACCGCTGTCCTGAGGCTTTGTAGAGCTCTCCCCACCTCCAAGTCCAGCTCCCCGCTGCTCAGTAAGCTCATTATTTGCTCCAAATGCAGGAGCAGTCATTGCCTTCCTTTTTGGCAGCCATCTTCCAACAGCAGCGTTGGTCGTTAGGCCAAAAGAGGTGGAATTTGCTCATCAGGATTACGAGTTCATCAGCTACACTGGAGAGCTCAGGCCAGGCTGGCTCTGAGGGGCATCACCAAACAGAGGGGTGAGCAGGGACCCAGTGACCCCCCCACCCCAGAGCAGCAACTTGTGCTTGCTGTGACAGCCCTGAATTTTGGTACACACATGGTCTCAGCCGTGGGGGGCTTGCTGGTGCTGAAAGCAGGAGCAGAAAGCAGGACACCCCCAGTTCTGCAAGAGCCAGGCTGTCTGGGGGCTTTCCAGCCCCAGCACCAAGCAGGGTCTGAGACGGACATACCAACAATGCACTCACATCCTGCACCTTTACTTTCTCTTTCAGCTCAGGTCCCAGCAGAACACATAACCATTTTCCTCTGCCAACTCCCTCAATTGGAAGATGAAGATAAGATTAAGACTGAGGCTCTGACTGTCCAAAGTTTTCTTAGGGAAAAAACTGGCGTCTCCGTGCTGTTGGAAATGCCAACAGTCCCACTCGGGATTTTATTTTTAAAAAGGGAAAACCCCCCACAGGTTTCCATACAATGCATTTGGGGAAAATCCCAGCCTGTGACTTCAGCCTTTGCTTATGTTGTATTAGGAAGAAAGAGCCCGTTTCAAGGAAACAAAATAAAAATTAGGAGTTGGAATAGTCTGTTTGATCCAGCCGAAAGAGGGGGTGCCACTGGGATGTTTTCTGACCCAAAACGGGTGTTTTCTCAGGCTCTGCAGAGATTTACAGGAAACTGCAATTCCAGGAACTGGCATTGCCTGGAGCCATGGGGCACCTTGGCTGCTGGAAGTGATGTCACAGACCCACATCTCCCCCCCTGAAGAAACAGGTTCTGCTTCTTCTGCACAGGGTTTGCTGCCACAGATGGATAAAACTGAGGAAGGGCCCTGACAAGCAGGTACGTGGGAGGGTGAGTCCTTTGTTTGCCAAAGGCATGACTTGCCACAGGCACTGTTGTTTTAAGGCACAAGCCACTCTCTGGCAGGGAACACAGCTGCCCTACCAGCAGGGACAGGACTGGAGGGACCAAGCAGCTCTACTGAGTGGTGACAAACCTGGGCTGCAGCTGGCAGAAAACTGGCACCATCACTCCCAACCCACTCCCTGCACCACCCTCCCATCCTATTGCACATCTGCTCCTCCAGCACAACAGTGCCAGCCTCCTACTGCACTTCCATGAGGTCTTGCAGCACTGAAGAACCTTAAGTCAGAGGACCTGTACCTAGTGATAAACCTCAGGCATTGTGTCGATCCGTCAGTGAAGGATCTCAGGACTTCTCTGAGCTCTTCAGCTGATTTTAGCTTCTTTAGTTACAGTGGAAATAATCTGAGCACTTGGTTTAGTTTTGCTTTAGCCTTCAGGAATGGCAAGTAGCCATTTGGTGTTGTGAGCCTGGGTCTGCAGACTGAATTGTGGTGTGGATGAGGGCAGGCAGGTGTCCTCCTGCACCAGCAATCCCAGCCCATGAAGATGAAAACACAGCATCCAAGTGATGGAGTGTGTGCACCCCTGCAGCTCTCTGAAGGGGTGTCACAGCACCAGAGAAAAGCAGTGTATACCAGGGAGAGGGGTGGTTTTTTCACCCCCCCATATAATAACTATTGTGTGACTGAGGAAGGACTTTGGGTTTATTGCTCCAGTCCACAGATACCACACGTCAAAGGTTCCAGATCCTTTTCCCAGGAAAACCGTGGAAGCAGCTCCAGCATTTCCCACCCACCACAGGGCTGTTCCCAACAAGGTGCTTGAGCTGTTCACTGGGTCAAGGTCCTCACAGGTGGAGGGAACAGATGACGAGTGCTGGGGGAGTTGCTCTTGAAGGCTGAAAGCACTTTGACCCTGCAAAGCTTCATGCACAGGACAATATATTGGAAAAGAATGTGGGCTGTGCCCTAAACAAACAGGAAGAGGCCCCAGAACGTGTCCCGTCTCCTTCAGGGAGTTTCCACTCTGGAAATTTGTGCTCCTTGGCTGTTTTGGTTTCTTGTGAAAAGAAGGGCTGTTTGTTACAGTAGGTTTGCATTCCTTGAAATCAGGTGATTACCAGGGAAAAAGTAAAAGTCAGTGAGAGCTAGGAGCCTGCATCTGACCTGGGAAAAGATGCCAGAGAGGATTGGGTGAGAATGCTGATGATTTCCATTTCATGGAAAGTCTGTTCAGGAGCTCCCAAGACCTCAGGAGCTCCCAAGACCTCAGGAATTGGTGACACTGGAGCAGGGTCTGGTAACAGGTACTGACAGGATCCTTTGTTGTCCACAATATTGCCCATGGTCTCCATCCCAGAGGTTTGCAGGAATACTTAGCCTCTGGGAGAAAATTCCTTAGAGCCAGAGGTGGCCTCTCGCTTTGGAGAAGCCTCTGTGCCCCACAAGGGAGCTCTTGAGCCGTTCCTGTAATAAGGGAGAGAAATAAATGACAGAGGACCAAGAAAATCTGTTTGGCATCACGAGATTTTGTATTTTCTCACATTAACGAAAATAGCAGGAAATGAGGAGCAGCTGTCTGGGGCTGTCTGCAGCCAAGGTCTCTACAGGAACAACTCCTGCTTTGGAGCTATTGACAAGTCTGGGGCTTGCATTTCATGAAAACTGCGTTACGAAGAAAACGCTTTCAAAAATAGCAGCTAACATCACACTGGCTTTCACTTCTCTGAACACAGTGTCTTCCTCCTTCACTATGATTCAGGGCACATTTAGGCACCAGCAGACAATGCTAAACACTGACATTCTGTATTTTCCATAGTGAAGTAGCCCACAGCGCTACCAGTCAGGCTGTGGGACACAGCTCTTCCCCTGGCAGTATCACACCTGAGCTGCAAAATGCTGGCTGATCCCCTCAGGGCATTGTAGGGAAAGGTGCATACTTGCAGTGGGAATTGTTGCCTCTCCTTGGGAGCTGGACCAGCCAGGACTGAGGACAACTCGTTCTGCCCCATGGAGGTTGCCAAGGGCTTCGCTGGCCGCCGCGATAAACAAGCTTGAAGTTGTTTGAAAATCCTGCGTGCAAAGAAACAAACACTGAGCTGTTCAGTCTGCAACGGGGTGAAGTTCTTCCTAAACAGAGAAGAGCCCCTTAACCCTGCAGAGCGAGGCAGCCACTGGGAGCCAGCTCTTCCCTAGGGAAGGGGATGGGAAAGGCTCCTGTGGGAGACGTGTCTGGGTGGCACAGGTGAAACCTTGGCAGGCTGAGGGGAAGGAGCGTGCTGGGACCCTGCCAGAGCGTGGGCTTCACTGAACACACCGAGCCCCTGCAGAGCTGGGGAGATGTCCTGAATGTTGCAATCCTTGTGCAGGCCCCCTGAGGGCCACACACGGTTCCATGAGCTGGCATGGTGAAGGAGAGACACATGATCCTGCATCCAGCTCCGGGGCCCCCAGCACAAGAGGGATGTGGAGCTGCTGGAGGGAGTTCAGAGACCACAAAGATGCTCTGAGGGCTGGAGCAGCTCTGCTATGGAGACAGGCTGGGAGGGCTGGGATTGTTCAGCCTGGAGAAGAGAAGCCCAGGGGAGACCTGAGCCCCTTCCAGTGCCAATGGGACTACGAGAGAGCTCCCATGGCAGCAGGAGCAGCACGTGCCTGTGCCAGCAACCCCTTGTCCTCGAGGGCTCCATCTCCCAGCAGGAATGGCCAGGTCCTGGTCCCAGCCCTTTGCTTGAGCTGCTGTGATTTCCCCTCTCCCACAGAGCCAGCCCTCTGGCCCCATCCCACGGCGTGTGTGGGCCTGCACGGTCCCCACCTCTCCACATGTCCCCTTCCCACTCCTCCATCCCATCCGATGTGTCTGCACATGCACGCTGACAGTTCCTAAGAAAGGAGCTTACCAGAAGCAGCTCCGTTCATTGCCTGTTCTGGGAAAGCCTCACCTCCTTCCCATCTCCTCCGGGCAGGAGAAGGCTGTGGGAACAACGGAGGCTGTGGGAACAGCTCCACGTGAGCTTGTCGTTAAGGTGGGTGAAGGAGAGATCCAGAAATTCTCTCTCCAAGTGGTGCTATGGGGCTGATCCCCAGAGGTGTCTCCATGAGAGCTGATGGCCCCTGTGAGCCAGCCCCAAAAAGCAGATACCATGTGCAGGGCTATGATCTGATAGATGTGACTGTGCTGGGGCCACCGGGGCCGAGCTCTGAGCTGAGCCCTTCCATCCCAGCAAGTTTGCTTTGGAAGGGGCCATCAGAGCCTTCAGGGCTTCCAACACCCAAGGAGCCTTTGCATGAAGCAGCACAATAAAAACACACCAAGGCTGGGCAGGAAAACAAAGCCAGGCACACACTTCCCTGCTCAGGCACTTAACCCTTTTGGAGCCTTGCTGGCTCAGCTGATTGATCAGGGAGTCACTGGACCCCTTCCCTCTCCAACCCCAGCTTCTCTTCACTCTTCTAAGAACAAAGTGTATCCTTCTCCTCTGCCCAGAGCCTCCCCACTCCTGTGGGTTTCAGCTATAACCCCACTGGTAACCTGCTCCCACAGCAGTGGGATGGATGACCAGAGCCAGCCTGGGAGCACACTTTTGTCTTACGCAAGCTTGCTTTCTGGGACCATGGCAGCATGTCCACTTCTCTGGCTCCTGACCTGCTGTTGTGGCTGTGGGTGTGATTTTAGGGTCAGTGCAGCTGTCTTGTCCCCTAGAAGAGCAACAGGCCATGGATGCCATTAGCAGTTTTGTGTTGACTGGGAATAATTAGAAGAGAGGATGCTGGGGATAAGAGTGAGAGAGATTCCTGCCCTGAGCTGTGGTTCCTCATATCAACCTGAGGAAGTAGCACAGGAGAACTGAAGAAAGCAGAGATGAGACATGTCTGGCATTTAAAATGTTGCTTAGGTACCAACTTCCCCCCAGGACAGAGCTGTGAGTGAAGGCTCACCCAGGTGTGCCAAACCAAAATAAACTGTCTGTACAAAGAGCTGATGTGCCCAAGTCCCTTCTCACTGACCTGCACCACAGCCCAGAGTCCTCCCCAGGGGCATCCTCCCCACCCAACCCCAGCCCACACCTCCAGAGAACTGCAGGTTCACCCTCTCTGGACCACTGGGGTGAAATTCAGGGACCAACCCAAATGCAGGCAGCAGGAGCCCTCGAGGAGCCCCCGAGCTGTGACAGAAGGGACAGGGTAGAGCAAAGGCTGCCTCTGGCAGAGGTGCGAGGCAGTGATGCAGCTGAGCCCTGTGATGCCCCCCCTCGTCAGGCATCCGCTGAGAGGAAAGCCCCCCGTCAGCAGAGGATGCGCCGCTTCCCCTGGGCGCTCACCGGATGGCTGATAAGGAAAAAATCCACCCATACCCGGCCTGAGGGAACGGCCCCTCACTGCCCTGCCAGCCCTAAGGTGACAGGGGCCCTGCGGAAGGGACACGTGGCCTTTCCTGCTCTGTGAAAGGGTCCTGCTGTCCCCAGGGAGCTCGCACCACCCTCCGCCCCCGGGGAAGGATCCTGCGGAGTTTCCTGAGCTGGAAGGGCCTCTCTGCCTCTCGCCGCAGCAGAGGATGCCATCGTGTGGCAGTGACCGCTCCCTCGGCTGAACATCGCTGCTTTCCAGCGCGGAGTTAATGAGCAAACTCCTCCTGTTCGGGTGTTCCCGTAGCATCTTAGCAGGGTGCTGGTAACCAGGAGCCGGTATGGGTGAACCAGGGGCTCCCAAACTGACCTCCCTCTGCGTCCTGGACATCTCCAGGGATTGGGATTCTCCGGGATAAGCCCAGCCCGTGGAGCAGCCAGGCTCCTGCAGATCCCTGGCAGGAGCTGGACCGGGCACCTGCAGAGGTCACGAGGGGATGATTTCAGCGCTGCTGTATCATTTCCCGCCCGCTGAGATGCAGGACACAGATAAACATCCCTGCTCCGAGGGCGCCGGGACTTTCACCGCGGGACAATGGGATGACTGAAGAGTTCAAAAAAGAGCTTTCTCTCTGGCTGTTTATATCCCTCTGGATGTTGCTTTTTTTCCTTTTCCACCATCCCCTCCCACCTCCCGCCCCCACTCACTTCACCCCTATCTGGCTGCTGTCCCACCTTGCTGTCCTAGCACCAGCTCATTCCGAGAACAGCTCCTCCAAGCCCTACCCCTGGGCTGGCAGGGCAGGAAGCTGCAGGCAGGCTTCTCCAAGTTGCCAGCTAAAATATTTCAAGGAAAAGCCATTTCTGGGGAAGGGTTAAGCCAAGCCCCTGGGAAGCTCATAACCAGCAGCCTCAGGGCGCCCTCCGGGGCTGGGCAGGGGCTGAGGGGGTTCCAGTGGCAGCAGCTTGAGGTGGGATGTGTGACCAAGACCCTCAGAGGGACACCACAGGCTATTTCTTTTTGATGTATGCATAAGCAGGTGCACGCTGTGAAGATGCACTGACACTGCTCACACCCTGCAGCAGAACAGGAGCTCAGGAGCAGAGACACGAGTGGGCTTCTGACCAGTGTTGGGCTCTGAGCTCTCTCCTGCCTCAAGGTCCGGGTCAAATCCTCCTGCTGTGCCTGGATGGTCTGTAACAACACCTGGGGAGAGGAAGTGGTGCTGGGCTCTGCCCAACTGCCCAGGTTCCATCCACACACAGCTCTGGTTCCGCGCCCGTTCCAGGTTCCCTCCGTTGTCTCCTGGTTCCGCTGGTTTCTGTGGAACTGCCAATGTAGAGACAGCGACTGATTGCTGCCTTGATGTGAGAGCAGCCACACCAGCAGGTCCTTGGCTGGCTTGTGATCTTCCAGGTTATCCACAGCCTCCAAGCAGCCTGTGGTGGTTCAAGGCTAGACTGGACGCTACAGCAAGTGAATCCTCAAAGAGAAGTGGCAATTGCCTGTCCTCAGGTAAAGGAAATGACCTGTCCTCGGCCTCCTCACAAGCCTTTTGAGGGAGCTGGGCTTGTTTAGCCAGGCACAAAGTCACATCAGGCCAGCTGCTCTTGCAAAATGAGGCAGCCAAGTGACATTTGCTTTCCTCCTGTTCCCACTAAAAACTTGTAAAGAGTAATGGAGGACAGTTTGGATATTAATAGAGTTTTGGTTAGTAATTCCAGAAAATGGGATTCCAAAAGTAGTGGAAAGGGGGGGCAAGGTAAGAAATGCCATCAGACTCTGGTGTGTTTTGTGACTCATTTGCACCCACAGCAAAAGGCTGTTTCATCTCAGGGAATTTTTGTTTGGGGTTTTACATCCACGAATCTTAACTCAGCCACTTAAATGTGGTTTAATGGTGAATCAGGGTGGGGAGGCCCTGTGGTCTCCCCTGTGGCTGAGGGATGCACAGCCTGGAGACACCAGTGTGTCCTTTGGGTCTGCCGTGACCAGGATTCTGGATTTCCAGAGTTCCATTGTTGCTCCTTCCAGGAGAGCTGAGACATGGCCACTGGCACGACTCACCCGTCCGTGGCATCCTCCAGAATGGCTTCTGGACTGCAGGGTGGAGTGGTGACACCTCCTGTTCCAAGGCTGGCCAGAGAGGCAGAGAAGCCTGTGACTGTAAGTACCCACTGTGGCTGGGCAGGAGCTGTTTTAAGGCTGGGAACTCCTCGTGTCCCTCCTCTCCCAGCCCCTCCCGTTGTCCAGCAGCACCAGTGGAGCTCCAGACCCCCCTCCCCAGCTCTTTGTGCTGTGCTTCTGTTGGCAGGGGCTGTCATGGTCCAGGACTTCCAGGACTGTCCTAGTGGCTGTGATCACGAATTATTCATCAGTGGCACTTGAACAAGAAAAGCCTTTCTGAACAAGGGCATTTCTGAGAGTCTTGCTGGTTTTTTTGCCTTTCAGCTGACTCCCTCTGCCTTCCAGAAGGAGATGTCTCTCAGCACCAAGCAGAGGCTGGCCAGCACTCGGGAGATGAGCCTGCCCCAGATTGTCCAGCGTCACGATATGAGTGAGACCTCTGATCACAAGGTAGCCTTTTCCTGCTTTTTCCTTGCTGTTTGATGTGATATTTGAAGAGAGTGTCAAAAGAGCTGCTCAGCTGGAGCCTGCTCTGTGTGGTGCAGCAGCTTTTGATCATCTCAGAGCAGAGGTGGCTGAGCTGCTGTTCCCCCAGTGGGAGCTGGGCAGCACTCACACAGAGGCTGCACTTCACTGGGAGTCAGAGCAGGATCCTCATCCATGAACCTTCCTCCCAGCAGCTGAACCTCTCCCTGCTCTCTCTTGCCTCTCCAGGTCTCGGCAGTTGACCCAGAGCAGCCCCTGTTCCATCCTTTCCCATCAGAGGTGGTATTTCAGAACTACGTCCCACACAAGGTCTGTGAAATGCCGCTGGTTCTGAGGAACAGGGACATGGTGAGTGCTGGGATGTGGAGGTTGAGCAGTGTGCTGGAAGAGGAGAGAAGTGTAATTCCTGTGGTGTAAGCAGAGCAAGTTCCCTGCTGCAGCACATCCAGAATGAAATGCCTCAGCACCTCTGTTTGGCAAGATGATGGACATCTTCCCACGCTGGGGATCCTCCCCTGATATTTTTCTTTGCCAACAGACAAACAGTGAATTTGCTCTACTCATGCTTCCTCAAGTATAAAAGGACATTTATATTAACATTTCTGCCAGTCTCAGTAAAAAATAATTGTCCCACTGCCTCTGGCTGAGCTGCTTTTGTCCAGGCAGATGGGACTCAAGTCCATCCTTCTTTATTATATGTGCCTGCACCTCCAGAGCTAAAAGTGCTTTGGAAAGGTGTTCAAGGTTGGATGTCACCAGGGCATGGCCAAGTCTCTTCTCTGCCTGTTTCCACAAGTGGCAAAGTCATCGTTCTGCGTCTTTCCTGCAGGTTCCTCGGCTGGTGAGGGTCACCATGGAGAGCTCACCCTACTTCAAGCTGGTTGGCCCCAGTGGTGTGTGCCGTAAGGTGCCACCGGGCATGTGCTCGACTTTACGCATCGTCTTCACCCCCGGGGAGAACAAGGCGAGTCTGGAGCTCCCAGGAGATCAGAGCCTTCAGGGGAAAGTGAACCTGCAGGGCTGCATTCAGGACAGGGCACCTGGCCTGGGTTTTGAGGAGCTCAGCTGGTTTCAGTGGGGTCGCACTGGATCTGGAATTACAGGGTACTCTTTGCCTGTGTTGAAGATGTGGATGAATGCTCTGTGCTCAGGCTGTTTCTTTCCATGCAGGATTATTTCCACTGTCTCTTCTGCACCACTGAAAGAGAAGAGTTCATCGTGCCAATTCGGGCCATCGGTGCCCGGGCTGTCCTGGACTTCCCTGACCAGCTGGACTTCTCTGTCTGTCCGGTCAAGTACAGCACCCAGAAGACCCTGATGGTTCACAACCTTGGAAACAGGGAGGCCCATTACCAAATCAGCACCCAGAGGTAAAGCAGCTCCTCTGTCTTTGTGCAAAACACCTTCAGGTGATAATAGAATTGTAATAGAGCAACAAAAGGAATGAGAGCAGGATCTCCTGAGGGCTGGATCTCCCCAGAAGTGAGTCAGTAGCAGTGTCTCATCCTGTGTGTTCTGCTTTCTGCTGACTGTGGTTGGTTTGCTCCTCCCTTGCACGAGTGAGCTGCGAAAGGAATATTGTCCCCAGATCTCCCCCAGGAGTCCTGATCTCTCTCCCTGTGTTGCAGCCCCTTCTCTGTCATTCCGACCATGGGAACTCTTGGCATTGGTGACACCCTGCAAGTGACAGTGGAATTTCACCCTCTGCAGACCGGGGATCACTGTGCATCCCTGGTAGTGCACTATGGCACAGGTGAGTGCTGGGCACTGCTGGGCTGCCCTGCTGTGCCCTGGGCAGTGAGGAGAAGGCTCTGCCTTTGCTGAGAGATGCCCTCCAGGATAAAAGGCTGGGTTGCTGCACTTGGCCTTTGGGGCTGGCACTGAGGCATTAAGAACCACCCCACAGAAATGCCATTCCTAGAGAGCACGTCTGATGCTTGCTGCTTGCATCTCACCTGGGAAACAACCACCCCCAACAGGAGGGGTGGGGTTGGCACTGAAGGTTGTGCCCAGGAGGTATTTGGTTGGGAATAATGGCCATCACTTCACTTATTCTTCTATGGGTCTGCCTTTTCTGCCCACGTACCCCCAGGCATCCTTGCTTGTCAGCAACAAGGGATAGGAGAGACAGGAGCTCCTGGAATGCCTGCAGGAGACCCTGGGCAAGCTGTGACTGAATGGGGCTCCTCAGAGTCACCTGAGTGACTTTGATGCAGAATTCTCTGTGACCTGAGTGGGTCACCCGACCACATCTGACTATCTCACTGTAAATACTGTCACCTTGGGGTCAAATCTCTATAAGCACTCCCAGAAAAAAGGTGTTTGAGGTGGTGTCCAGGAATTCCCCATGCTGTGCACACACAGCAGCTGGGATGTGATAAATGTCATGGTCCCTGGAACTGCTCATACAGCCAAAAGCTGTGACTTTTTCTTCTGTTACCCGTGGTTTGCTCTGTTCCTTGTGCTTCCAGCAGCGAGTGAGCTGAGCAAAGCCTCCCCTTTGCGTTGTCCCAGGTGAAGATACCCACACGAGCCTTCACGGGTCAGCTGTGAATGCCCACATCAGGCTGGAGAGGAATTCCGTGACAGTTGAGCAGACTTACATCACACTGTCCAACCAGAGCACCGTGAGGATCCACAACCACAGCAATGTCACAGCCCGCTTCCAGTGGAAGGCCTTTGCTACCCAGGAGGAGGAGGAGCAGCTAAAGCAGAGGTGGGTTTGAAAGATGCATTTCGGGAAGATCCACTGCCCAAGGGTAAAGCTGACATCTGCTGGTCCTGCCTCCTTTATTGGGTGATGCAAAACAAAGTCCCTTTCCCCTCTCAGGGCCTCTGGTTTTATGCATGCAAAGCCTTTAATGTCACTGAAGGGATGTGATGCCTGAATTAATTTAATTTGCTTTGAAAGTGCTCTGGGGTGCTCTGGTGGAAGGCAGTGTAGGGAACAGGGCAGCTGGAGTTTGCTTATCCCTGCAGGTCCTAAAGGGAAGAAGCAGAGTGAGTGATCCTGGTAACCTGCAGCTGAAACACAGATTTTTATCTCCCTTCCCAGGGAAGCCCCACAGGGTCAAGGTGTCCCTTGATCTTGATCTTTATCTGCCTCCCCCGAGCAGCTCTGTGGGTAGGAAAAGTCAGTTGAGGTGGCTGGTGGAGTCTCCCTCAGTTGTGGCAGTGGCTTTGAGCCAGGAGGCTCTCTTGAGGGTTTTGCTGGCTTTCCAAACCTCTCCTGAGCTTGTGAGTGTGGAGTAAAACCACCTGCTGTGCCAGCAAACAACAAGGGATCCTCTGATCCGTCTGGAACTCCGTGGCTTGGGGTCAGCCCCTTGCTGAGGAGCTGCTGCTGCTCCTCCCCAAGTGCTTTGCTGCTGCTGCTGCATTTACACTTAATCTCTGCAAATATTTGGCCTGTTGAAGGATCTGCTGGGTTTGTCTCTCCCCGTGGCTGCAGGCTCTGCCACAGGCTGTGTGAGCAGGAAAATGCCCAGGCTGATAATTTCCTGGAATGGAGCAGAGCAGACACCACTCGTGGAGAGCGCCTTTGCCTTCTCTCCCACATCTTCCAGAGCGAGAGGGCAAAGGTGCAAGAGGATCCCATGCTGTTCTTTGATGACATTTTCACTATTAAACCAGTGGTAAGTGATACCTGAGACAGCTGATGGCTGAGAACCTCCCTTCCTCTTCCTCCTCCTCCTCCCTTGCGTGAGGTCACTTGGCAGATCCCCACCTCAGCCAGCTTGATGTGCTGAGAGGGAAGACCCTGGCTTTTTTGTGAGGCTGGGAGAGCTTGTTGCACAAAGCATTTCTGCCCTGCAGGCTGCAGGAACCTGCCTGAATCTTCCAATCTCTCTTACCAGTGTGATTGACAAGAGTTGCTCGCTCCTTGCTTGTCACTGATGCTCTGAATAAAGGCTTACAGGGCTGTGGCTGAAAACAAGACATGTGGTGTTTGAAGATGAAAGATTTTTTGTCTCCTTCTGTTTTAGGAGGGAGAGATCTGGCCTAATTGTTCAGCAGAAATCAGCGTGATCTTCAGACCCCGAGAAGCCCGAGTGTACAAACACGCCGTCTACTGCGACATCTCGGGTACGGCTCCTCTCTCCTGCCTCTCTCGCCCACACTGAGGGCAGTCAGGGTAGAAACCGTCCCAGAGTTAAGGTCCCCTGGGGGCAAAAAGAATTGAAACAAGGAAATAAACCTGGAAGGAGGAAGAGCAAAATTTCTGGCACTTCCTAAAGCTCCAGTGTCAATGCGGGGGTAGAAGAAAGGATGGTTTCCATGGACTTATCTCCTGAGGGAAGAGAAGGGTCCATGTCTTCCCCTGGAGAATCCAGACCTGGTTCTGTCCAGCTCAGAGTCAGGGAATAGCATCGAGGCAGCCTGGAAAATGCAGGATAAGATAGGGAATTATTGCATTGAAAGAGAAATCTCTCCCCAGGCCGTGAGACCAGGCTGCCCCTGCGCCTCATAGGGGAAGGCCTTGGGCCCCGGCTCCACTTCCAGTTTGAGGAACTGGACATTGGGAAGGTTTCTGTCATATCACTCCACAGATATGAGGTGAGCAGCAGGGTTTGGGGTGGATCCTGATGGCTCCTGGGGCAGCAGCGAGCCTGGTGGACCTGCAGAATTTCTGGCAGCTCAGGCCAGTGATACTTGTCAAATTTGGGGCGTTCCACAGAATCTGGATCCTTTTGATGGGGTCTGAAAGGTGTGTCTGTTGTTCCTGACACCCTCATCCCTGCTTTTTGCAACTGCCCTTGGAGAGCAGCTGGGAGGCTTCCTGCAAAACAGTTAATTGTTTAATTCAAAACCAACTCAGCCTTCTGTAAGAAAGGAGATTGCTGATGTATTTCCACCTTGCTTCCTTGCTGCTACAGGCAATCCTGGTTAACAAAGGGCCTATTGAGGGTCTCTTCAGCCTCATCCCTCCAACTACAGCTGTGGGCTCCTGCTTCACCTTCCTGCCCCAGCAGGGCATCCTTGCACCTGATGGGCTCCAGGCCATCAGCATCTCCTTCCGTACCACCATCCCGGGGGAGTTCAAGGAAGAATTCCAGTTCAGGGTTAATGAATCCCCCAAACCCGTCACCTTGACCATCAGGTGAGGAGGGCTCTGGGAGGGAGGTGGGCAGGTCTGTAGCTGTCTCTGGGTAATCATCTCCCAGCTGCCTCACTTTGTGGTGGAACAGATAAAAAGGGTGTTGCTGAGGTCTGAGTCTTGGCTCTGGTGCTGGTACCCCCTTAGTGTGGGGGTGCTGCCCACTTTGCTTTGCCTGCCCCCTGTCTGGGTGGATGCTGTGCTGAGCACAGGGTGGGGTTGATTTGAAACCCCTGGTGGCTCTGACAGCAGCTTTTATCCCTTCCAGGGGTCACGAGAGCTGAACCCTTTGCAATTCCCTTTAACCCAGCTGTTGCCTCCTCTGCCTTTGTCCCCACAGGGGCTACGTCATCGGACCGACTTTCCACTTCAATGTCCGCGCCCTCCACTTCGGGGACGTCGCCTTTGGTGAGTGTGCCCAGGGTTTGGAGCGCAGTGTGAGAGGTCTGTGTGTTGCTGAAATGGAGCACTTGAGCCTCAGAGTTGTCTGTCCCTCGTGTTCCTCCACAGCAGCCTTAAGGCTGTTGGCTCCAGGGCTGCTGGTGGCTTAGGCAGCATCTTCCCATCATGAGGTCAAGTGGGACCAAAGGAATAGAAGTCCAATATCAGTGACCACTTCCCAGTTTCCTTTTGAATGAATAAACCAACAAGAAAGGCACCAGTGAGGAATATGGTTACATAATAGGAGATTCATCCTGCTTAATCTGAGTTAATTCCTAGGGCCTCTTTGGCTGGAGGCAGCTGTTGTATCTTTGTTTCATTTAACTGTGCTGCTGATTGTTGTCTGCATCTGGTGACCTCAGTCTCATTTGGGATTGTGATATCTGTGTTTGTCCTCTTTGTGCCCCTCCTGCCTCCCTGCTGGAGCTGGGCAGTGGTCAGTGTTGATGGGCACGGAGAAGCTCTTGGCTGTGCCTGCAGTTGTTTTTTCCTCCCCATCTGTGTTGGTAAGCAGGCCCTGGGAGATGTCTCCTCCCCACAGAGCTGGCCAGCCAAGCCAGATATCCACTGCAGATCAGGAGTGGGCATTTCCAAGGCAGCAATCTGGGAGCAGCATCCAAGGGAACTGAGTGACCATTAATTACTCGCTGAGCTGCTCAATGAGCTGTGGCTCAGATAACAAAGAGCTGAACTCCAAGCACAGTTTCATCCTACTGGGACATTCCCACCAGGGATCACGAGATGATTGGTGCCTCCATGGATACTTTGTGTGCCATTTTCCAGGCTTTCCTCGCAGTCTGTCCTGTCGCCTGACCAACACCTCGCTGATGCCCATGGCCTTCACCCTCCGCATCCCCCAGGACGGCTCTGGAGAGCCCAGCCTGACCAGCTTGGACCAGGTGTCTGGCAACACTCGCCCATCCTGGAGGAAGGGAGCTCAGGGTCTCCTGGAGCCCATGGAATTCACCATAACGCCCTGCAGAGGGACCATCTGCTCCCAGGCATTCCAGGATATCCAGGTATGGGAAGGGTCCAGCCATGCACCCTTCAGTGGGTGGGGCTGAGGCTTCGCTGCTGGGTGGGAGGGCTTTGGCACTGCCAGCTTTGGGGGCTGTGTGAGCAGATCTGTGCTGGTGTGAGGCCTCTGTCAGCTGGGATGTGCCTGAGGGAGCACAGTTTGGTTTCCAAAATCACAAGCTGAAATCATGCACCACGTGGTCAAGCACGGAAGCCACTCGTGTGTTTGTGAGAGGAATTTCTCTGATGGAAAGCAGCAGAGGGAGGGTGAGGACAGAAGGTGGCTGTGAGAGGGAGAGATGTTGTTGTGTAAATCAGTTTGCTTTCCTTCCCTCTCTCATTTCTCCTCTCCTGGGGAGCAGAATGAGTTGTATTCCCTGCAGGGATCTCCAGTGGGGACGGAAAAGACTCTGCAGCCATGAACTGCCCAGCAATCTGCTGGGCCACACTGTGCCCTCAGCTTCCTGCTGTAAAGCTGAACTCATTCTGTTCAAGTCAACAGATTTCCTCTGCATTTCTGTCATTGCAGTCAGGTGAAAAGTTGATCCCTTAATTTGAATAAAGTGGTGAAGAGAGCACTAGTCTGATGGTGCTTTTATTTAGCTTACCTGTGCCCTGATAACTTCAAGATATGTTTAATAAATCCAGTCTTGCCAGAAGGCTTTTTTTGCAGAAGAATTAAGGCAAAACCCTTCCTTTCCTTGCCATGGAACAAGAGCTGGAGGACACTACACGTGTGATGAACCTTTGGGAGTGAGGAATTATTTGCTGCTCTTCCCTCCCACCAGGTCACCCTGTGTTCCAACACCGTGGGACGATACAAGATGGAGCTGGTGGTGGACGTGGATGGCGTTGGCAAGAGGGTGTCAGCGCTGCCCCTCACAGCCAGGTACCAGCACTTTCCTTGCAGCTGCTTGTCTTTCCTCGTGCACCCACCACCAGCACCCTGCCTTGCACTGGCTGCAGCTCCAAAGGAGAAGGGCTGCTTAATGAGACGGTTGTGCCCAGCTCCACATGAGAACAGCAGTGCTTGGGAAGCACTTGGAAAGCCCACGGTGAGAGGCACCCCTGCTCACAGCCAGGCATGGCCCTGGGCCTTTTTCTAAGTGGAACAGGAAGGGCATTAATTATTTGCCTGGTTTTTGGTGCTTGAGGTGTAACAAATTCCCCAAGGGCCGCCTGTCCTCCTTCCTGCAAGAGATGGATTTGTGCTGGGTGGTGACCATTGGTTCGGGGCACAGCGAGCAGCCTGCTGAGAGCTGGGGTCTGGCTCAATTAACCAACACGTGCCAGTGGGAAAGGGGCTCATGGCAGGAGTGGGGAGGGCAAAAAAAAGCTAGATCTTATGAAGGGGAATATAGTCCTTGACCTGGCAGGTGAGCTCAGGTTTCACTGCTTCACTCTGCTCCTTTGAGCATTAACCCTCTCAGAGTTGAGGCCAAAAGTTGTTCTTGCTGCAGCCGAATTCTCTCCTGTTTGCTGCTCTGGGTGCCAGTTTAACGACCAGAGGGATGCAGTTCCCTGGAGCTGTTCCCTCTCCCAGCCAGAGCCATCCAGTCAGTGCCAGGGCTGCCATCCCTTTGCCCAGGTGTGTCGTTCCTGCCCTGCGGGCGCTCAACCCCGTCATGGCGTTTGGCCGGTGCTACCTGAAGGTCCCTTACCAGAAGATGCTGAAGCTCGTGAATGACAGCGACTTTCCTGGCTGCTACAGGGTTCTCCCTCAGGTTTGGCATCACATCCTCCTCCTCCTCCTCTTTTCAGATGTTATCCAGTTGTTTATTAGGGGAAAAGAGGGGTTTGCATAAGACCTTGCTGGTTATTATTCAAACCTAAAGGTTTGCCGAGAACAGGAACCTACCTGAATACAAACTTTAGGAAGCAGTTTAACCTCTTAGGGAAACAGTTTATATTCTAGTCCTTGGAGAGTTCAGAGGGTTGTGAAGAGCTGCTGCAAGGGGGCTGCCAGCACAGGAGTGGGTGTCTGTGGATGCAGCAGTTTTGAACCCCCTGAGGGGATGCTAAGCCCTTACAAGTCCTTCATTTTGTGTCGTGCCTTTCTGCTTTCTCCTGGGGATTTTTGAAAGTGTGTGTGAGTTGCCATTGTGGCAGATGTCAAGGAGTTTAAAGTTTCCTCCCTCTGAGGCTGTGTTTGATTCTGTCTCTTCTAGGAACACAGGGAGGATGCTGCTGTGAGGTACTTGACCCCTCAGCCATGTGGGATTATCAAGGCTCACAGCTCAGTGGAGATCCCATTTATACTTGAAACCAAATCGTTGGGGATCATGACATCACTGCTGATGTCGCCGTGTTTGGGAGTGAAGAATCCCCCCTGGTGAGTGTGAGCTGTGTGAGATGTGAGCCTTTGTGTGACTCATCTTGGTGGAGTGTAAAATGTACTGGGATTCTTCCAGGGAAAACAGGAGCTTGTGATATATGGCTGGTGTGGACAAGTAAGGAAGGGATTGGTGGCATAAGCAGCATCTTATGCCTAGAAAAGAGGAAGTATGGAATCCTCACAGGTGATATTCTCAGTGCCTGATCCAACATATAGTGGGAATCAGGATAACAAGCCCAGTCTGACCCCAGACCAATCTGTGGGTCTCACACTCTGCTGGGAGGGTGGTTTGGGCAAGCTGGAGCAGTGAAAGGAGTGGAAGCAGGCAGGAGGTAGAGGAAGTGTGGAGGTAGACAGTGTGGAGGAGGTGTGAAGAGGCAAGAAACAGCATTTCTCTGTCTGCTGATAATGGGAGCCTGTGGCTGTCAGATGGGAGCACTGCAGACCCCACGCTTGCTCCAGGCCCTCTGTTTCAATCTACAGCACCGAAAACTTCAAACAGCCAGAATTATCCCCAGTCTAAACTGCCCTTAGAGCTAGGCTTTACAAACTTTCCTTGTTTTTTTTTTTTTTTTTTGATCTTTTCTACTTTCTCCTTGGAACAGCAAATCCATTTAGAGAGCACTGGACAAGGACCGGTTGTCTTTGTGTATCCAACTGAGATAAACTTCGGCACTATCCAGGTCGTAGAAGATATTTCCCACACTCTCCACCTGTCCAATCAGAGTGTCATCCCTGCAGTCTTCTGGGTGGAGATGGTAAGAACCTGTGGGACTGTTTTCCAGTGAAAATGACTGCTCAGTAGCAGCCTGTGATTTGCTTTTTATATTCAATGTTCCCATGCCTTTCTGTGCAAGATATTCCATCTGAGTGTGGCCAGAGGAGCCTGGCTCTGGGAGTGGTTTTAGCTGGGACAACCCTCAGTGAACCAGTTTGCAGAAGGGTTGGAGCAGAAATGAGTCTGGATCATGTTTGCAAGTTCTCTCTTTATTTTGTGGAAGTATTTAGCTGTGCTTTTGGAGCTCTGAGCTCAAGAGAAGCCTGTGGACCTTTGTTCCTGAGAGGGCATGGATTTCCCTACGGTTTCCCCGTTCCATCTGCACTTTCTTTGTTGCCAAACTGCTGGTAATGGTTAGAGTTGCTGTTGCCAGACGCTGTAGCTCAAATGTAGGGAAATTAAACCTTTATGGTTTTTGCCCTGATCCCTTTAGTCCTTCCATTTCCTACACCCCACAGCAGATCAGGGTCCATGGTTTCCATCCTAAGCTCCTGCTGGGTTTGTCTTTCAGGCTGGCACGCGCTCACGCTGGAGGACTGAACCCACTAAGGGAGTGATCCCCCGGGACCGAGGTGTCTGTGATTGTCACAGCAAACCTGGATGACACGGGCAAATTTGAGGACAAGGTGAAGCTGTTCATCGAGAACAGCGACGTGAACATCATCCCCGTGCAGGCTGTGGGCACTGGCACCACAATTGTCACCGACAAACCGTTCTGTCCAGAGCTCAACCTCAGGGCCCACTTCAGGTAGGATCTCTCTCAGCTCCCGTTTCTCCCCGGGCTCAGCAAGGAGCAGTTTTGCCCTAGTCCTTCAGGCTAGGTCTTCTTCAGTAGGTCCCAGCTCTGATGCTCTGAAGCCACAGGGATTCTTTAGAAACATGTGATGGCTATTTGGGAGTCATTAGACACCCTCAAAAGCCACCCATATGGAAAACAGCTGCTGGGTGGTGATGAATTTAAGGGCAGCCAAGGCCTGGTTGTGGCTGAAGCTCTGAGCTCGGGTGGCCTTTCTGGTGGAGGTTTTAGTGCTGAGTGTGCAGTCAGGGAACACCATCTGGTGCTGCTGATGCCACCTCTGCTTCTCTTGCAGCCTCAGTCCCTGCTGTTACCGCTTCAAAATGACAAACAAAGGGCGCCACACCCACCAGCTGTTCTGGAGCACAGAAGGTTTCAGCATCTCCCAGCAGCGTCGTGCCCTGGGCACCACCAAGGGCAAAGACCCTTCCCAGCTCCCCAGACCTGCCAGCCCCGTGTTTAAGCTGCAGCCGCCGCAGATGGAGCTGGGGCCGGGCCAGACGAAGGACGTGGTGCTGGAAGGCTTCTCCAGCACTCCCCAGGTGAGATCCCACCCAGGGCTGAGCCTTTCCCATCACATCCCCTCCACTGGGGCTTCTCCTGCAGCCCCTGGACATTTGCCTGGGAGAAGGAGCAAGTGCCTTCAAGAAACTGTTTGGAGGCCACAAGTTTCCATGGCAGCACCAGTTGCTTTCCCTGCTGGCCACCATCAGTTGCTAAGGGTTTTTTTGTGTTTCCATAGCTACCAAAACCCAGTGCTGATCCCAAAATACAGGCTGGAGGAAATATTGGTCCTTCAGGGCAAACAGGAGGTTGCCAGTGTCGTGTGCTGGGGCAGAAAGGAAGGGCAGAGAAAAAAAGTTACACTTTGCTAAGAGCCCAGGCAGAAAGCAGAGAAAATAAGTGCCAAGTGCTTTATCCAGGGAAAGCAGGGAGTCAAACAAAAGCCCTGTGAAGGGAGGGAGTGTCTGGGAGCAGCATCACTTTCCCTCTGCAGACAAATGTGGGCAGAAGGCTGGTCGAGCCCTGAGTCCTGGAGGAGGAAAAGCGACACCGTGTCAGCTCTAATGATCAGTCTGATGTCCATCCACGTGGGAAACTGTTCCCAGAGATCATTATAATTGACAGCCTGACTTCTGTCAACATTTCCACAACTGCTCCCCAGTTTCTCAGCCAGCCCTGCTGTCCCAAGGGCAGGCAGGTCTTGCAGCACTCTTGGAAAGCAGCTCAGAAGGGGAGATTTTAGCAAGGCCTTGGGGTGTTCTCCCCCTGCAGCACAGAAAGGAAAGGGGATTTTGAGGAGAGCAGTGACAGTAACTGTGGCAGGAATAGGCCCTGTGGGTGGTGAGCCAGCCCTGCCAGCACCCACTGGTGACAGTGACTCTTGCCTGCAGAAGGTGAAGGAGAGGCTGCTGTGTCATGCCATCGTGGGGAGAGAGAAAAGAAAGAAGCAGATAATGCAAGTGGATGTCAGATGCGAGTTCATTTTTCCCCTCGTGCAAATATCTTCCAGAGCAATCGTGTTCCATGTGGAGAAGGTAAGTTCTGGATTGCATCCTGTCATGGCATTTAATGGGCATGGCTGTTAAATCAGCTGCAAGGGTAGAAACTATTAGAAAAAGTAAATACAGATGTATGCACTTCTGGGGTTGAAAAATGTGAAATGCATCGGAAGGGGAAGGAGGTCTGTGGCCACCTGAGGTTGTTTTATCTTGTCTCCTGTTTCTGTAGCGGCCCAGTGATGTCCTGACCCTCCTACACAAGCCCCTGTCTTTAAAAAACGTCTCCTCCCTGCCACTCAGCGTTGTGCTGGACTTGAAGAAGCCATTCCTAATCTGTGGTGTGGACCAGCAGCCCCTCCCTAAAGATGCTCAGGTGAACAGCCAGGGGCCTTCCTGCTGGTGGGGTTTGAAGAGGGAGGGCTGTTGGGTGGTCCTAGAGTCAAGAAGCTTTTTCTGTAGAGCCAGCAGTGAGCTGGCCTGAACTGAATCAGCAGAGCTGCTGAAGGAAGCAAAATCTCACCTGAATTGGCAAGACCCATCCTGGCTCTAAGACACAGAGAGCAGACAACTAGGTCTGGGCAAGCCATCCAGCCTCCTGGAGAGCACCCCAGCTCTCCAGCAGCCACCCCTTGTATTGCTGCCAACAAAAAGGCCTGAGAGAATCCTGGACCAGAGCGTGGTGCTCACAGTGTGGAAATGAAGGGTGAACTGGGAAGCCCATGCTGGGGTCACACTTTGAACCTTTAATGTTTCCTGCTGTCAGACCTTGGGACTTCACCACGCAGGTGATTGACACCCTTCATCTCCTTGCAGCCCATAAAACTGGAGGTAGGGGAGGAGCTTCATCTCCGCATCCGGTTCAACCCCGCTTACAAAAAGGATTTGAACAGCCGGGTGGCGGAGAAGACGCTGAACGTGTGGTTCGTGGAGCACCCCCACGAGGAGCAGGTCAGCGTTCGGGGGGAGGTCCACTTCCCAAACCTCCGTATCCAGACCAAGGCCCTGGACTTTGGCTGCGTCCTGAACGACACCGAACAAGTGCGCTGTGTGGCGATGACCAACTGCAGCCCAATTCCCGTCCGCTACCGCTGGTCCTTCCAGACCGACAGCCTGGTGAACACCATAAGGTGGGTGCTCCTTTTGCCCTCTGCTCGAAGCTCTTCTCCCTGCTGTCCTGTTTGTGCTCTGCAAGGACCAAGGCTCCTTGCCTGGGGTCTGACTCCAAAGTGCTTTGGAGGTTTCCTTGCGGAACAACCAGCCGTGGTCAGGCTGGAAGCTCAGATAGGTGATCCCTACCAGCTGGACACTGGGACTGTAAGACACTCCCAACCCTTTTTGCCCAGCAGTAACCTGGAGTCCTGCTTTACCTCTGGAGCTACAAAGCCATGCTTAGGCACTTGGACAAGCAGATCTATAAAGTGAACTCTTCCCCTTCCCTGCCAACCCAATTTGTTGTCCTTTCCTACAAAGAACCTCCACCAGAGTGCATCTAGGGATGGCTGTAGCTGTTGGTGGAGCACTTGTCTGAACATCCCTGGGAAGCAGAGCCATCCAGGGCTGGGCTGTGCTTTCCAAGTCCAAGTGCAATCCTGCAGTTGTGCTGGGGCACATCTGTAAACACATTTCTGGCAGTTCCTCCTGCTGTGGCCTGTGCAGAGTGCAGAAGTCTGGTCTGGGCAGTTTTTATCAGAGAAGCAAAGAGTTTTTCCATAATGCCCCAGGAAACTGAGCCCAGTTAACCACTGGGCATTGAAGTGCTGCAGTGGCAAAGAACAGAGCTCATCCAGAAAGTTTTGTTTAGGGAACTGGGACCTGGCTCAGAGGAGACAATCTCTTTGGAGATGACATGTTATTTTCCAGGTTCAACCCTTCACCACCTAAATTCAAACCCAAACCACCAAAGAAGGAGAGAGACTCTTTGAAGTACTCAACGTTGTCAAGGAGGCAGTCCAGTGCTGGAAGTGTGGAGGAGCCAACCAAAGCCCCTGAAGCAGTGCAGGACCCTGCCCAAGAGCCAGAGGGTTCAGAGGATGCCCTGGGAGCAGTACAGGACCCTGCCCAAGAATCAGCAGGTTCAGAGGACTCTCAGGGAGCAGTGCAGGCTCCTGCCCAAGAATCAGCAGGTTCAGAGGACTCTCAGGATCCTGCCCAAGAGCCAGAATGTTCAGAAGACTCTCTGGGAGCAGTACAGGCTCCTGCCCAAGAATCAGCAGGTTCAGAGGACTCTCAGGGAGCAGTGCAGGATCCTGCCCAAGAGCCAGCAGGTTCAGAGGATGCCCTGGGAGCAGTGCAGGATCTTGCCCAAGAGCCAGCAGGTTCAGAGGATGCCTTGGGAGCAGTGCAGGGTTCTGCCCAACAATCAGCAAGTTCAGAGGACTCCCTGGAAGCAAAGGTAGATTATCTTGTGCACCTACCCCTTGCATTGCCTCCCAAACTTGCCCCTGCAAAGCTGAGCTCGTGCCAACCCCCCTTTTTGCTGTCCTGCTGCCCTGTGCCCTGAGAGTGGGCTGAGCAGCAGGGCCAGTGGCTGGAAGTGGGGCATCTGGGGAGGGAGAAATAGGATAGTTTTGCCCAGAGAAGCCCACTCAGATCCTACAGACCTATGTCGAGTTTGGGATTTTTTGGGGCTTATTTTCTTTACAATGTAAAATGAGGGTTTTATCTCCATCGTGATGAGAAGGCTTTTGGTTTCCTTCCTGCACCAAGTTGTGCCGAGTACTGATCTCCATTTCCCCCTTTCCACCCCATCTAGAGCCACCATTTTCACATCCCTGCCTTTCACCCAAGAGCCAGTATTGCAGTCTTTTTTAAAGCAAGGCTTCTCTTCCTCCTAGCATGGAAAATAGCCTTTGATCTGCTGACCTGCCTGGTGAATCTTGGTGCTTTGGAGTGGGAACTGATCCCTTGTTCTGGGTCATGTGGAACAGAGGCTGCTCATGGGGCAGTAAAAAAGGATGCAAGGGAGCAGGGGAGTTTCTGAAAGCACCAGTGTTGGCATTCAGTTCAAGGGGAGGAGTTGTACCTGCTCACACCCAAATATTGGTCATTTTAACTTTGCATATTTTCCTCTGGATCAGGAGAAATTATACCCATTAGACACAAAGAATAGTATGGCTGAGTGTTCTCAGACAGAAGCACAAAATCATCTTTATTTCCTGGTTGTTGTCTGTATGCACAAGTAAACCAGGGAAATTCAAGTGGCTATCCTAAAATCCTGGAATGGTTTGGCTTGGAAGGGACCTTGGTTTTGCTGGGAAGGGACCTTCAAAGATCCCTGTAGTTCCAGCTCCCTCTGCCTGAGTGCTGGGGTATCCAGTTCCCTCGTGCAAACTTGCACGTAGGAAGTGCAGCCCATGGTGCTTTTTTTTCCAGCTGCTGCCATCAGAGCCTCAGAGCCTGGAGGCCATGCAGGGATGGAGGCAGTTCCTGGAGGTGGAGGACCTTGCCTTGGGAATGGAAGAGGTGAGTGGGCATCTGTCTCGCTTCCACATTTCCAGCGTGGAAATTAGTTCTGCCCAAGGATGCTCCCTGTGCAGCACCTGCTCCCCTTGTACCTTGTCAGGTGGTTGAGTGGGAAGTTTTGCAGGAGCTTTTGCTGTAGCACCTTGAGAGAGCAGCATGTAAATCAGAGAGAGAGAGGGAAAAGCCTCAGGAGTCAGATGAGCCGAGTTGGAGTCCCCCCCTCAGCTCCAAGGGCTTTCACCTCCAAGTCTCCTGTTTTTCTGAAGGCAGTAAAAGTGTTTTTCAAAGGCAAGTTCTGCAGTGGAGAGAACATCTTGCTGCCAGGAGGCATCCCAATTTGATGTGGTGTATTAATTAATGCATTGATCAGTGAGCATGGAAGAAGATTTCCCCTTTGGTCCCTCCAGTGGTGAGTGGCGTGGAGGCAGGAGGAGATCAGGATGACTCTGGCTGTGTTGGAGGAAGAGGCCCCTCCAGTCACCTCTGTGCTTCTCTCCAATTCCCCGCTGCTCTTCTGCACCCATTTCCATGCTCAACAACTCAATCTCTCCTCCCCTCCCCAGGTTTTCGATGTGCAGCCGGTGTCGGGTGTGCTGCAGCCGGGGGAGACCCAGCAGGTGCCCTTCACCTTCTTTGGCCACGCCAACATCGTGGCCCGTGCCACGGCGCTGTGCCACGTGGAGGGAGGCCCGACCTACGAGGTGGAGCTGAGCGGGGAGGCTTCGAGCCTCAGCTACCACCTGGACATCCACCACATCGACTTTGGGCTGCAGGTACCGCCCCCTTCTCCTGGCTTAATCTACAAAATAATCCAGGGAGGAAGTTGGGCTTCCAGTCACTGTAGCTGGAGAGAATGTCCCAGAATAATCCTCCCTTTACTTCTTTTCAGTTAAGAGCCCACAGATATTTCCAGCTGCTGGCCCTGTCTCTGTTGCCCCTGTGTGTGTCTCCCTTCGTTCCTATCGATGTATTTGCTTGCCAACACTTGCATGCAGGTGCCTTTTCCTCTGGAATGCCTCGATGCCTCCTCCATTGATTCACCAGGCTGTTGGTGACCCCTCAGAGTAAAGAGGGCCCTGGTTCATTTATTACTGGCCCTTACATGGTTATTACAACATCTCTGAATGCTGCCAGAACTCCCTGCTCCTGTGCAGGGCTAAGAGGTGCCCTGTGCCTGAACCAGGCTGACCTGGGATGGTCAAGTGCCTGGATCTCCTCCCCAGTCCCTGCTCTTGCGCTGTGGCTGTCTGCTTCCAACCCCACGAAAGAGGAAGGAAATTCCCAGCAGCAGGCTGGTATCTGCAACTTCCCACTCCTCTGTCCTCCCTCCAGCTGTTTAACAAAGTCCTCCAAGCAGAGGTCACCCTGCTGAACACCGGGATCATTGGATTCACCTACAAGGTGCTGAACCCCAGCGCTGCCAAGGCAGACAGCCCTCTGCCTCGGGAGCCCGTGGTCGTGCCCAGCACGGTGAGTGGCACAAGTGATTGGCCCCAGCCCTGTGTCAGGTGGCCCAGGAGAGGGTTAAAGGGTTAAAAAAAGGGGTAAAAAAACCAACCAGCCCCCCAGCCTTGAGAGACAGGGCTGGAAGCAATTGCTGCTGGAGTTAGAGAAGGTCAAGCAAGTGCTCTGCTGACAGACTCCCCCGTGGCCTTGGGCAGCGGGTGCCAGCAGTGGGAGGCACAAGCACATCAATCACTCCTTGGACCCTGACTCCTGATCCTGGAGCTGGGTGGTGCCAGCTCTTCTAGAGGGTCACCTTGCCCAGGCTGTGTGATCAGACAGGACTTACTCCCTGTCCCTGCCTCCTCCCTGCCAGCACTAAGCTGCACTTATGTATTTCTTGCTTTGGATTGAAGCTCCTTTGCCAGAAATCCTCACAGCCCCTGTGCTGGTCCCTCACTCCCTCCAGCTTTGCTGCTCTGCAGCAGCAACGTGGGGCAGTGAGGGGGCCAGGGAGAACTGGGGCTGGAAGAGCAAGGGGAGGAGTTTGCAGCATCCCACCATCCCAGCTTCTCAGCCCTGTCTGGATGCCTTTGAGCTTAAGCAGCGTTCCTATCTTTGGGCCTCTTTGGAATAAGAAGTGAAAGCCAAATTGCTTTCCCGTTATTTCCTGCCCGTCTCCTCCAAGGGATGACACGCTGATGCCCCCTTCCTGCCGGCAGCCGCAGACACAGCTCTGCTGTGGCCCCGTGCAGGCAGCTGCTGTAGCAGCATCCTGGGTGCTGGCAGCTGGGCACCCTCTTCCCTGGATCTCATCCCAGTCTCTCCTCCTGTGCTTCCAGAGATGTGTGTTTGCAGGTCACTGGGAGTCTGGATACACTCATGCATCCATGGTGTAACCACAAAGGCACGAGGTGTTTTTGTTGGGATCATTAATAAGGGGACAGGCCCTTTGATGCATTCCTTCCTTCTCCTCCCACCCCCTTCAGGCTTACCTTGATCCTGGAAAGGAGCAGGTGCTGAAAGTCTCTTACCTGCCAGGGGTATTAGGAGTCTTCTGCAGGACTCTCCAGATCCAAGTGGGTCACCTGGCACCAGCAGAAATCCTCCTGAAAGGAGAGGGGACCTTTCTTAGGATCTCTTTGGACCTGCCCTGGGATATCAAAGGTGAGCACTGCCTGTCTGCTCCCCAGGAAGGTCTCCTGGTTTTTCCTCCCTTTTTTTCCCCCTGTAGGGCAGCACACACCCATCTCCACCAAGCCTGGAGGTTGCATGGCTGCCAGACCAACACTCCCCACTCTGGTTGCTTCCTGAGCCTTGAGCAGAGTAGCCCATGTGGGCTTTGTCCCAGGAACCATCCTGCAGATCTTGCCAGCACATCTGTCAGAGGCCTGGAAAGATGATAGCTAGGCAGAAAACCTTGGGAAAACTGCAAGAGAGACTGGCAGGGCTTTTGGCAGGGTTGAATTTGCATGATATTTCGGGGCATGAGATGCTCCTCTGTGGACAATGGTTGAGAGTGAACATGAGGATTTAGAGAGGAGCAGCAGCATCCACTTTCCACAGATGGCCTGAGGGGTTTGTTTCTGGGATAGGCCAGTGTTGGGGAAGTGGGACTTCCCAGCTTGAATGGGTTTGGCAATGTACCCAAGCTTCTATTTGTGGATAATTTTTTTCCTTCAGGAAATGAAAAATTTGAGAAGATACTGAAGAAGATAAAAGAAAATGTGGAAGAAGACAGGCAGAGCGATGCAGCAGATGCTCTGTCAGAGCCTGCATCCGTGGAGCCATCCATGGATGGTCCTGGCCTCAAGAAGCAGCAGCATCTGCTTGCCCCAGGTGACTTGGTGGGTTTGTTTCTGGGACAGGCCAGAATGGGTTTGGCAATGCACCCACACTTCTATTTGTGGGTAACTTTTTCCTTCAGGAAATAAAAAATATGAGAAGATACTGAAAGAGACAGCAGAAAAATGGAAGGAAGAGATGCAGATCGATGATGTCCTGGATACATCCGGGGAGTCATCTGAGGAGGCATCCGAGGAGTCATCTGAGGAGGCGTCTGAGGGGTCATCTGAGGGGTCATCCGAGGGGTCATCCGAGGAGTCGTCCACAGAGTCATCCTCGGAGTCATCCACGGAGTCATCCACAGAGTCGTCCAAGGAGTCATCCATGGAGTCGTTGGAGGAGTCGTCTGAGGAGCCACCCGAGGCTGACTCTGGCGTTGAGTTTGGCATCGTGGTAAGAACAGCTGCTGCCCCCATTGGCACACGCCACCCTCCCCATGGGAACTGGAGCCCCTGGCACCCCACAGCAGCTTCCCGGTGCCCTGCTGGCACTTGGGACCTCCCTGCCCGCATCTGGCTGTGACCGTCTGTCAGCTGTTGGCTGACAGGGGCTGTCCACCACTGGTCATGGTCCTTCCTGGAGCTGCACCAGCTTCCTGGCTATTCCAGGGGGAGATCCTGAGGGCCGTGCTCAAGGGATGGAGTCGATGGCGCTTTGAAGGAAATTCAGGTCATTGCTGGGGAGTTTGTTGCTCCCAACTCAAGCCCTGCCAGGTTTACAGACCTAAAGAGCAGCAGCCTGACTGTGCCCTGGGGCTGTGCTGGCAGTGCTCATCTCCAAGAGGCCTGGTTGTAGTTCCCTTTTCAAGAGAGCTTTTGTCCAAGCTGCTTTGGCACTGGCTGGGGGCAGGCAAATATCTGGAGCTCTGGAAGGTTCCTGGTTTGTCTGTCTGTCTGTCTGGCCAGATCGGCTTTTCTAGCAGTGGCTGGGCAGGCAGAGATGCTGGAGTTGCTTCCCTGGAGAGAAGGTCCTCTCTTAGAGAGTGGGAGGTGTCCCAGACACTGAGCAGCCAGACAGGAGGACCCCGTGCCCCCTCTCAACAAGAGCAGAGTGGGATCCTCTTTCAGATACAAGTCTGGGACTCAGGATGAACCCCTGCCAACCAGCCACTGTCTTCTCTTTCCTCAGTGGGACACCTGGGTGCAGAGAGAGATGGAGCAGGTGCTGATAGAGCAACGTGTCCTGGAGCAGGAGAGAATTGTAACCTCCCGTGCCCCCGAGCTCAGGGGCTTTGACAAGAGCGTTCGTCAGAAGCTCGTCGAGTGAGTAGGGACTCCTGTCCCTTGTCTCCAGGTGTCCCGAGGGTAACACCCAGCAGTGCTCCCTGCTCCAATGCAGGAAGAAGATGCTCTGCAAAACAGATCATTCACGTGCTTCCCTTTGCGGGATTGCTCTGGGAAAGGACCCTCCCGTGAATTTTGCCAGTGTTGATTACATTGATCGGTGATGCCTTGGGGGCGATTCTGGTGGCAGAGCAGTGAAGATTTCCTGTGCAGGCAAATATTATTCCAAGGCCCTGAAGCAGTTTCAGGCTCAAGCTTTACACCAGGCTAAGCAGTTTCATTGAGACCAGTGGAGGTACCCCTGGTAACTGATAAAATCTAGGACCTGCACTCCCCGTGACTTCCTGAAGTCACTGCCAGGTGGTCAGGCCTTGAGTTTCACGGGCTTGAGCCGAGTTTTTACACCAGTGAATACAGAATTATATGCTTTATTTGCACCTTCCATCCACTTGGGCGTGGGCTGTGGTTTGAGGACTGTCTTTACTCCCCCTTCCAGGTTAGAGCTGCCCGATTACATCCTGGACATGGGCAGCGTCATTCGCGGTAACACCGAGACACACACGGTGAACGTCACCAACACCGGGCTCCTCCCAGTGTCCTTCAGCATTGACAAGCGTGTCCTGCAGGGCAAAGGTAAGCAGAGCTGGGGAGACTTCCCGTGGGCTGGAAGGGAGCTGTCTCAGACAGATCAGTTTAAGCCACCAGACAAGGGGAGGTTTTTGAGTGTTTTCCTCTCGGTGCCCCTGCTGGGAGCTTCGAAGCCTGAATTCTCCTGGCCAGCCGTGCCCGGGGACCTGGCCTGCCTGTGACTGCCCTAACACTGCACTGCAGGAGCCAGGTGGGCTCATCACCCTGGTCACCCCTCAGCATCTTCTGCCTTTGGTTCCCATGAGCACCAAGTTTCTTCAGGCGCTCTGTGGGCTTGTGTTGCAAACCAGTGGGATCTGCTGTGGTTTGGAAGTGCTCTGTTTGGAGTTCACGCTGTCACAGCTCTTGTGTTCAGCCTTTATTGAGGAAATAGCCTGTGAGATCCTCTGAGGGATCAAAAGCAGCTTCCAAAAGAGGCCTTGAGGCAAGGCTGTGCTTTCATCAAACAGTGGCTCTCTGTCTGAGGGATGCTCAGGTGTCTCCTCTAAGTTGTTGACCAGGGAACAGCATGGCATGGGGGGATCCTAACTGGAAATTCTCCTTTGGAGAGCTCTGTGCAACCTTCCCTGAGGCACCTGATGAAGGAATTGCTAGAGGTGCTCAGCTGGTCTGTTTTGGTTTTACCACCCAAGGTGGACCTTGGATGCTGGCTGTGAAAGCCCTTTCTCCTTGAGTGGTGGGTGACAAGTTAAAAAGAGCAGCAGCTTCTCCAGAGATGCAGAATGGTCTTTCCCAGAGCTGCCAGCCAGGACACCTCCATGACCTTAACACGGTTGTGACACATTTCATGGTGCCTGTTCATCTCAGCTGCTCTCTTTGTGTCTGTTCAAGGTTTCAGTGTGGACGTGGAGCAGGTGCAGTGCCTGGCCCTACTGCGACACAGAGAGGATTGAAGTGCTTTTCGACAGTACCAACATGCCCGTGGGAGAACTGGATGTGTCCCTGCCCATCAAGGTGCCACAGCTTTCGGGGCAGGCAGCAGGCTGGGCACAGCAGCAGCAAATGTCACCTGGACTCTCAGCTGAGCTGTCTGTCCTTCTCCAGGTAACGGGAAGCTACACACTTCACATCCATCTCTATGCCTCCGTGACTGCGGATTGCACCCAGGATGAAAGGGCCCCTGACCTGCAGCTCCTCATGCCACTGATGCGCTCTGAGAGGCGCAAGAGACGTGACAGCCAGAGATCTCCTAAAACTGCCTTTAGAAGGTGACAGTACAGTCAAGGTCTGGGGGTTTCAGCAGGAGCCAAGGACTCTCTTGGTGCACCCTTGGCTCTCACTCAAAGGTGCTTGAGAGATTTGGTTGCTGCCCCAGGGATGAGGAATGCTCGCTCTTTTTCAGTAGTGATATCCTTGCACCAGTTCAGCTGCACAATCCCTGCTTTTCCAGCTGGGAAAAGGAGGCAGGAAGGTTTGCAGGGGCCTGGCAGTAATGCTGAGCACTAAAAGGGGCTTTGCACACAGGCTGGTGTCCAACCTCCCCCCAGGGCCTCTTCTTGAGGATGCAAATGAAGGGCTCTCCCTTTCTGCGAGCATCCTTGGGGAAAATTTCTTGGGAATGAGCAGGAGCATTAAGGGATTCGCAGCCTGTTCCCAAGGACAGCGTTACCTGTGGGAGTTTGCTCTCTGGGTTACAAGACCACCTGGTGCCAGGGATGCCCAAAAGGGTACAAACCCTTTGGAAACCACCTCCTTGCTCAGGGACACACAGGCTGAGGGCCAAGCCTGGGGCAGGATTTACATCCATCCATGTGCAGCATCTCCCACAGCCGGGGAAGTGGCACAGAATGTGCTTTGCCTGCTCCTGCACCGGGAGGATTGGACTGACGTGGTTTCTTCTTCAGGATTGTCAAAGCTGAGAGTCCAACCAAGGCTGGAGAAATGGAATCAGCCTCTAAAGGACCCAATTAACCAAGACATGAACAAACTGAGCGATAAGAACCTGGAGGGCTGGCATTGGCACACCTCCTTTACCAATAAAGCAGGGAAAATAGTATCTCATGTGAGGAAATCTGTGAATGCTGAGGGGGGGGGGCCTCCAGTGAGACGCAACCCATGCTTTTTAGACCACTTCTCTCGAAACACTCACAAATATTCGTGTGTTTAGTATTTATTTGAAGGCCAACGCCCAGGCACCTCCTGTGCTAACTTCTTACACTGCAAGCAAGCTGAGTGATCACTTTAAAAACACATAAATAAAACTGTCGCTGTTTAGCTCTTGTGAGAGGAACCAAAATTAACCTCGGGACCTGCAGTTTCTGCCCGTGGCTGACCACTTACACACCCACGCGGGGCCCACGGCCCTCAGGGTGGGGGCACCCTTCTGGCCCGCTCTTTGGGATCCAACCATGTCCTAGAGGGGTACAACCCTGTCCCCGAGGGTACAATCCCGTCCCAGAGGGATACAATCCTGTCCCCGTTACACTCCGGGAACAGCCCCGCTCCCGTCCCCGCACCCGCCGCGCTCCGCCACGATCCCACAATGCTCCGGGGCGCCGCCGCGGGGGCCAGCGGCGCGCGGGCCCCTTCCCTCATTCAAATGACCCACGGCGGGCGGCGGTGCGGGGGCTGTCGGGAGTTGTAGTTCCGCCTCCCCCCGGCCCCGTGCGGGTCCTGCGCCCGGCGGGACTCGCCGTCCCGGCATTCCGCGGGGCCGGGCGGGGCGGGGCGGGGCGGGAGCGCGGGCGAGGGAGGCTGAGGGGGCTCGCGCCGCGCACGGGGCCGCCGCCGCCGCCATAGTGGGAGCCGCGGGTGAGTGGCGGGGGGCGCGACCCGCACCGGGACCGGGGCGGCTCCGGCAGCGCCCGCGGGCCGGGGCACCGCGCCCGCACACCCCGCGCTCGCCCGCCGCGGGCCCGCCGCACGGCCCCGGCCCCAGCCCCGCCGCGGGGCGCTGCCGGCAGCCGCGGGCCGGGCGGGGCGGCAGCGCCGGCTGGAGCCGCCCTGACCTTCCCCGTCTTTGAGGCGCCGGCAGCGCGGTCCCGCAGGGGCGGCGGCGGCGGCGACGGCCCCGCGTGTGGGTGGGCGGGCGGCCCCGGCCCGGCTCCTCCGAGGGGAGCGAGGGGCCCCGGGGCGCGGATCGCTCCGGCGGGGCCGGGGCTGGCGGGGAGGGCCGGGCCGTGCCGTGCCTCGCCGGGCTCCGGGAGCTGCCGCCACCGCCACCCTCCGGGCCACCGGGGCTTCTCCTCGGCCTGGCGCCCGCCGGTGCCGCTGCCTTGCCTCGCTTTGGCTCGGTGTGGCGGGGAGCTGCGAGGAGGTGGTTTGTGTAGCGCGGAGGGTGTGCTCGTGCTTCCAGTGGCCTTTTTTTCTGTTTGCTTTTGGTTTTTTTGGGTTTTTTTCGGGTTTTTTTTAATGTTCTTGCTGTTTTGTGTCTTGCCAGAAGGTTGTGCGAGGACTGGAGTTGCCTGACCCGGTTGAGCCTTTGTCACATCGGAAGCGCAGGGTTTGCGCTTCCTTGGAGTAAAACTGGCCAAGTGCCTGTGCTCAGGGGTCTGCTGCACCCGCCTAGTGTTTCACTTTGAGTTGCCAGTTTCCAGTATGTTCTACAGGAGATCATTTTTTTTTTCACCCCTCTGTTGCTGTTGTCACTTTTTAAGTTTAAAAACAACCAAAACCTGCGAAGGTCTCCAGTAGCAAGGAGTGTGTGTTGCATTCAGTTAATATGGCACAGCTTTCTGAAGGCATTTAAGTCCCCAAGATGTCGTTCTAGCAATCCAAATTTAACTTCCTGTCCAAGGCAGACTCTTGTAAATGCTTCGGCTCATTTAAGTCCATAATTTCCGGTGTAATTGTATCTTTTAGAGTTGGACGCACTGTATTGCAGTTGAGCTGGAAAAAAGCCCAGGTAAATGCTTGAACAGGAATTGGTTGCAGAACTGTTGCTTGAAAGTTAAATCTGATTCCTTAATCAGCTGCCTTCTCAAGTTGGTGCTCTTTTGACTTCTTGAGGAGTTGTGTTCAGGCAATGTTTGTGTGTTGTGACTTTGAGTTTTGTTTTAGCAGCAACAGGAAAAAAAGGCATTTCACAGATCTCCACATAGAAGTAGCAAAATTACTGTGTGTGGTGAAAAGCCTCGTTTAAATGTTTTTAATTATTTTCCCATTGGGATCCTAATCATTATTTCATATCTAGAAGCTTGCGAGTTCTTTGCTAGATGATCTGAAATGCATTTTGCTTAACATTTGTGTTTGCTCAGGTCTTTTAGAAAAATGCAAATGGTAACAACTTTCTGCAGTCCTCTCTGCTGGGATTTCTTTTGTCCCTGGCAATAATAGGGTTATCTAGTTATTGAAAGCGTAGATTATGGTTTGTGTAGGAGTTGCAATATATACTAAGAGCTGTTAACAATAATTCTTTTTGGTTGCTTGAAAACTCTCAGACATTGTGGCAGTTTTTGGGGGATAATGTTTTCTTTCTGCCTTGTAAACTTGAATTCGGTTTTTGGCTCTGCTCGAAAAATACTGTGCAAAAAAAACCAAAAAAAAGGCAGATGTGCAGCATTGCTTAACAAGAAGACATTGTGTCTTCCTCTCCAGTTATGTGTAATATATGTCTGGATGTTTGAAAATCATCCTGTCTGGCTCTGTGGCTCCTGTGTTGTCAGGTTGCAGTTAGGATGAGCATCAAGCTGCAGGCACAGTGAAAGCTTTCCCAGAGTCCTCCCCGTGTGGTTTGTGTACCAGTGGCCTTATACTTGCTGATATCTCTAACCAAAAAAAAAAAATACTTCAGGCTGGCATAATTCCCACGTTAATTTGTTCTGATGAAGTTGGAATAGAGGAATAAAAAGTTTCTGATTGGCCTGGAGCTGCAGTTTGCAGAGGATTTGCCCCCATGGGTCAGTCAGCTACTGTGGAGATGATTGTGAAAATACCTGAGAGAAGCACTTCTTTCCTTCTGTCTCTGTCAGGCTGTTACCAGGAGAAGGGAGCCAGGCTTTTCACTGGGTACTCGATGGGAGAACAGGACACCAAGGGCTTAAATTGGAACAGAAGGGATTCGGGTTGGACATGAGAGCTGCCCTCTGCATGAGGGTGGTCAGCCAGTGGAACAGGTTTGTCCTGCTTTGAGCTGGAGGAGGTCCCTTACAACCTGCATTATTCGGTGATAATTTGCATAGCTTCTCCTCCTGGGTGTGTATCCTTTGCTGAAGGAGGATGATCTGTTATCAGGTGTTGGTGGAGTTGAGGAGGTGAGCTGCTTGAGGGATTAACTGGTCCTGTGATGCTGGTCCCATTGTGTTCCTAGAAAGTGCACACTGGAGACACTCCTGTCTGTGCAAGTTTTAACAGCAACAGGAAAGAGACTGAAGGAAAAATAGTCTAAAGCTGTTTGCTCCTTTAGTTTTTTTACCACAGTCCAAACACTGCTCACTCCTTAATCTGAGCAACCTAAAATACCTGCGTGGTAGTAAAATTGCAAAAGCATCAGGAACTGAAACAACTGAGAGCCTTGTCCTTATTTACTCCTGTTAATCAGTAGTGAAGGGTGCAGCAACTGATGGGCTGAACCACGTTTGTTGTGAATTCACATGTACCCCTGGACCAGCAGCACCTGATTTAAAGGCTGTGTTTGTGCTCTCTGATTCTCAAATCTTCCAGAAAACAAGCTTGAATTTAACTTGGGTGGAGTGGTGTGTAGGGCCAGCTTTAATACCCAGGGAGCATGGTTTATTTATGCTGGGATTACCTGCAAAATAAATGTAGTCATAACTGAATAATAGAAGGCAATTTTCTCTACTAGCATATTAGAATGTATTGGTTTGAGGTTTTCCCTCTTTAAATTCAGTGGGTTTTTTCTTGGAGTGCTGCAGACTAGAAGGACTTTATTGACTTTATTTGCCTGTGATGGTTGTTGATTGATTCTTTGAATACAGCCTGCTTTTTAAATGTGGCAATCCCTGGCAGACCACCTGTGTTTTATTTAGCAGTTTGTATTTTACTATTGCACACACTGCTTTTAGTTGACTTTTTCAGAAAGTGTAATATTCTCTGAGAAGTGCAGGCTTTCCATGCTCCAGTTCAGGAGGAGTTAATTTTTTTTTTAATTGATAGCAGCAAACTTACACATGCCCCGGTCTGATAATGCATTAAAGCATAACTGCTGGTTGAAGCCATTTTTTGTTCTTTCTCCTCATTGCAGGGATGTGACAGTGACCCACCTGCTCCAAGTGTCACTGGTGCTAATGTGTTTCAGACAAGGCAGTCTGTTTGTCTGTTGGCAGGTGGCTACTTTTTTTCCAAGTAAAAAAAGTGGCTTTTCCTTAAGTTAGAGCTCTGGTGTTGCCTCTTGAGCAGAAGGATGGACTTTGTGCTGCAGCCAACTGACAGAGAATCATCTGCAGGTTGTTTCATGGTTTCTTGCTCGTGAAGGAAGAGGTTTTATCCAGAGGTTTTAACCAAAGCTGTGGCAGAAATGGGTCTCTTAAGGGCTGTGTTCCCCTTAGGAGGTATGGGCAGTATTGGTGTGCTCGTGCCGATCTCTTATGCTCAGAACTGAGGCAGGAAGAGGGATGAGCGTACACAGGAACACTGAAGCTGGGACAGGCAGTGGAAAAGATGCTGTGTTTTTGGATTTTGTGGATAGAAAATCTTCTGCCCAAGGCCAGTGTAACCCTATTTTATTCAAGGTCACTCATGGCCCATGGGAATGCTCTGTCCCCTTCTAGGCCTCCTCTGTCTGATCCCCTGATGCATTTTCCTCCCTGGTGCTGCTCTTTCCTGGGTCCTGCAGCTTCACCTGGTATTGGGGCCATCTGCCACGTGCCAGAGCAGATACCTGGGGGGTGATACCTCGTAGGATGAGATCTGTAGGAATCATACAAGAGATGAGTGGAGGGGTGGAACTTACACTTGATGTGTCAGTGTGCGGCCTGGCACAGGTATTGGAAAATTTGATTTAGATGTCACTGTGCAAAAGTCCCCTGCAGAGCAGCAGTCCCGGTTCTGCAGTGTCAGCAGGTACCTGTTGAAGACAAGAGCTGCTGGGACCTGCAGCTTTCGTGCACTGTGTTGGGTTTCAGCTTCATCACTGGCTGCTGGGTGATTTTTGGGGTGGGGATAAAACTCTCTGGTATGAGCAGATTCCAAGACATTGAGTGAATAATGTGAGTTAAAGCATTGCACTCTGTGTTGGTTGCTCTGCTTTTGTGAAGAAGCTGTTAATCAAATGGGCTGTGATGTTCTTAAGTGGATGTGAGGAGGGAGGTTTGGTTTGAAGCGTTTAACTCAACATTCTTGTCTCTGTAACCAGACTTTGAATGAACCATGGGCAGATTTAGCTGGATGGCCCTGAAGCACTTCTGTGTTGTCCTCTTGTTTGACAACATCAGAACATTTGCAGTCCTCCCAGCTTTGCAACAGATCTAAAAGCCTTTTATATTACAGTTACCTCATTAAAACATGGGTGCTGATAAGTGTATCAATACAATCTTACATGGGTTGTGTCTGGTTGAAAGGGACTGGGCTTGATGACACAGATTATTCCCATCTTGTTCTTTCTTTAGGTACAACTCTAAGCTTCTTAGACCTGTAACGACAGGCAGAAAGCACGAGGCAGTGTGGAGGAAAAGGTGACAGATCAGAAGAGGAAAATAAAAAACCTTTCCAGGGAGAGAGAGTGTTCAGCAAAACCATATAGGAATGGCACAGGAAAGAGTAAGGTTGTAACAAACAAACAGAAAAAAATTAGTCAAAGATCATTAATTTCATCCACATTTTTTAGCTTGTTCTCATTTCTGACAAAATCAACATTATAACTGGTCCAGCTTATGCTGGTTTTTAATTTATTTAATAGAATTTTACCTATTAAAATACAAATAGATTTTTAGGAGCTAGCAAGCTGGCATACTAATCTTTGGATTTAGAGACCATAGTTCTACTTTCCATATTTAAAATCCAAATTCCTTCATTCCTTGCAGTCTCTAAGGCCTTCTCACAGGTTTAGGATTGAACAGGAGGCACCTGGTGCTTGAGTGAGGCTGTTGTGCCTTGAGGGACTGCATGAGGTGCAGTGCTGGTGCACAGCTTGATCCTGGGTTTGTGTGATGGCACAGTGAGCTGTTCAGGGTGAATACACATCACGTGTGTGGGGAATTTTAATTTAGCAATAGCTCACTTGCTTTAGCTTCAGGACAATAAGCTGGTGGTTTTCTTGCTGTCCACGACTTCATTTCAGTGTGACATGTTAGACTGTGGAGCATTAATGCCATCAACTAGATTTGCATTTGAGTGTTTAGGAATGATATCCGATAGTGATGTGAGTTCATGGGTTGAAGTTGGATCTTTGGTGGTCCATAAAAAGTGAATCAAAGTGATTTTCACCTGTGCTGATTGTCGGCTCCACCACAACCATCCCAAATTACACACCCCTGGGTACCCCCAGGACTAGACTGGAAACAGCAGACACCAAACCTAAATCCTAGAACCCTGAAAACATGGATTCTACCTGCTGTTATGCCACGGATCTGTTAAAAGAGATTTGCTCTTCTATAAGTCTGGCCAAATTTATGTAACCTTAAAACTTCCAGCCAAGAGGCTGAACCCATTTCAGTTCCTATTTGTATGAGTAGAGCTCAGACAGCCAAGGGCCTGAAATACAAAAAGAGCTTTCTTGTCCCACTATGCACAGAAAACTAGGCCTGGGAATATCCCATGTGAAGATCTTTGGAATGTGTGTTTTGCTTCTCTTAGGAATTTGTCCAATCTGAAACAGGTGTGTAAGGAATTGACATCTAAAGGAAGCCGAAATAACTGTCCTGTCCTGTGTCCTAAAACAGAATTTCATGCCTTTCAGACTTGGCAATGCAATTCAAACCTGCAACTCCAGGATTCCTGGTCAGGGATTACAGAGAGGGACTAGTGGCTGGCAGATCTTGATGTTGAGCAAGTGGAGTTTGCATGAAGTAAACTCACATCTTAAAATGTAACGTAGTGGGTTTTGAATGCAGGATTTTTGTGGTTTGAATTTGAGCACAATTCTTCGGTCTCTCAGAGAGAGATCAGGATAAATAAAAATGAATTTGCTTTCTTGAAAAATGCAGTGGTGTAGTAAAGCCATCATCTCTACTGATGGTGTGTGATGGTTTGTAGGCTGGGCCTGTCTAGGCTGCTGTGCATGCTGTGTGTTTAATCCCTCTAGAATAGAGGGACTCATGGTCAGAAGTGTGGGATGAAGCCTCTGAGCTTCCAGCACCTTCACTGGGAGCTGCAGATTTTCACCACTGGGAAAAACGATGCTTCCTGTCTGGAAGTTACTACAGGTTCAAACATAAACACGGAGTTTGCTTTACAAAAGTCTAGGATACAGAGGTGAGATTTGTCCTACTTATCCCAAAGAAAAATTCAGGCCAGCTGACACGATTGGTGTTTGCCAGTGCTAGCACTTGAGCCAAGTGTTACGCTTATTCCTGTGATCCTTCTGGTGATTTTGTTGTTTGTTTTTTTGGTTCACAGTCACTGGCTCTGGGTGAGGATTCAGAATGGGAGACAAGCCTATCTGGGAGCAGATTGGATCCAGCTTCATACAACATTACTACCAGCTTTTTGATGCAGACAGGACTCAGTTAGGAGCAATATATGTAAGTATCTACAGAGAGAGGGCTGGGGCTCCATCCCCATTATCTGTCTGTGTTTCTCTGGTTTGATGTGTGAGAATACAAAGGGTGGGGTAGTGGGTTTAATCCTGACTCCAGAATGTCAGTCAGTGCAATCACACTTACCCAACTTTTATTTATATTTTTTTATTTATGTTTCACTTCTCCTTTAAGCCTTGTTTGCCTTATAGGCAGTCAGACTCATAGAAACCCCTTTTTGGCTGTAGACTGGCTTGTATTGAAGAGGATTGGTGATGATCCTGTGATGAAATGCTCTGTAAAGGCAGACATTCTATCCCTAGTTTGCCATTAATTTACAGTCATGGGTTTGCTTGGATCCCTCTTGAAGTGGGATGTGGTTTAAGTCCTACCCTGTGTTTAGCAGTTCTTCCAGGTGTTTCTTGAATCTCATACTCTATTAAAATTTAAAGTCTTAAATCCAGTTTAAAAATGTATATTTTGTTAAATAAATCTAAACTTGTTTAAATTTCCTCAAAATTTATTTTCTTTTTTTTTAAAAAAATTTTTGTTTCTTATTTGGGACAAAGTAGATTCGGAATTAAAGACCATAACTAACAAACCCAGGGAACATCACCTGTTGGTTTTGGGGGAAGATTCCTCCAGAGCATGCAGAGTGCTCTGTGTGTGGAGCTGATTACTGATGGTGAGGAATGCAGCTGTTTCAGCAAGACACTCAAGTCTTACGAGTCTTCAAGTAGCATATCCTGTTTTTCTGACTGGTTTTTCATCTGCTGAATGAGTTTAAGTTCCAGCAAACTCTTCAGGATTGAGACTGTTAAACACCCTCTGACAGCCCTCCTTACACCTCAGCATTATCCAGCAGCACTGGTAGCATTTGCTGTGGGGATTGTTGTGTTCTTGCTACCTGCCAGACTGTTGCTTTATTTTGCCCAAGAAACCGTGCACAGAGCCTGGAAAGGAAAAAAAAAAGCAGCCTGTGTTCAAGCCACAGCTCTGAATGTGAAGGCTCTTAGCAGTTTGTCATGTCATTACCAAAATACATTCAGTCCTCAGAAGACTGGTGATAGGTACAGCCTAATTTTAATTCCTGGAGACATGACCTTCCACACTGTGAACTTCAGGGCCTTTTTTCAACCTTAGGGTCTTTCTGCCTTTCATGGACAGACCTGTGCACTTGTATTTGGGAGGACTGTTATGTAGATCACTGATCTGTATTGCTTTGTGGAGTTCCTAAACTATGGAGAGAGAATTGGACCACCATTTTGTGTGGCTAAAATACACCAAGGTCACAATTTGTCTAAATTTGGGGAGGTTCTGCAGAAATGGGCTTTCAATGATGAGCTTTTTGCCTTCAGGCAACCTGTGGGAGCAAACAAATTTTATAGCATACAGGAATGCAGCAGAGAGCTCTTGGATTTGGTTTGTATTCCTGTATCACTGCTGCCATCACAAGATTCAGCTTATTTTTAGTGCTGTAATCCAAGTCAGTCAAGCTTTTGTCACCTGTCCCAGGTAGGGATATGGCCAGTCACTTTTGCTGTGAGTTGTTTGAGTTAGGTGAGTTGGAATGTCACCCTTTGGGGTGCAACTCATTTAGTCAGTTTTCTTCATATATTTCTCTCTCCACATGCTTGACTTTATGTCCATAGGATTTTTTTGGGTATCCTTTGGATTTTCTTCTGAAAGCTAAACTTTGATCCAAAGGCAGGAACTTTTTTGCAGGTTAGGCTCAAGATAATGAGTTGTAGTCTATTTAGTTTCTAGCTGATTTTTTGCAAGCTTTTTTCAGTTTCTCTTGGTGGCTTCTTTCTATCTAGTTTTCAAATAGCTGGATTCTAAGGATATATCCTAAATAACCAAAGCCTCTTTCCAGGATTGCTCAAGAGTTACCTGAGCAGGTTGATGACTTACTTTCTTTCCCCCCCAGATTGATGCATCATGCCTTACGTGGGAAGGACAACAGTTCCAGGGCAAAGCAGCCATTGTTGAAAAACTCACTGTAAGTCTGCAAACCTTACTGAATGTTTTGGGAAACAGTTTTGAAGACTGTAAGATAATGGCTTTTGAAGATTTGAGTTAGTCTTGCATACCAAACTCGTGCTTCCAGCTCTGGTCTTCAAAAAATGTCGTGAATTTAATGGGGTGTTCCACTGGTGACTCTAATGGTGGAATGTTAATTGATTCCATAGTTTGCTAGGTTATTTTGTGACTGCAATTGTATTTGACATTACTGATTTATTCTTTTTTAAAAGGTCTAATGCCTAAGCTGCCTCTGATCTAGAGGAATGAAAGGTGTCTTTGCTCTTTTAAGGCATGCCAAGGAAGAAGCAATAGCAAGCCTGTTACTTGGATCTGTCTGTGATAAAGACTAGACACATAACTGCAAGGAACAACTTGTTTTCTGATACCTAAACTGCAAATAAGTTCTGTAGTGGAGAAGCTGACTTATCCTCAGTGCAGATTTGTCAGCAGTTCAGATGTGAGCAGGTATGGTTCAGGACTTTGCAACGTGCGTTTCCTCTTCAGCGAGTGAGAGGACACTGGAACTCCATGTGTGGTTTAGTTAAACTTGGAGAAGTTTTATCCTCCTGAGTAAATTCGTGCTTCTGTTATAAAACTGGGTGTACTTACCAGCTGTCATGAGAGTAGGAAGTTTGTTTCTCTTTCAAGATATGTGGAGGACATGCTTTTTAGGTCATCAGACAGTCTGCTCAGAGCATGGTATTTCAGACAGACGTACTTCACATTGAGAAGAAAAATCACTTAACTGGACACTGGTCTTGTTGCACAGCTGCTGCTCCTGTCTTATGGAATCACTCCTTTCATCCAAGGCATCTTTAACTGTGAAGACCAAGCTTTGACCTCAGGTCTGTGTTTTAGTTGCCTGTCTTGCCTTTGAGAAGGCCTCAGAAATAGCACAGCTTGCAACTGCTAGCCTGTAGGTGAGGAGATACTCAAGCTCCAGAGTTGTTTGTTTGTGTACTCAGCGTTCTTCAGACTTCTGGGCTAGCAGCCATTTAGATACCCAACCAGCTAAGCATTTGCTTGGTCACAGTGTCTGACTGCTGCCTTGGATCCAGCCCAGTGCAGATCCAGCCCCTTTCCCACCACAGCACTGCTCATCTTTACCTTCCCTCTCGGTGGTGCAAGTTGGACTTTCTGGATTTATATGCCTGCTGCAGTCTTAACTGGTGAGTGAAGACACACTGCTTTGCTTTAGGGCAGCTTTTTCTGACTTGTATTCATCTACCTAAAGTAAGGAAGAAGGGCAGTAGAGTTACTGTGTGCCCTTGCACCGCCAGGGCTCGTTACGTGGCTGTATCATCTTACTGCCACTGATGCTGCCCAGCATTCCTCTGTCAGCACTGACTGCCTGGGCTCCCTTTGCTGTTCCAGCTTCATGTGCTCACCTCCTCTGTGCTTCTGGAGCTGCTTACTCAGTTGAGCAGATCCCTGGAAGTTTGGCACTGAAATTCTTCTGCATTTCTGCAGTGCTGTGTCCCTCGGTGCCTGGCTGGTGAATCGGTGTAGGCACAAACAGGTGGCATTTTCTGTTACATCAGATTCTTTGCTGTGTGACAGCAACGCTGTGGCACATTCTCAGTCTACTGATACAGTAGGGCAGGGTTGTGAGGGCATTGCTGTGCCAGCACTGGCACACCTGTACCTTGTTACAGCATGGGAGGTGACACTTGTTCCTTCTGTCCTAACTGGTGCTGGGCTTGTTTCACTTACAGTGCTAATTATGGGCAGCCTGATTTACCATTCGAGATAATAATCCTGTAGTTCTATGAACATACTGGACCCAGGGTAATCTTGTTGCCAGGAGTGAGGTTATGCTACTCAACTTTATTCTTGCATCATTTCTCTTGCATGACTTCAAGGAGGATTCCATAGTTTTGCTAGTGAGAGCCCAGTCAAATTCTAGTGTCAGAGAATGCTAAAAGCCTTGGTTGTTGTGTGGCTTCATGCTTTTTAGACACATTTATTGTACTTTTCATGTCACAAAATCCTTCTCCACCACTTCTCTGGGCAACCTGTTCCAACCCTTTCAGTGAAGAAATTCTTTCTGATGTACAACCTGAACCTCCCCTTAAGGCTCCCCTTGTCCTATGGAGTTGGGTACTTGAAACAGGCACTGTCTTACCCAGCCTAGTCTTGGGTTCCTTGTCACAGTTTTGCAGAGCTCTTGATTGATTCAAAGGCTTTCCTTCCTCCCTGTTTGCTCTCCCCAGTCTTGCCTCTCTTGTCACACTGAAAGCTGGGTTCTGGACACAATTACATCCTTTCCCCTTCCTCCCTCTGCCCTTTAAAGGGACTCTTTTTGCAGGACTTGTTCAGCAAGAAGCTGTTGTGCTGAGGTGGGACTGGGCTTTGTCAAAGGAAGATGGTGCAATGTCCCAGGCTATGCCTGTGCAGGCTCTGTGGGCACACTGCACGTTCATTTTTGGAACGGTGACCCTGGAAAATAGTCTGCTGGTCATTCAGATGAGACTACTCTGGATGGTTTTTTGGTTGTTACTAAATGTCTCTCCCACATTACAAACCAGTTGGCCCACTCTGCACTTCCTGGTTGGTTGGGATTGTACTCCCAGCCAGGCAGAAACACTGCAAGCTTTATTAAAGGGTGTTCTTGATTAGTGAGGGCTACTCTTTACACTTCATTTGCTTCCTCAGGCCCTGATCCTTCCACAATTTGTGTTCTCTATTATCCAAGGTTGTAGTTTCTTGTAATTCTTCCTAGAGCCTGATGCTCATAGAGCCAAGACTGTGCTTCACATCCATGACAGTCTCCACTTTGGCCTTCTAGGAAGTCTTTGAGGCTCCTTCCACTAGAGGGAAATGCAGAACTTGTCAAAGTACACATTTGGCTCTGCTTCAACCTGTTTTCAAATCAGGGGAATGCAGCAAAGGCATCCAGTGCCACCTGAGGTTTGAATGACCACGTGCTGCCGTCCCATGTGGTGCCAGGGCTGTGGGCATCAGCCCCGTGCTCACCCAGAGCCCCATCCATGCTGAGCTGCCCCTCAAACATCTGGCAGTGAGGCAGCTTTTGGGAGAACAGTGCCAAAGTTGCACTGGTGTGACAGGACCCTGAGATCCCCCAGATATTTGCTGTTCACCACCAAGAATTGTCCGTGGTGGGAATGTGAATGTGGTCCAAGTGTCCACAAGGTGTGTTCCGTAACACACATAACTCCAGACATACTGGCACCTGAGCATCAAGGAAATTAAAAAGGGGAAAGGTGAATATGTGGATTTCAAGTCTGGAATGCTGGTTCTGGGTCGTCCACTTTTCCTTTCCGTTCATAGCCACTTTAAGAAAGAAGCAAATCGGAGTTCTCTGGTAAACCTCAAGTATCAGATGATAAAATCCTTTAACACTGTTCAGAGCAGAGGTTTGTGCCTTCATCATATGATCTTTTGAGCTTAGAGCTGATCTGAAGCCCTTCAAGCAGTGCAATTAGAGTAGGAAGAGGTTCCATTTACTATGTATGGTAACATTATTTCCTCTCCTGGTGCTTGAAAAACACAACTGTTACAATTGACCCAGTATAAGTGGTGCCCTCATTTGCAACAGCTCTTGTGTGCAGTACTACTATAATAGTCTTAACACTTCATAACACTGGGTTTGCTCAGTCTTTGTTTTGTAAGTTAAATAATGCAATTACTGTACATTTCCTTATTTTGATTTCTTTTCATTGCAGAGCCTCCCTTTCCAAAAAATACAACACAGCATCACAGCACAAGACCACCAGCCTACACCTGACAGCTGTATACTCAGTATGGTAGTGGGACAGCTTAAGGTAAACTCTTTCCATTACAGGCCAACAAATGCTTATGTCTTAGATTTCTGCAAGATTCTAAATCATCTGGTTTCTGTAAATATTAAAATGCTCTTGTGGGTGGGGAAGGAACACGAGTAAACTTTCATTGGGACACCATTCTTCTGCTGTTCATGACTGTCAAGAAACTGCTCATCCCTCCAGATGTCTGCAATTTGACAGTCATGTGTTCTGTCAGGCAGAGTACCATGACTTCTGCTGTGCATACAAATACCACCTGAGTTGTAGAGGCATCACTATTTCCCTTACCCTGATGCAGTAAGGTTTCAGGGCCCTCTGTTGCATTTAAAAGCATCATCACCGTGTTCTTGGACAATATATTTTAAAAGAGCTGTTTAGATTTCCTTTTCCTGTTAACTCTGAATGACACCTCCAGTGTCAAGGCACTCAAACTTCCACTGACACTGAACTATTTACTAAGCAAATGTAGGATTTATAGTTTGATTCTGCTTGCTTAGCTGTTCTCTTTGATTTGGGCTGGGCAGTTGAGAAGAGCAGTGCCCAGTGAATTGCATCCATTTTCTAAACCTAACATAGGCAGCTTTGGCTCTCATTAAAGTTGCTCCTGCTTCCCAGCTGCAAGCTGGGTTCCAGCTTTCCTGCTGCTCAGTCCCACACACACCCCCTGAGGAAAGACAGCCACATGTGACCATGGAAATCATGGAATGGCAGGACAGGTACAGGCAGACCTGCTGATCTCCTCAGCCTTGCTCCTGCTCACAACTCCGATCTGACCAAGGCTTTTTGACCCAATGGCTTGGGCCAGTCACATCTGCACCTGGTTTTGCACAGTCATGTTTTTTAAGGTTACTGCGTAATCATCAGGCAGATCACAGCTTGCAACAGTGATTGGTGTTGAATCCTGTGGCAAGATACCAAGCTTTTAAAGATTTTTTTAAAGCTACTGAGTTTTCTCATCCATTGATATAGAGGGATTGTAAATGCAGTCCAAGAGCTTTCCATAAATACCATTACTTGGAGTAGTATTTCCTAATGTACTGTTTTTATCCTCTATAAAATTTCAGCTTGCTGAAATTACTCAGAATAATTTAGGGATCGTGTGTTAGTGCATCTAGGAAAGAACATACTGGCTTAAAGTGTGCCTTTTGTCGTGATGAAACCCAACTTGTTTGTGAATTTTTAGTAGATGAGGAAACATTTTTCTGCCTTTCACGTGTATGTGTCTCAAACTTTAGCTTTAAAAATGACATCACAATCCCTGGGAATGCTGCTTCTCGCTGAACAAGTGTCCAGAAAGTCAAAGTCAGCTTAGAACCAGCCAAATTCTTCACAGCCCAGGACAATTTAATGCACGTGCTTTTAATCCTCTGCACTCATTCAAAACTTGCATTGTTTCGTGTAATGAAAGAGCATGCATAATGCTTTTAATAGAGCAACCCAAGAAAATAATAGTGCTGAAATACCTGCAACATGCCATTTATGAGTTGTGAATCCTGGCATGGTATATAAATGGATTTTCTGAGGCATTAATTGCTTGAATTGCTCGTAGTCCCAAAAGTCCAGTGAAAACATCATTCATGCTGAGAAAGTTGGGCACGTCTTGTATTTCTTGCTTAAACCGTTGGAGGGGGGGGAAATAAACCAAAGCACAAAAACTTTCACTGTGAAAACATGTTTATAAGTAAACATATGAAAGATCCTCTTTTAGTGGTTGCTGAGATAGGTATTAATATTTGGGGTTTCTTTTATCCTTTTGAAGACATGTAATAAATACACATCCACTTACTCTAATCCTTTTGGGTTTTTTTGCTGTTCATTATCTGGGGGCTGCTTGCTTGCTTCAACTAGGGGGAGTAAGGGTCGGTTTTAGCCTTTAGGAGTGAGTTCCAGTTGGTGTGACGCTGCTTTGCTGATGTTCCTCCAGAATGTCACCCCGTTCCTCCACTGTGCTTCACCTCGTAACGTATTTCTCCTGTCGCGCTCAGGCAGACGATGACCAGGTTCTAGGCTTCCACCAAACCTTTTTGTTGAAACATTTTCAAGGTGCCTGGGTGTGCACCAACGAAGTCTTCAGGCTATCCCTCCACAACGTTTAACCCTCTGCCTTCCCTGTCTTCCATGCAGTCCTCGCTGCCCTGGTTGAGTAAGGAGTGCTCTCTTCTCGCCCTTCTTCTTCTGTGCCTTGAGCTCGGCTGAGGAGCATGGCTGTGGCTTGGCCTTCTCAGAGATCTGTGGCTCTCCCCAGAGCGTGAATTTTGAAGTGATTGCTGCAGAATTAATCTGTGAATAACTAATTGTTGTGCGGTGTTTCCTAGTCTTGAAAGGAAAAGGAAATTTGCAATTAAAATCGCTGGATGTTTTTCTAATGCATGCTGAGCACTTGAGGCATTGCTTAAAGCCTGTTAAATGAGGCTTAAGGTCTGAAAGAACCTGCAATCTGAAGTAATTAGCCTTTCCTTTGAGGTGAGGGTTGTTGCAACACTGCAGTTCAATCCACAGTTGCTGGGGATGCTGGTGAAGGAGTAAAACTCTCTCTGGCCAGACAAGAGGAGGAAAGTTGTGCAGCTACATTTGAATTACAGAGCAGTCCTGCATCTAAAACTCTGACACGACCTTTGGCTCTGTGAGCTGAGGACTTTCTCTTGAGCCTCCAGGTCAGAAGGGATGGAGAAAAACTGGAAGAGGTCAAAAAGCTGCCAAGATTGTAGGTGTTGGAGAGCTTGTGGAGCTGGGAGAGGGGTTGGCTACGGGTAATCAGCCTGAAATGTGGGTGGAAAATAGTTGAATACTTCCAACAACCTGAGAGCAAACTCTTCATGGTGGTGCCAGATGATATAACAGGGGACAGTGGTTGGAAACCACAACTTAGGAGATACAGATTGGACACAAGGGAAGATTTTTCATAGTCAAAATTTTTTGGAATGGACTATAAAATATTTACCCTATCTTAAATATAGTCTAGGATTTTCCTTGTTTTTAAATTATACTGCTCTTTTTGTGCTGTGAAGACATAACATGAAACGAATAAAGAAAACAATAATATGTGACTTCATTGTGGGGATTTGCCATCTGTACCACAGCAAGTGTTTTTGGGAAAGGATTCCCTTTTTAATCCTCCTTCATGTGTCTGGTCCTGAGTTGCTTAAGAAAGGAGGAAATTTTCCTCCAGCCAAAGTACCAAGAGCTGCAGTGCTTTCACCAGAGCCTACCGAGGCTTATCAGGAATTGAGGAAACCTGCACTAAGCCAGGCTGGGGGTGGTAAAACCTACTCCTGTCAGCAATGACAAGCTCCAATTTGGTGTGAAAACCACTTCTGAAAACAACTTGTAATAAATGGCTCAGTGATCCACAGTGAAGAGACCATGGGGGGGCTGAGGGCTGAGAACCAGCAGTGAGGCTGTTCTGGGAGGTGCTACATTTGATACCTGGGAGAAGGTGCAAAAGGCACAGCCCCCGAGGTTTCAGGAGGGCACACAGGGCAGGTGTAGCAAGGATAATACTTCCCTGGAAATAATTGGCACTGCTGTTACATGTGCTAATGAAGTAGATGGACTGGGCTAATCCGGCCTAATTGCTTGGTTACTCATGCTCAAGGAGGTGTGTGCTGAGCAGCCAGGCTGCCCTGCTCCTCTGTTGCCACTTGTCTTGCTTGAAGGATTTTTCTTTCATTCATTCATTTATTCATCTACTGAACACTGCCTTGCTCGTATTTCTGGCCTTACTTGTCACCTTCTTAACCTCTGGCTGCACCAGTTTCCTTTGTGGCTTTATAGTAATTTATTTGCCTTGCCCAGCTGATGCCCGTGCTGATTACATTTTTGCAAGCTACAGAGTTGTACTCAATTTACTTCCTTCAGTGGGGAACTGTCTGGTAGCTGGATCATTTTTCTTGCCCTTTTCTGACATTTTAATTTTAATTTTTTTTAAAGATAAGAAATGCATGCAGGGTTTGATATGTGGGTGTTGGTTCTCTGTTCCTTCCCTAATAAATGCTAACCCTGTGCTTACTTTGATTGCTTTTAGGTGCTCAGCTGGTTTAATAAATAAATAAATATCCATCATTATTTCAGTGTCACTTTCCTGAGGGGTGAATCTAGATCCCTTTTTGATTTTCCTCTGTGAATTAGCATACACTCACTGAAACTGCACTTCATCTATGCCATTTAATTTCCTGGGCAGTTGTCACTGAAATCCTTGCAGTGGATTTTTGGATCTCAATACTTCTTTTCCATGCACTCGATCCCACCACTGCTCTGGCAGACTTGCTGTTCTATGATACAACTCTTGTCCTTTGCAAGTTGCCCCTCAAAGCTGACTTGTTTCACAGTCCATTTATCACTTAAGTCAATATTACTTCTTTTTTAGTAACATGTCCTTTTTATTTTGTAGTTTGCTTTGCTCTTCACATTTTCTCTTGCTGTTCTTAGTGAATAGTAGAGCACTGCCAATGAACGTTCAGGCTTTGACAGCCTGTTCCGTGTGCTGCTCTGGCTGCTGCTTGTCAAGGCTCTTTTTTATGCATTTCCCCCCTTTTCTGAGGGTGAACAGTCATGTGTTGAAAGAATAAAGCTTAAAATCCTCCCAAAATTGCTGAATTGAACACACTGCAGCCCCTACCAGAAGATTGTTTTGCAGCTTGGTCCTGTGCACTGCTCAGATTAAATCCCGTGGTGTGATTTCCAGCTGACTGATTCGGGAATCATTTGTGTTATTTTGAGTGTTTAATTCCTGCATGGTTGCCTCTGAGAACACAAGTAAATAAACACTAGGTGGGAGAACTGATCTCCCTCTAATACTATTTTCTACTTTTGTAGTAATACTGTAAATGAGCAGGGACTACACTGGAGTGCCCAGGCATATTGTCAGAGGCAGGAGGGGAGGCACTGCTGCAGAGATTCCCTGTGCTTAGAACACATCCTGGCAGCTCTGGCAAATGTTTTGCTCCCTTCCAGCTGTTCCTGGACAGCAGAAGTGGGAAGTACTACGTTGCTGGCCAGCTGTACCTGCTCTGGGAAGGCTTTCAAAGCCCCAGAGCATTATCTGGATCATTCAGGCAATGCTGTTGATACCAAACTCCCTTCTGGCATCAACCCAAAGTGCAGCTGATACAAACTGAGCCACTTTGTTTTAAGCTTGGTTCCTTATGGAATATGTGATTTACCACTGAGGGAGGCACGTTCTGTCAGTGTGGTGAAGCTCCAGAGTGACAATGTGTGTAAGTCTTCCAGGAAACCCCAAATTTGGGTGTTGATGTAGGATTTCTGTGTCACTGGGTGCTGGGTGTTTGCAAAGCCCCTGGGAACAGACCCTGGTGTTATCAGTGTCTCCTGAGGTTCCACACACCTTACAGCATGTGCTGTCACTTAATGTCAGCTTTAAGTCATCTTACCATGAGTTTTTGGAATAAATTTCTCGAAAAAAGAGTGGTTTGACCTTTTCTTTTTTTTTTTTTTCTCCTTCTCTCTTTCCACAGGCTGATGAAGATCCTATCATGGGGTTCCACCAGATATTTCTATTAAAGAACATCAACGATGCCTGGGTTTGCACCAATGACATGTTCAGGCTAGCATTGCACAACTTCGGCTGAGCTGCCCAGCCCGAGGCTCCCGTGCTTTTTTTTTTTTGTTTTTGTTTTCCTCCTCTCCTCCTAACTGGTATTATTCACACTCACGGAACATTCCAAATATCATACACAAACCTGCAGCACTGCAGAGCGTGAGCAAGCAAGACTTGTGACCTGCCCTTCTGCTGAGTTTACATTGTCACTAGATGAGTTTCTTGTGCATGATGTTTGGAAGTTAGACTTAGCTGCATTTGATAAAAGAGAAATTTTGTGTTGTACCAGCATGCCTCGGAAAGAACTTATAATGCAAAAAGGTTGTTGTTTATGTACTGACAAGACGCTCTTATATAACCCAAAGAAATGAAAGAACAGCAGCCTGTACAGCCCAGTTATTGATTTGTTCAGATGTTTCGATGCTACGTTACACAATAAAACAGAGATTTTCTTAAAAGTTTAAATTGTTTTAATGAGTTGGCTATGGGGTGTGAGTTGGCTATGGGGTGTGAGTTGGGGCCATGGGGTGTGAGTTGGGGCCATGGGGTGTGAGTTGGCCATGGGGTGTGAGTTGGGGCCATGGGGTGTGAGTTGGGGCTATGGGGTGTGAGTTGGGGCCATGGGGTGTGAGTTGGGGCTATGGGGTGTGAGTTGGGGCTGTGGGGTGTGAGTTGGGTCCATGGGGTGTGTGCTATTGCTGGCTGTGGATATCCCGTGTCTGCCCGATGGGGAGGTGCTTGCAGACTGAACCTGGAGCTGAGCAGTGCCCGGCCCTGCAGCCCTGGGCAGGGTGTGCTCTGTGCGCTGGGCTGGGCGGTACCCGCTGTGTGCCGTGCCCCGGCGGTGGCTGTGCATTGTCCCCGAGCCCCGTGGCCGTGTCCCCGAGCACTGTGGCGATGTCCCCGCGGTGTCTCCCGGCCCGCAGGGAGGGCGGGGATGGCCCGGCCCGGCCCCGCCGGCGCGCCGGGAACGCTCTGCTCTGGCGGCGGTTTCCGCCCGGCGCTCGCAGGGCCGGGCCGGAGGCGGAAGCGCGGGCGGCGGGGCCGGGCCGGGCGGGCGGTGTCGGCGGCGCGGGCCCCATGGCCTCCTGCTCCAGCATCGACATCGAGGACGCCACGCAGCACCTGCGGGACATCCTCAAGCTGGACCGGCCGGCAGGTGAGAGCGGGACCTGCCGGGGCAGCGCCGGCGGCCGCGGGGCCGGGCCGGGCGGGGCCTGCCTGCTGGCGGGCCGGGCCGCGGGACCCCCCGGGCCGTTGCGCCGCCGCCCCGCCGGTTGTCACCGGGCCCTGCGGGGCCGGGCACGGCCCGCTCCTTGGAGGCGCCGCTGCTGCCAGCCCGGGGCTGGCGAGGAGCGGAGCGGAGCCCCCTCCGGCCCGGGGACCCGCCTGGGTCAGGGGGTGTCGGCGCTGGGCACGGCGGGAGCGGGGCGGACCCAGCGCTCGCTGCTGGCGGGTGCCTGGGCCCCTTTCGGCGGAGAGCTGATGCTGCTGGGAGCCGAACAGCACCGACCGCCGCTGAGACACAAGCCTCCCGTTCCTGGGAGCGCTGGGAGCGTTCCCCAGGGGACTGGGCGCAGTGGAGGGGGCTGTCAGGCTGCTCTGAGATCAGTGCCGCGTTCACGCTTACACAGACTTTCCCCTCTCTTTAGCTGTAGGTGAAAAGGGATCACAAATATCTCTGTTAAAGTGGTTGTGAGTGTTCTGCCAGTGCTTTGAGCTGTTACACATCTCTGCTCAGGGTCCAGTGGACCCCCTTCAGCCTGTAAGAAATTCAGCAGCAGGCTCAGGAGTCAGCAGTGTGGTGTTCCCCTCTCCTCTAGCCTAAACTCTCTCTGAACCCCCTTCTTGCTTTTTGAACTTTCCACAGTGTTTCACTCAGACCTGGTCAGGAGGAGGCCCAGACCATGCGAAAAAATCTTAACCTCTGGGTAGAGGAGAGAATTTACACCCCTGTTGGGCTCCTGGGGAGGGAAAGGTAGGAATAATGTAGCTCTTAAGTACCCTGATGGTCATTAGGAAGGTGCTGCCTCCAAAGCCACTGCCATGTGTGCTGCCTTTTGCTTGGCCAGAAGGAGAGGTTGGGTGTGGGATTGCTGTGGGAGAGCTGCAGAGGCACATGGAATGATGGAGCAAACCTGGGGTAAGGCAGCTTCGTTAGCTTTACTGCCCACAGAGAAACTTCTCATTACTTGGAGTCATTTCTCTTGTTTCTGGAGTGCTTGCTTGTTCCTGGATTATAATTCCTATAAGAAAAATACATCTTTCTTCACAGTGTGGCACTCTGTACTTGTAACACTGAAGGGAGAACTCGGTGCAGGGATGGGGAACAACTTATTTCACTTTCTGAACTGAAAGGATGTGTCACTGTTGGGAAATGGATGTAATTGTTGCTCAAAAGTGACTTGGCTTTCTCTGGAAGCAGCTTTTCCTGCTGGTCAAAGCCAAGGAGTTGACAGAATATGGTTTTATTTCTTTTCTTCTTCCCTGTTCATTCTCTTTTTACCTTCCCTGTCGTCTCTAGTGCACTAAGAAGGCAGTTGAGAGGAAAAGGAGCAGAAATGGGCAGAAATTCCACAGAAGGGACCTGTGCTGGTTCTCAGCAGGAATCACTGCCTGGCTAATGGCAAATAGAGTCGAAAGAACTGACATAACAAGGTGAAGAGGAGGGATACACGTGTTAAACTGAAAGCCTCTGGAACTCCTCTTAGCAAGTCAGAGGAAAGGGACAGTGGGGGATCCTTCAAGGCTTGTGAAAGGAAACAGAAGCAGCCTCAGGGATTTAACCTTAACTGGCATAAAGTTGCTGTGGTCAAGGCTCTCTCTGGTTCCAGTTTATTTTATACCCTGGATTTCACCTGCAGATTTTAATGCCCCCTGGACACTGGTGTAGCTGCTTCCCGAGGTTACTGCCTTGCAGAAAGTTCTGCAGTACTGAGTGCACGTAGCTGTGAGCAGAATTAATGTTACTCTGGGTCCTGTCCAGGCAGGTGACAAGAAACACTCTCTGCTCCAAAGAGTTTACAGCTGCCACGATCCTTCCTAGATTCTGCTGGGTTTGGTGGTTGTGAAAACGTTGTTTGTGTTTGCTACCCTGGTCTCTCTTGACACAGTTTTGGCAAACATCACCCATTGCTTTGTAGCCCTTGCCCCTTTTTCATGCCATGCCCTCAGCAAGGGGCAGCTTCATGGTCAAACCTCCCCCTGGAGCATGGAGAGAGAGAGAGGGGCTGTCAGTGCCAGCGTGCTGTGGAGGAGCATCCCTGCTGGGGACTGGCAGGATCCTTCAATCCACGCAGAGAGCCCTGCTGGTAACAGGTGTGGGTGTTATCACCTGCTCGTGGAAGTGTTCTGTTCAGTACAAACTGGCGTCCCGTGGTGCAGGTGGTGGTGGGAGCAGGAGGAGTTCGGTGTCTCAGCTCTGACTGCTCCTACTTTAATGAGTAAAAACACTCCTCTTTCCCTTTCCAGGCCTAGATCTGCCAGTCTGGGTTAACCTTTTGGCTTTGTTCACGTCCTCACTAAAAGCTGAGCCTCTTCCTTTCCTTTATGCCTCCAGGATTGTGTGCAGGCAGCACCTGTGCTTGAGCTAAGCCCAGTCCTGAACCTGAGTGTTGTGCCCATCATCCTCTGGGGAGTGTTTCCTCCTTCCCTTTTTCCCTGGAGCAAACGTCGCTGTCCCGCTGTCCGCAGAGGAGCAAAGAATGTATCATCTTCCTCTGGCAGCCTGAGTGTGCTTCCTGTAGGGAATGTTTTCCTGCTTTTGCTCACAAAGGATAAAGTGCTGTCAGTGGAAGCAGCCACAACTGGGCAAGCCCCCACCATACGCTGTAGGAACGAGGGGCACATCTCAATCTCGCGACAGCAAGCACAGCTTGGGTGTTAACCAGTGTTAGGTGGTCACAGGACCACACTCCCTGGCCTGAATTTCCCTGTGCCGTGTGAGTGCCACTGCTTTTTCTTCATGCAGTGCAGGTACACTGAGGTGAGTGCCCAAATGGTCCCTGCCTCGGGATACCCTGTCACTGCACAGAGCTTTTTGTGTCCACAGCGTAGTTACTGATTTAATGACTCTTCATAAACAGGCAAGTTTTAAATGTCCTTCTGCCAAATGAATAGTTGCAGTTGTTTCTCAGGCAGCAGCGCTCCTCCTGATCTGTTAAAGCCTGTTCAGTAACTGAAAGCTTGCCTTGCCTTCGGAGGACAGCCCCTTGCCCACGGCGTGTTTAGGTTTGTTGTGTGTGCCGGTGACGGTGGAGCTGCTGGTCCTGGGAGCAGCCATTTTGCAGGAGCTCAGCAGCACTTGTTACCTGGCAACAGTATACGAAATTTCGGTTTTCCAAACCAGGGACAGTTTCCAGTGAGGGTTTGCTGAGACAGGCAGCTTTGCCTGGGGTGGGCTGATGTGTAAGAGCAGGGGGAGGGGGCTCCTCAGCCATTTACCCTGCTAGTGAAGTGGAAGAGTCTCCTTCGCCCCTTGTTACAACTGTCCCCTTCTAAAGCCTTCAGAAGGCGTGGAGGCCACCAGGCAACTTGTGCTAGGCCAGATGCACAAAGTCAGGGCATAAACACTCTTCAAAGCACAGCTGAAGCCCTGAACAAATGGTTGCTTTACACAGAACTCCAGTGCTGTAAACTTCCATGGGATTGTTTGACCAGCGGAATTCTGGAGGCGCAGCCTCACAGTTTTGTAGCAAAGTTACCTGAACACCTGGATTTTGAGGTCAGTTCTCACAGTCAGAAGCAAGTTTTGGAAAGTAACAAATGGATTGTTTCCAGCCAGCCCCAAATGTGGCAGCTGATCAGTGTATTGCTGGACTTCAGGGCTCTCTCTGCAGGCCTGAGGGTTCGAAGTGGCCTGTCAAGAACCTTTTGGTCTGGCCCTCAATCCAGTAAACCTGAATTACCAGCTTAGTCTTTTTGATCCAAGACTTTTTGCTCCTTGAGCCTGGTAAGTAAGGAAAGTACCTGTTCCTTGGTGTTTCTCTGATCTGCTGGGATTGCTTGTGTAAGAAGAGCTACGACTTCGCTCAGATGTGTGGGGGTTTCTCACATGGGAGGTCTCTTACACATCCTTCTCAGAGAATACTTTTCCCAACCAATTCAGCATATTCTCGCTGGCAGACCAGTAAAGGCTGACAAAAAGCAACAGTGTTATTTCTGTTAAATGAATATTGGGCACAGCTGGTGATGCTTCTCCCCCAGGTTCGGTGAATGAGAACCAGAGGCCGTCGAATTCGTACAACGGAGACCTGAATGGACTGCTGGTGTCTGAATCCCTCGGGAGCGGGGATGGATCTTCCCTGGCCAAGCCAGTGCATCGCAGCATCTCCCTAGGAGCCCTGCAGGAGAAACAAGTCATGTAAGTTTTGTCCAAGAAACCCTGAGAGCAGGTAGAAAACAGCTAAAATTCAGTTCTGGTGAACCCTGTAGATCTCCAGCTGGACTCCTTCAGGGACCCAAGT